AGGGGTAGACACAGCACTGACGGGCTCCACCTGGGTGGGACGGGGAAGGTCGCATGACCTTCAGAGACCCCCGACTTCCTCCACCTGGCCGGCCCTCCGTGTAACCGGGCACACCGTCTGGGGTCTCCCACCTCGGTGAGCACCTGCAGACAGGGTGGTCCGTGCTCTCCCAGGAGCCCATCCCCCTGTGGGAAAGGGCGGCTGTCAGAGAATGCCCCCCCCCCAGAGCCCACATACACCTTTGAGAAGCGCAGGCGCTCTCTCGCTGCTTTGGGACAACACAGAGTAACCGAGGTTGCTGCCCGCCTACGAGCCCTTCCCACATGTGGAGACCACTTACATCTCCTCTGACTTCTCTTTCTGGAGCCCGGTATTTTGTTATTTTAGCTGCTCGGGATTTATGAGGTTCTTCACTCTCCCGGGCCCACACACCTGTCCCTGCGTCCGAGGACACTCCCCACGAGTGGCCGCCTGGGCAGTGTAGATGCAGTGGGGTTCTCACCTGTCTCGGGGAGGGCAAGGCACATCAGCTGCTTTGGGGGCTGCGCACAGCCCCTCGGTCACGACGTGCCTGAGTCGTTTTCCTGGGAGCCGGCAACTCAGTCTCCACGGCCCCGCCTCCGCCCCAGTAGTGCTGATTGAAGTGTAGCTTTCTGCTTTTGTCCCCATTAAATTTTATCCTCAATGAAAGAATTTGTTCAGCTTGAAGTCATGTGAATGTTGATTCTTACCGTATCTTTAGGGTATTCTTTTTAGATGTGTGTTTTATGCAGAGCTGATTAACAGTTCATCCAGCACTAGCTTCGTGTTTATTGAAACCACCGGGCCAGCGAGAGCGCGGAAGTCGGCCCCTGGAGAGGCCGCCTCCAGGCCTGTTGTGGTCCTCGGTCAACTGTCTTTGCGGTGGCCATTCCCTTCCATCACAGGCCGTCCTGCATCCCGTCCCCTCATGTCACTGGGGGCGAGCTGGCTGTGGGCTCTTGACCATCTGCTATTCTGGAAGTGTCCTGTTTTCTAAACTGCCCATAAAAACGAATGCATGACCAAGGCACAGCAGGCTGAGAGCTACCATCAAAGCCTCCTATCGCCTTCCAGAAACTCGCTACAGAGGGGAATGCTACCCTCTGTGCACGGGGACGACTGAAACACAGGTGGAGACCCTCCCGACAGGCACCAGGTGACCATCTTGGCGCTGCAGGTGACAGGCAAAGAAATGATAGGCCACACCCCAGGGGAACCCGGACCCCGCGCTCCACAAGCCCTGTGTTCACAGACAGCAGACGCCCCGAGTCAGAATGCAAGGCGGCTTGGGTTATTGGGGTTACAATGTATGCATCCGATTGTTGACCTCATCATGAATCGTGGTCAACAGTTAACTCTCTCGTGGTTGTCACAATCTTCAATATATGTATATAACATGTAGGTGTTATATATGTATATACTTACACGTGTATGTATTTATGTATGTGTATATATTATATATGCATTTAAGCATAAATTTTCTAGAGCTTTAAACGTAGCCTTCTCCACTGGATGAACCAACCACAAGCAGGAAAGCCAGGGCGTGTCGGTCCTAGCTGTCCTTGCTATTTGATTGACATCCAAATCCAGACATCAAGTCCCACCTTGAGCTCTAATTGCCTTTGACGGTTCCGTCCATAGAACAAGAGTCGGTCTGACTCTTCAGAACAGAAGTTGTAAATACGGGATCTTCCTGATCTTGATGAGTTAAAACCAAAGGGAGGGAAGCGGTGTGTTCTGAAGACGCCATCTGCTCATTTGTGTACCGTGTGAACCGCGTGGACGAAAGGAGATTGATGAAGCGACCACATCGGGATTGGCAGCAAGTGGACGTGGGAGAGCCGAGCGAGCACACGGTTGGAGGAAACAGTAGCTCGCAGGGACTTGAACCTTAAACCCCCTGGTCCCAAGGAGCCCTCCCTGGCATGCACACATGCACGGCTGCTGTGCGTTGACTGCGGCTGCTTCGAGTGCAGAACGTGACTCAGTGACAAGAGGAAATGTTCGGATGACCTGTCAGCACAGGGACGGTGTCCGCACAGTGCCTGACCCAGGGTGCTCTCAAGTCCATGGTGAACAGGAGGCCAAGTTCACCAGTGACAGAACTATCCCAGGCCCCTGCTTGTGCAGAAAGAGATGAACTGTCTTTAGGAGACAAATGTCACTTAAAAACGTGAGCCAGGCTGCAGGTGACTCGGCATCTGGGGGCGTGCCAGCCTCCAGGAGCTGTCCGGGGAGCCCAGGTGTGTTCTAAGAGACGGAGCTGGCAGAGGTGGCCCCACACCTGTCAACTGGCGGAGCGGGCTCAGCCAGCACTGAGTTCTGGGCGTGAAATCCAGGCTGTGGGCTCATTACTCTGGCAGTGAGGCTCCCGGAAACCATCCTTACCCTGTGGCCTCCTCTGAATTTATTTTGCATTTAAATAGCTTCCTTGGCTACACATAATCCAGGGTGCAAATTGCTCATGATGCCCTTGAACTGTTCTCCGGCTCAGATCACCAGATGTCCTGTTCTCAGCTGGAGGGCAGAGGCCTCCCTCCACTTCTCAGGCACACCAGTTTCCTGGCGTGCTACGCAGGGGGTACCAGTACCCGGCTGGTGAGAGTAAATGAGATGCCCGGGGGGGCACGTGACACAGTGTGGAGAAGGCGGGGCGGAGGGGCTCGGTTGTCACAAACGCGCTCGTGCCTCAGTCCCCTCCGCCTCCCTCCTGGCACAGGACACCGTCGTCTCCGTGACGGCCGGGCACATGCGGTGGAAAAGTCAGCGAATGAACGGAGAACCTGGAAAAGAAAACCTGAGCTGCAAAATCAGCGGACAGCTGTGAACAGGAGCATTAGGCCGCATCTTGCCAAATAAAAACCACAGGCGCAGAGCACTGTAGCCAGGAATCATTCCCTTATAGATGAAGAAAAATCTGATTTCGAAAAGGAGAAATGGTATATGCCGGCAACATGGAGCCATTGCTTTTGCTTAGAATTGTTCTCAGGAGATTTGCTCTCAGCCCCTTCCCTCACTTAAAAAAGAAGCACTCTCTCTTCCTGTTTACTCCTGCGTGGGCCAGATAATCTATGGAACGAATTTTGATTATGTGACTTGCAAAAGCCCCAGCTTTCGGAGTAAAGGGCCTGCCCCCGCCCCCGCGACCTCCGGCCGACAGTCCTGTTTCCCACCTCTCCCCACGGGCCCTGCCCAGTCCCAGGCTGGAAGCCCCACCCAGCCACCGCCCCTCTTCTGGTTTTCAGAAAACTGCACAGGCCTCTGTCACCCCATCATCCTGCAGTTACAGCCCGAGCTCCCTTTTCTGGGGTCTGGAGGTGTGTGCCGTCTGTAATCGGGTAGACAGGTGGAGGGGAAACGGACTGCTTCACACCCTCTCCCAGGAGGCCACTGGTGTGGTGTGCTGGGAAAAGAACCATCAGGTAGTTGTGAGATGTCATCTCAGACGCCCGGCGGGTACACGGACCCCGGGCTCACACTCAGTGGAGACGCCGGCGCCACAGCCTGGCTTTGTTTCATTTGGTGGAGCACAAGAGAAATTTCTGGAATATAGTCTGATTCAGAATTTCATTCTTTTTTTTTTAAGTCCTCACTAGAGAATATATTTTTTTATTTGAGAGAGAGAGAAACATCGATCAGTTGCCTCTCGCACACACCTCAACTGGGGACCAAGCCAGAAACCTTTTGGCGTATGGGACGATGCTCCAGCCCGAGCCCCCAGAGCCCCAGGCCAGGGCGAGAGTCTTTTTTTTTTTTTTTTTAGGTTTTCTTTCTTTATTTTTAGAGGGAAGGGAAGGAGAGAGGGAGAGAAATATCAATGTATGGTTGCCTCTCGTGCGTCCCCTGCTGGGAACTGACCTGCAACCCAGGCATGTGCCCTGACTGGGAATCAAACCACGATCATCTGGTTCACAGGCCCGCGCTCAATCCACTGAGCTACACCAGCCAGGGCGAGAATCTCATTCTTTAGGCACTGATGTGACCTTCCTGTTGAACTCGGAGTGCTCCCACCCTCGGACGCCCTGTGTGAGTGCACCACGCCCCTGCCTGGGAGGAAAGCCCAGGACTTTGTAAACCGTCTTGGGTCCACGGGCCCATCCCGTTCCCAGCAGAAACCAGAACGGAACAGGGACACTTGAGAACAAACTAGTCGTCCTTGTTTGGAAGAAGTAGTACACATAGATCATTTTGTCAATATTATTACAACATCGTCAATAATTATATTCATAATAAAATTTCCTAAAATGTCTGCCAGTCCCAAAGTGAGGTTCTGACCCTCTTTATAAACTTACTAACACATTAGGCAGGTTGTCAAAAATGTAGACAACAGTATAAACATGCGTGGTGTTGGATTCAGTGGGAGACCCAGAAGCCGTCCGTGTGTGGCATGTGTACGGTCGTGCAAGACAGAAAAAGGGAAACGCTCCGGACCAGACAGGGGCAGTTACCCCAAAATGAGCACAGGTTTGAGCCAGACAGTGAGGAAGTAAATAGGGTTTTGTTTTGGTTCGTTTGTTCTTTTGCTTGTTTGTTTGGAGTGGGGTTTCCTTCCTTCTTTGACCTCTTGAATTCTCCGAATTCCCCATACTAAACATTTATCACTTTGATTAACGGGGAAAAAAGCTCAACGAACTTCAGATTCAGAAAGGTTTTCCTGTGTGCCCTACTTTCTCCTGAAAGGGGCTGAGGGGACCTTGCTGGAAGGGCCAGATCAGGGCAGCCCCTCCCCGGCCCAGGGCCGACCCAGCCCCTGCAGTCCCAGCGGCTCCGGGCTGTGGTTTCATCACGGGAGGCCTGTTCTCGTCTTCGCACTGAAAAGTGACCTCCTGGCTAGGATCTGACCTGCCCACAGGGCCGAGGCCTGCGGGTCCCAGCCTGAAGCAGGCTAAAGTGAGGTTCCCCGAGCCCCACCCTCTCGGACGCTGCCCATGTGCCGCCCAAGCCTGCAGACCGTTGCTTGTCTTGTCTCCACTCTGCAGACGCAACCAGGGTGACGGTGCCCCCAGCCAGCATGGACGTCACCGTCGGGGAGAGCATCGTCCTCACCTGCCAAGTGACCCATGACCCCTCGCTCGACATCGTGTTCACCTGGTGGTTCAACGGACGTCTGGTCGACTTCGACAGGGACGGGGACCACTTCGAGAGGGTTGGAGGGGTGAGTACCGACCCCGGGCTGTCCCCGGAGCCCGCGGGCCGGGGCTGCTCCATGCTGCCCCAGGCAGCCTGGCCGGGCAGGAAAGAGAAGCACAGCCCGTCTTTGCTCGAAAGTCCTGGTTCACCCTCCTAGTTAACTGATAATAAGACTAGATCAGTGAATAGTAGAATCTAGATGAGAAACCAGGTGTCACAAATGAAAGCACTTTCAGGTTAAAAAAAAATCACAGCTCCTCTAGAATTAGGTGTGACGTCTCTGATGTGCCCGAGTGTGCGCGCTGTCGGAGGGCACTCATGCACTCACACACAGCACCCTGGATTCTGACGGCCTCACTCAGCAGGCGGTGGGCCCAGCCCTTCTGGTCAGTGGTCTCGGACCCAGAGAAGGGCAGGGACTTACGGGGGAGGCACAGTCAGTGCCACCCGACGTCGGTGTGCTCCCGCCCTGCACCTGCCTCCCTCCAGTCCCACCGACAGCTCCTGCCCCGTGTCTCCCATTGTCTGGGGCGATGAGCGATGTCTGGAGCCAAGGGAGGAAGCCCGGGCACCCCGGTCAGAGGAGGTCTTTCTAGATGGCGGGACGGCCTCGTGGGTAACAATGGGGCTGAGCTCAGCGCCACTGATCCTCGGAGACGTGCACAGGAAAACCACAGTGACGTATCCCCCACCCCTGTCAGAATGGCTGCCGTCACTAAATCAGCAAACAAGCGCCACCACGCAGGTGGACAAAGGGGACCCTCCTGCTCTGCTGTGGGAATGCAGACAGGTGCGGCCACCGCCAAAGGCAGTGTGGTAGGTCCTCAAAAATTTAAGGGGATCTGCCTTCCGATTGAGCGATTCCAGTGCTGGGAATGTACCCAGAGAACCCCGAAACACTCATTCGAAAGAATACCTGCACCCCTACATTCACTGCAGCGTTATTTGCAGTCACCGAGCTCTGGAGCAGCCCAGTGCCCGTCCGCAGACGAGTGGACAGCAGCTGTGGTGCATTCACCGGGCGCAGTGCCGCTCGCCATGAACAGGAAGGGACACCTGCCACAGCGTGGGCAGGCCTGGAGCGTGCGGCGTGGTAAAATGTCAGGCAGAGAAGGATAAGCACCGTCACGGTTTCACTTACACGTGCAACCTAAAAAACAAACTAAACAAACAAACCAGCAAACGGAAACTGACCCGTAGCCCTGAGAACAGGCTGGTGGCTGCCGGAGGGGAGGGGCTGGGGGCTGGGTGTAGGCGAAGGGACGGCGGGGTCCAGACAGAACCGGCGTGGGCACGGGAGGCACGCACAGGGGACGCAGTCAGTAGAGAGGTGGCGACTGTCGCAGGTTCGGTGCCAGGCGGGCACTGGAGACACCTGGGGACACACAGTGTAAAGTGTCCGCCGCCCGGCCACTGTGCTCCACACCCGAAACCCACACGAAACACCATCACATGTCAGCTGTGGTTGGAAAAAACAGAGCAGGGACTGGGGCCTGTGGGGTCACGCAGCCTGGCTCTGCCACCGACGGGGCGGTGACTGTGGGCAGGTCGCTGGCCTCTCCGTGCCCGAGCTCCCTCACTGGTCAGGTCAGCTGACCAGGCCCCACCTCCCGAGACGGGTGTGCAGGGCGGTCACATGGGCAGAGCCCCAGCTAGTGCTGTGACCGCCCACCGGGTCTGCAGGGCTGCTCCACACTGTCCAGTATCACTGGCAGAGGGAGAAGGGCAACAGAAGGGTCTGCAGTTTGAGGAGGGACAGCCTTGTCACCTTGTCACCACCCATGGGGGGCTAGAAAGAAGCCATCTTCCCACGTCTGGCCCCTATCAGGATCCTGCTCCTGCAGCTGTTTTTCAAGCTTCTGGCCACCAGGCTGTGACAGCTGCCACCGCCTTCACACTGGCCTCTGTGGGCACGTCCAAGGGGTCATTGAAAGCACCGTGCAGGGCTCTACGTCCAAGGCGCGCAGACAGTGTCCCGGGCCCTGGGCTGCAGAGGCCCCCAGAAGCAGGCCTTTCCGAGTGCAGGGCTCCGAGGGACGGGACAAACCCCACGCAGCTGACGGTCTGAGGGCATGTCCAGAGACGCCCGTGGACTAAGTTGGGAGCCACTTTGCATCAGTCACATGCCTCCAGCGTGGACGGCAAATGAGTCCAGAGCCCAGAGCAGCCAGGCCCGAGGTCCGGGCCCAGGTGTGTCCCGGACCCGGTGGCCTTCTCGGCGGTGTTCGCGGCACCCAGGCAGGCTCCCCGGCTGCAGTGGGCCGTGGCTCGCACCCCTAACCTCCCCGTCATCACCGGCCAGCGTAAAACACGCACACTGGTCACGGTGCCCCTCGTGGGGTCAGGACATGTGGCGCTCACTGAGAACTAACCGGAGCTGCCACTTTTTCAGCAGGACTCGGCGGGCGACCTGATGATCCGCAACATCCAGCTGAAGCACGCGGGGAAGTATGTGTGCCTGGTGCAGACCAGCGTGGACCAGCTGTCCGCGGCCGCCAGCCTGATCGTCAGAGGTGGGGCTTGGGTTTTCTCCTCCCCACGTTCCGGGAGGCCTGCTGCGGCCCGGAGCTCCGTCAGCTCAGCGGTTTAGAGTTGTAGGGGGGGCGGGCGCGAGGCCGAAGCTCCGCCTAGTGAATAGACACCAGCAGTCCGCGGGGTTTCCGTGCACGATTTCTCGGGGGAGCTTGTCGGGGAAGGCAGAGCAAACCCGGTTCCTTCGTACTGAGTGTCCCTCCTGGGAGCAGCCGGTGCGCGGCAGCCAGGGCAGAGGTGACCCAGGGTTAGCGTCACACGAGTACAAGCAAGCGGCCTGGGGGGGTCAGCATGCTCAGCGGGGTCTCGCTGAGGCCACAAAGGAGCGTCTGGGCCGCGGCCCTAGGAGGGACTGACGGGACACCTCCCCCGCCCCCCGTTTTCCCCCTTTTTTCCCCTGAATTTAATCGTTCTGTCCAGTTCCTAACACGCGGCTTTAGTCAGACACGCCTCCTCGCCGCCTGGGATGCAGCTAAGCTGGGACTTGACGTGCAGGCTGACGTTTGGGTGGATTTCTTGGCCAGATTTCAGCCTACAGGCGCGAACCCCTGTCCGAGCCCCACAGGTGGACTAAGTTGCAAGCCCTACAAACCAGTCTGTAAGGGAAGAGTCCATGGACTTTGAAGGGATCTCCTTAAATTAAATGTAAAATCATTGTGAGCCCATGTGTGCTCCGGGCTTTCTAACCTGTGGAAAGTGGAGCCACCGGGACGTGGAGAGCGCGCCTCCGGCGCCTGCCGTCCTCGGGGCCCAGCGGGGGGTGCGCAGGTGCCTTGGTCCAGCGGCTGCAAGACAGTGAAACCCGGGGGCTCTCCGAGGGGCAGGGGTCGTGAATCTCAGTGCCCAGAGAACCGGGGTCACTGGAGGCCACAAAAATTGCTGCTCTCTCCTCTGGGCTTCACATCTCAGGGGGTGTGGGTTTAGCAACTTAAAGTAGCTCTCAAGAGAAGTCCCAGAAAAAGCGCGTTTTCATCCTGTCTGCTCCGGTTCCTCTTTAAATTTCCCAAAGACGCTTTCCAGTGACAGGACAGACAAAGGCCACTCCCCAGGGGACACCCTGTGGGACGAAGCTTGTTTCCATTTTAAGGTCATGACGCTGGTCCCCTCCCCTCCCGACTGGACTGGAGGACAAAGGAATTCTGCTGCTGAAAATCCATCTTCTGTCTAATTAGGATAATGTTCAGCTCAGCAGTTTAAATGCCCATGTGCTACACTAATAAATATTTAAATCAGCAACACTCGAAGTTCCTAAATGATATTGTATACTTCATTTCACAGAAAATAACATTAGCCACCAGGAGGAATCTGCAGATGCAGCCTGAAAGAAAACCTGGTCTAATCAGTTCCCAAGGCCAATAAATGACTGCAGCACCCGGTGTCTCTGACCCCCTCCAGCTCCTCCACTGGGGGCCTCACCGCCTGTCCCAGGGGCTGCCCTTCACGGGGAGGGGGTACCGCGGGGGGGCGCTCTCTGCCCCGGAGGAGAGTCCTGTGTGGGACGCAGCACAGCCCCCAGCCTGGAGCCTCAGCCCAGCCTCCTTGGTCATCTGATACTGACCGGGTTCCATCTCCAGCCGACCAGGGGTGCTGGGGAGGCCCCCTCCCAAGAGGGGTGCAGAGGCACCTCCAGAGTCAGCTGTCCCCTGCCAAGCCCCGGGCCAGGGAACCTTCGGCTCAGAGGGCACACATCTGCTCATTGAGTGGTTCCGAAAGAGGCCCCCAGGACCCCCGAGTGAAGCTGGGAAACATTCTGCAAGGCCACGTCCGAGCGTCATGGGGGGTGGGGTTTACAAAGAGTGAACTGAGCCCAGACAGCCCATGGTCACTGCACCGGCCCCCAGCATCTCCGGGGCCCAGCCGAGGGCCGCAGACCCCACCAGTCCCGTCAGAGGGACCCCTCTGCCTCCAGGCTCCGATTTGAAAGGCCTTCCCAGGAGCAGCAGTCGGGGGCGCGGGGGCGAGGATGAGAAAAAGATTTTATCGTCTTCCGGGCTCTGTCTGGTTAATAAGGGTCCCGGAGATCGGTGGGGGTAGCGCTAGACCAACACGTTGAAATGTCACCGTGGAAACCAGTCACCTCCGGCACACAGGGCTGCGGGGCCGTCATCCGGGGCGGGGAGGGAGAAGGCGCGTTCGGTCTCACCTGCGGGTCCGTGAAGGGGCTCGTGGAGGAGAGAGATGCGGGGCGGGGCAGGCAGAGCACAGGCGTGAATGAAGTCGGGAGCGAGTCTTCCTCAAGGAAGTGCCATTAACCGCCCCCCCCAGCAGGGCCCCGCTGTGCACCCGACCGGTGTGCGGGGCGCAGCAAACCCCTCCCAGGCTGGTCGGACGGGCAAGACGGCTGTCGTTCTGTGTCCCTCACGGTGACCCCCTCTCTGAGGCGGTGGAGCGTGCCTTCTGGGGGAGACACGGGACAGCCCGGGGAGAGCTCTCTGTGCCGGGACCGAGCAGGGGCCTGGCTCTCTGCCCTTTGCGCCCACTTTCCGCCCCTCTGTTCCTTCGATTTCCAAGCCTGTGGTCACGGGTTCAAGTCCATGGGCGCAAATGACGTCCATCCGGGAGAGAAGTAGGCAAGTGCAGGCATGACCTGCAGAGACCGAGGAGGGTCTGGAGACTCTGGCCTGATTCTGAACTGGCTCGGGAGGGGCTGCGGTTGGTGATGTGGGCACCGGCCTTGTTCACAGCTGTGCCCTCTCACACAGGCCTGTGCCTGCCCTTGCTGTGGGTTGGGGGCAGGGCAACACCACGACCCCGAAGTTCTAAACCCGGTTCTCCTCAAAGCCACGCCCTCCATGGTGTAAGGGGGCGTTTCCATGAGGCGCCCGTCTCCACTGACCTCTGCGTGTCCCCTAACAGTGCCCGGCCCAGCAGGGCCCTGCACGTGAGCAGCAGGTGCGTTAGAGAGTGTGGGCCCTGCGCGCCGGCATCAGAACAAACACTCCGCCCCAATCCGCACTTCACCCGCTCGTCTTTCCCGTCACACGTGAGCCCCCGGGAGCGGGGCCGCGTCCCGGTCACTGCTGGCTGCAGAGCCCGGAGGGACGCCGGGCGCCTTGGAGGTGGTCAGTAGGGAAGTGTCTGGGGGGGGGGGGTCTGGGACCACGTGAGGAAGGGCCCACGTGCTCTGACCTCAGCCCCCACCGCCCGCTCCTGAGGGTGTGGCTCTCCGCCAGGTCCCCCAGGGCCCCCGGAGGCCGTGACCATCGATGAAATCACGGACACCACCGCCCAGCTGTCCTGGAGGCCCGGGCCCGACAACCACAGCCCCGTCACCGTGTACGCCATTCAAGCCAGGACTCCGTTCTCCGTGGGCTGGCAAGCCGTCAGCACAGGTACCGCACTGGCCGTCTGCGCTCGGGGGTCCAGCGGGCCTTTCGAGACCCCACGTGAAGGGCCCTGCGCTGTGGCAGAGCCGGGGCGCCGGGGTCCTTGTCAGGCACAGCGTGGGTGACAGACACCCCAGGGCAGTGGGTCGTAGTCCACAGCCAACCGTGCTGTCCTCCATTCAACGCCATCTCTGCTCAGGGACACAGAGGCGCAGGCTGGTGCGTGGCCGGTCCCTGTGATGGGGACATGCTGCTCTGGGAATGTGGGAACCAAGCACTGGCTGGGGCCACGGCCCAGGCCACCGGAGGGGCCGCCTGTGTTTTCAGGTGGATCAGTTTGGGCACACGGAGGCGCGAGATCTGGCTGCTTTACACAGTGGGTGGGTTGGCCGTTCCACCGCTTCCCCGGGCAGCGCCTCCAGATTGGCCTGCTGTGCTGTTCCACTTGGGGTTCACCGCGGGGAAGTGCACACGCCGGTGGCTGTTGCCCGCAAGGCGCCAGCTCCTCCTGCCCCGTGGCGCTGGCCGCACGGCCTTGGCTGCCGAGGCCGAATTAAGTGGAGGGATGTGTCCAGCTTTCTGGGACTGAGAAGGGCCCCAGGGTCTGGTGCAGCCCCCTCTCTTCACTGTAACTGGCCCAGCTTTGGGGACGGTCTCCGAGTTGTGGCCGAGTCCTTGCTGCCCCCCACTGCCGCGGGCAGGGTTCAGGACGGGGGGGGGGGGGGCAGGAGACTGGAGGTGCCGGGGAAGTGGGGGTGGGAGTCTGGTCCTGACGGGATCTCCGTGTCCTGGTCAGCGGGCACGAGGGGTTGTTCACGCACAAAGGAGACACGGCCGTGAAGCCTTGTCACACACAGGAAGTGCTGTGCGCGTGTAACAGAAGCGGAGAGGGCGCCGGCCAGGTTACGGAAAGACGACTCGGGTGTGTGCAGCCCTCGCCAGGCGCCCTGTGCCCTGCTGGGCGCTCGCTGGTTGTGGGCTTTGTCGACAGGGGGAAGGGTTGCTGTTATCGGCCTGCCTTTATGGTGAGGAAGCCGAGGCAGGGACGGTGAAGCAACCCGCCCAAGGTCCCTTGGCTGCTAAATGCAGACTTGCAATTAGAACCCGGGGGGCCTGCCTGACCCCAGAGCCCCCACCCCACCTGGGAGGGTGGAGCTGTTTCTGTGCAGCCCCGAGAGGCTGGCAGCCACCCCACCTGCTCCCAGTGTGATGGCCTCGGCTCTGCCCTGGACGTCTCCCTCCCAACACCCTGGGTCCAACGGGAAGTCTGCACGGTAATCAGTTTAAAACCCAAGAGGGGTCTGGGGTGAGCCCCTTGCCCGGCATCAGGCCCGCTGTCCTCACCCGGAAACATGAGACCTTGTAGGACGGTTCTGAGAACCAAACAGCCTGCACATCACGTGGCTTCGAGCCCTGAAGACGGTGCCTTTGGTGACGACCCCTCTGGGTGTCTGAGTACCAGGCACCGCCACCAGAACAGCGGTCGAGTAGCAACCAGCAGCCCACCCATGGCGCCCTGGGCACAGTCCAGGCGGGGAGGTGGGCGGGTGCTCCCGCCTCCCAACCTGGGACATCCCCGATGTCTTTCAGTCCCCGAAGTCATCGACGGGAAGACGTTCACAGCAACCGTGGCAGGTTTAAACCCTTGGGTCGAGTACGAGTTCCGCACAGTGGCAGCCAATGCGATCGGGATGGGGGAGCCCAGCCAGCCCTCCGAGAAGCGGAGGACCGAGGAGGCCCGTGAGTAGCTCCCCACACAGACGGTCTCTGAGGGCCGTGACCCCTCCTGTGGTCATCCTCGGGGCCTCTGCGAGCACCCCTTCCTCCCTGAGGGTCAGAAGCGTCAGCGAGCGGGCCGTAGCCGCTGGCTTACTGGTCAGTGCGCCCCAGTCCCAGTTAGGGTCTCCCTCTGCCCGGGGTCCGTGTGCGGGGACACGGGTGTGCTCGGGTCTCTCTGGCACCAGCTCTGTCTTCATTGGTCTGCTTGTCGGCAGGCCTGCCCCCCAGGGTGCACTTCTTCACACACACCCCACATGTCTCACGGAGCCCCCCTACTCCCAAGGGGCTGAGGGCGGGGTCTTCAGAGAAGGGCGGGCAGAAGTCTTAGGGGATAATCCATACCCCGAAGCTGAAATCAGGGCACCCCACTGCTCTCAGGTCAGCAGCCTCGTCGGACCCCCATGTTCGCTGCTTCAGTGAGCATAGGGAGGAGGTGACATGAACCCAGCTGGGTCACTCGTCCCTGAAATTCTCTCGCACACGCAGGTGTGGGCCCAGGGTTCCCAGCCGACATGAGGTCCTTTGCTTGCTGAAGGAGTAGCAGGGCCCTAAACAGATGGGAACTCTGACCCCGCTCTCGGACAAGACCCACCAGGTGTACCTCGTGGCTGTGACCGAGGGGCCGTGGCCCGTCCCAGCTGCGTACTGGCCAGGCCTCCCGAAACCTGCCCAGGGTCTTTCTCTGACGTGGTGGTCCTGCGGCTAATGCCCCTGCCTCGCCCCTCCAACTGCGACATCATTCGTCCCCCTCAATGGTCCTGAAAAGGGGGCTCCTGCCACTTCCCTCCTCTCCAGAGAAACCGGCCCACAGAGCTCAAGCCCCTGAGCACCACTTCCTCTGCCCCCGCGCCCACCTCTCCGCCCTCCGCGGGGCAGCCCGCCTCTGCAGGCGCTGTGCCCGCGCCCCTTTGTCTGGCCCGAGGGGTCCCTCGTGGACCTTGCACTGTGACTGCTCTGTGTCCCCCCGTGTGAGCCGACCCACGGCTAATGAACGCCTCCCCGGGCAGTAAACCCCAAGCCACAGTCCCTTCCTCATGCCACGCCCCTGGGCCTCCGGGGTGGAGCTGAGTGAGGGGCCAGTGGTGGCCGATAACGCCAGTGCCTTGTTGGAGGGGAAACTGGTGACCAGGAGCAATTTCCTTGAGTCTTGTCACTCCCTCGTGGGGTGTGGTGGGCCTGGTGACCACACGGTTTCTGATCTCAGAAAACAGGTGTGTGTGCACCCGGCTGTGGATCTGAAGTGAGTCACCTCCACTGGGCCAGGCTGCCTCCGAGGCCCTCATTTGCCTTTGCCCCTGACATGACCTCCTTCTTGTCCCCTGAACAGTCCCCGAAGTCACCCCAGCTAACGTCAGTGGCGGAGGAGGCAGCAAGTCGGAGCTGGTCATCACCTGGGAGGTAAGGGTATCCCCGCCCAAGGGGAGCCCACTCCCGTCCGGGCTGTTCCGTGTTTTCCTCCATGGAAACGCATCCAGGCAGGGCCCCCGTGTTGTAGCAGCCAAAACCCATTGGCGTGCGAAGCCCCCTGCGCAGAGGTCACGGCTCAGGCGCAGTCTCTCCATCATCAGGCAAAGTTCTGAAACAATTGGGAGGAGGGGGAGCTCTCCAGAGGGTTCTCCATCTTTTCTGAGGATTCTCGATGGCAGCCAAGGCCCAGGCCCCAGCTGTGAGAGTCGCTCCGCCTCCGAGCCGGGAGGTCTGGCCAGAGCCAAGGGGGTCCCCCCCTGCAGGCGGCCACAGTCTGGCGCCCAAGGAGCCCACCCCGGCGGATGTCTTTCCCAGTTGTCTCCCGCTGTTCCGGAACCAGGCCTCGGCCCCGCTGTGCTCCTCCTCCCTGAGCTTCTCTGACCCTGCCCCGCACCTCCTGAGTGTCAGAGGGCGACCGAGGGCGGCCCGGAGTCTGGACAAGGCCCGAAACGAGACGGGTGGGGGTGGGGGGTGGGGGAGAACCTAGATAGACTTGTCCGGTGAGCCACGTAAAACCTTCCTCGCGTTTCAGTGGAATCGCCGGGGTTCCAGAAACCTCTCTCTGACTGCCCCCCTCGGTCCGCAGACGGTGCCCGAGGAGCTGCAGAACGGGCGCGGCTTCGGGTATGTGGTGGCCTTCCGGCCCTATGGCAGCGGGACCTGGATGCTGACGGTGCTGGCCTCGGCCGACGCCTGCAGATACGTCTTCCGGAACGAGAGTGTGCGCCCCTTCGCCCCCTTCGAGGTCCGAGTGGGCACCTACAACAACAAGGGCGAGGGCCCCTTCAGCCCCGTCACGGTGGTGTACTCCGCGGAGGAAGGTGCGCCCCACTGCGGGGACGGGGCCCAGGGCGCGGGTTTCGGGACACACAGGTGTCAGGCACCCCTCAGCAGCGGGAGGACAAAGGCGGCGCAGAGACTGGCTGGTTCCGTGGGCAGCTTCCTGCCTGTTCCCAGGTCGGCTTCCCCCAGAAGAACTCAGGCCTCTGCCCCCCGTTTGGTGACTGTCAGAGTAGGACTCATGTGGCCTCTCGCCATTTTGTCTTTATAAAGCGTGTGGCATGGACCTCTTATTCTGTGTTACTAAGGATGTCTCCTGACATGGCGTAACATGGCGTGGTGGCCCACATCCCCGTGCCCCTGCCGTCCCAGTGCCCCTCACTTGGTCTTCATCGCCACAGCCGTGCGTCCCCCTTTACAGAGGGTGTGTCCACAGTGACACCACGTGAGGACGTCTGGCAGCCCGGTCTGGTTTGCAGGTGACACTCGGTAGCCCGCAGGCCCCGCCCCCCGGCTCCCACCAGAACTGCAGTCACCCACACAAGCTGGAGCCCGTGCACACACTTCCCTCCTTTGAATGTCCCCAGTTTTGCCCACCTTGGGACTTCACAGGCGTCCTCCAAGTCTCAGCGTGAAGGACCAAGGCCCCCTCTCGGTCCCCAGGCCAGCCAAGTGCAGCCTGTCACCTCCCAGTGTCCTCTACAGTAATGCTCTTCGCCACGTGTTATAAATTTTGAATTTCAGTTTTATGTCCCCACTAAGGTGTGTCTCTGGAGGGCCCGCTGTTTATCCTTCACCTCCGTGTCACCGTGTCTAACCGTGTGTGACACACAGGCCCTTCACAAGTGCTGACTCGGTGGACACGCGGTGCAGTGGTTTCTTGTTGCAGGGAGACCAAGCCTCAGAGGCCCCCATCCAGCGTCACCGCAGGGTGACGGCATCCCAGGAGCACACCCGGGGGGACTGTGCGTGTGCAGATGGACTTGCAGACACGTGCAGCAATCCCACCTGGGCGGGAGCTGCAGCAGGAGAAAACGCAGCTGTGAAATCCAAACCCCGACTTCATGAATTTCAGTGCTCACAACATGGTCGGGGTCTTCTTTAAGAAAGGACACTGGCCCTGGCTGGTGTGGTGCAGTGGATTCAGCGCAGGCCTGCGAACCAAAGGCTCACCGGTTCAATTCCCAGTCCAGGCACAGGCCTGGGTTGTGGGCCAGGTGCCCAGTAGGGGGCGTGCAAGAGGCACCCACACACAGAAGTTTCTCTCCCTCTCCTTCTCCCTCTCTAAAAATAAATAAATGAAATCTTTAAAATTTTTCTTATTTAAAAAAAGGACACTGAAAGGAATATATTAACATATAGAAATGGTACAAAGTTTTAGCAAAAATCTGGTAAAAACAACTGAAGTTCAGGTAACAGTCTTGGTCTGGGCGCTTGTGTGCCTTGGAGGAAGTTGAGGGCCAAGACAAGCCGGGGACTTTCCAAGGCCACACAGTTTGCTGTGCAAATTTCAACTGTCACCTGGCTCTCCTGAGTCGCAGTCACATCAGTTGACTGTCCTGCTCCCATTCCCTGTCCTAGTCATAACTCAGGGACCAGGACACATGCCTGTGACATGATAATTAAGAAGGACACGTGTTAAGTGAAACTTGGTGCCCAGACTGGAGCAGTCCCGGCGACTGGCCTCGCTCACCCGCACCTCACCACCGGGGGTTGGACGAGCGTCTGCATTGCTGCCTCTACCCCTGGCCGACCTGGCGGCCAGCCACTGCGCCTCCTCCGTGGAATCAGGGTGTGGGTGACACCCACCAGGGCGGCTCTGTGACCACAGGGTCTCTGCCCGTGTCTGGGTGTCTCGAAGCCTGTCCAGAAGCAGCTGAGTCACGCCCTTCTGCATCCCCCCTGCAGAGCCCACCAAACCACCGGCCAACCTCTTTGCCAGAAGTCTGTCTGCGACCGACATCGAAGTGCTCTGGGCCCCACCCACGGAGAAGAACAGAGGCCGGATACAAGGCTACGAGGTCAGCAGGAGATCAGGCTCAGCCCTGGAGAGGAGTCCCTCCCCTGCAGCAAGCCCCCCGAGACACGCTCACGTTCCGAGGCCTTCGCCCCGGGGCCGGCATTGGCGGGAGTGTCCACGGGGGCAGAGGGTGTCCCCTGTGGGACTCGCTTCCGAGGCTGCACTCAGAGATGTGTCCCGAGGAATGGACGCGGGTCTGAGCACCTACGTGAGATGCTCGGCAAGACGAGCGTGGACTGCGGATGTCCCCAGGGTCTCCTGGGCTCAAAACAGAGGTGGAAAAGAGGTAGCAGGGCCCGCGTGGTGGCCCCGGTTCACCAAGTCACCACGCGCACCCGTGAGAGCCAAGGGCCCCGCCCACCGCGGGTGATGGCCGGGAGCTCCCAGAGCGCTGGGCCCTGAAGCTCCGCCTGCACGTCCTTGTGGGGAACCCAGTCCCTGGTCGGGGACCCTGAGAGAGAACCTCTTGCCCCACGACAGTGGAAAACGTCCAGGGCCTTGCGTTTGGTTTCTGCAGGTTAAATACTGGAGACACGAAGACAAGGAGGAAAACGCGAGGAGAGTGCGCACGTCTGGAAACCAGACCTCGGCCACCATCACCAACTTACGAGGCAGCGCGCTGTACCACGTGGCCGTCCGGGCCTACAACACGGCCGGGGCCGGCCCCGCCAGCGCCATGGTCAACGTGACCACCAGGAAGCCGCGTAAGCTGGGCCTCGCTGGGCACGCCCTGGGGTTCCTCACAGCGTCCCAGGGCCTCCCCGGCCCCGCCTCCCAATGGCCGTTTGCATGCTGATTGTGTTGTGCGGATTCAGACTTACCTGAGCTCTTTAACAGAGCCTTGCAGGAGGCCATGAAGAGTTCAGTGCTCAGAGTGCAGAAAGATGAGTGTTCTCCTCCACACCGGGAAGGGCTCGTCCTTTAGCCTTGAACGCTAGGCGACCGGCCGAGTCGTTCTCGATGCACGGCACCGTGCGTGGGGCGTCGGGGCCTTGAGGACACGCATCAGTGCAGCAGCCCATTAAATTGCCTCGCGCCCGCCTCCAGTGAGGACACGGTCCTGGAACCCACTGACACCTAACAGCCTGCGCCTTTGCGTGTCTCACTTTCCCTGCAGCCCCCAGTCAGCCCCCCGGAAACATCATGTGGAATTCCTCGGACTCCAAGATCGTCCTGAACTGGGACCGCGTAAAGGCGCAGGGCAACGAGTCGGAGGTGAAAGGCTACAAGGTGGGTCGCTTAGTGGGGACGGTCCCCTCCCAGGAAGCACGGGGACCGGGGCCCCACTGTCCTCGATGACCGTGGACTCCCACGCCCTTCAGGAGCCCCCGCCCCGTGGCATTTGGTCTGAGTTTGGCCGACTCTCGGGGGCCACTGGCCAGGATGTGGGGACCCGCCTGGACAGGGCGCAGGCAGGAACAGCCAGAGGCCCCGGGGTCCAGCTGCAGAGTCCCGGGGGGGGGGGCGGCCCTTAACGTGCCGCTGTCTGGTTTCCTTCTCGTCTCTGCCGCGTTTGTTTCTGCATCCGCAGCAGTAGCTCCTCGGCGCTGCCAGTGCTGAACCGTGGCTGCCACATCCGTAGGTTAGGAAGACAGGCGTGTGGAAAAAGAAGCGAGGATGTTTTTCCAGAAAATTCCTTTGCCCGATCCCATAATGTTAGCCTGACTTTAAAGAGCTAGAAAAGAAAATGCATGGGGCCCAGACGTCACAATTAAAGAGTTAAATACCCCGTCTGCGTTCTCAGGCACCTCACCGCTGCCTGGAACCCCACCCTAAAGTGCGAGGGGGCTCACACAAAAACTTACCTTTCTTCCTGACCCAGCACTGGGGGTGGGGCCAGAGTGGACGGTCTTCCAGGCGGGTGACCTCGGCCTCCGGCTGGGCCCAGCACACCTCGCCCCCGCCCCGCCTCTCCCCGTGTCCCTCTGGGACCCCCACGCAAGCTGCTGGGTGCTGGGTCACCAGGCCTCCTGCGCGGCTGCCGCCCATGCTGCCCATGCTGCCTGTCTTCTCGGCAGTGACAGCCGGGACGGGCGCGGTCAGGGACTCAGGCTCTGATGGAGGGAAACGAGCTCTTCCCCGTGGGGCGGCGGCCCGAGTGGGCGCAAGGGGGGCTGTCGGGGCCATGATTGTGACCACTGCTCACTCGGAGAAGGCTTTGACCTGGAGGCCAGCACCAAGGATGGGGCTGGGGGTATCCAGCTGGGGGACTGAAGACCCTCAGAGGCATGACAGTCACTTCGGGGTCTGAAGGGCGGTCAGTGGAAGATGGGGGTCAGCCTCCGGCTCCCGAGGGGGTCAAACTGCGGCCGACGGGGGGCCACGTGGGGGCGAGTGTCAGTCTGCCCCTCTGCGTGGGGGCAGAGCCCTTCCAAACGTGGGCGGGATTCAGAGAGAGACGGGGCTTCTTGTTCCAGAGAGTCGATGGCCGCCCAGTGAGATGTTAGAAAGGGACAGAGTGGGGACGATTACATCACGCGGCCTGCAGATTCTTCCCAGTCCCAGAACATTAGGAGGGAATGACTAAAGCGAGGCTTCTGGGAAACCACAGGCCTAGGGCCGTGTTGATGAGGCCTCAAGGGCCACAGGTTTTATATTCATCCTCTGGGGTGGCCGGGTGGACTGAGCGCTGGCCTGCCAACCGAAAGGTCGCCGGTTCAATTCCCAGCCAGGGCACACACCTGGGCTGTGGGCCAGGTCCCCGGTCGGGGGGTGTGAGAGGCAACCAGTCAATGTTTCTCTCCCCCTTTCTCCCTCCCTCCCTCCCTCCCCCTCTCTCTAAAAATAAGTAAATATTTTTTAAAAGAAGAATAAGGGAATTGGAGGCATTTTTAATGAGTTGCCCCATAGTGTTCATTATAGGACAAAAACATTGTAAAAACCAAATCTGTGATTTTGAAATGTTTTCAAGGAGAAGAACTTAAAAGTCAGCATTGAAGCGAGGCAGGAACGGTCTCCCATCTGCTCGGGAACAGGTGGTGAATGCGTGGCCAGCAGAGGCCTGGCTGGGGGGGCCCCTCGGGCGGGTGGAGCCGCAGGGCCAGCCCCGTGTTTGGGGGTGTTCGCAGGTCCCCCTCCGTCCCTGGGCTGACTCAGCAGAGGGCCGCCCACCCAGGTTCCCACCAGGGGCGGGGGAAGCTCCTAAAGGGGCCCCGGGGAGGAAGGGGGCCGCCCTGGCCTCTCAGAGACCTGCCCTGGGGGCGGACGTGTGTGTCCCCAGAGGTGTCCCAGCTCGGCCCCTGCCCCACGCCGCCACCTCTCCTGGGCACATTTCCATCTGCGGTTGACGTTGTGCCTTCCGGGGACCACGTTCCACACGACCCTTGAGCCAGGCCCTCGTGGCAGCCCCTCCGTGCATCCTGAATACACCCTGAGAGGTGGCTGCTACTGTCCCCTGTCACAGATGAGGGAAGCGATGCCCCAAGTTGTAAAGTTAGGCCAACCATGGTCACACAGCAGCCAGGTCTGTTCTGATCCCAGGGCCCCGCCGGGGTCAGTGAGTCCCGACGTCCTCAGAAGGGGCTGGCTTTTCCCAGGTGCTCCCTGGGCCTCCCCAAACCCTCCTCCTGCGGGAAGGGGAGGGTGGCCGCAGCCAGGCCCTGTCCACCTGCGCCCTCCCGGTGTGTGCTGGCGGCCCGACAGCCTCCACGTCCCCGAGCAGGGCCTCGGCCCAGCGAGGAACACCGCAGCGCGCTCTGCCCTCGGCCCGGGCCGGTGAGAACAGCAGGTGACGCCTGCCCCTCCGTGTCCGCAGGTCCTGTACAGGTGGAGCAGGCACAGCGGCACGTCCGTCATCGAGACGAACGGGACGTCGGTGGAGCTGGCCCTGCCGCCGGACGAGGACTGCATCGTGGAGATCAAGCCCTTCAGCGACGGAGGGGACGGCAGCGCCAGCGAGCAGATCCGGATCCCAAAGAGGACAAGTAAGGACTCGGCCCCTGCCCCTGCCCCTCCCAGGAGCCACGCGGTGAGTCCAGGCTGCCGCGGGCTTGGCCGGGCGCAGAGAGAGACTCGCTGAAAAGCAGACCGCGCCGTCCCCCCACCCCTTGGCCGCGGACGTCTGCCGGTCACCGGCAGTTTCCTGCAAGAGGCAGCTTGACCAGAGGTGACCGGTGCAATCTGTGACCTGTCAGGGAGCCAGGCTGCAGCAGCCCCGGGTCGGCGGCCCCGGTGGGGTCCCGGGGTCACTCTGCAGGCCCCCAGAGCACAGACCAGAGAGTTGAGAGTGCGACTCTGTCAGGAGGGACGAGCGGAGGGCTTGACGGACGGGCACTCCAGTGACGCAGTGTAACGCAGCGTCTCTGGCTGGGACCACTGGGGCTCGACGCTCTTAACTTGGAGGGGTGCACGTGACACGTGGACGTAAATGCACATGCGTGACAGCCACGATGGTCTCCGACCCCACGGAGCAGCCTGTGAGAGCACAGTGTGCGCACGGGACCGAGTGACTCCTGCTGCCATTCATCACCGTCCCCTTCTGCTCCGCGGGAGCCCCCGTAAGCCCGTGCTTGCCCACCCCGTAGGCGTTTGGAGCAAACACAGTCATTCCTGGTTTCCAAACGCCACGTTTACAAGTATCTCAGCCAGCAGCATGGTTTCTGTTGCTGAGTGGTTTCATTTACCTGAAAAACACGGAATAGACCAACTCTGAGACAGACTCCTGGCTGGCAGGGGCCGGCCAGCGGTGGGCGCTGTGGCCCGATGGGCACTGGGTTCCACTTGGGGTGACTGACAGGAACATTCGGGAACCAGACGGCAGCACTGGTTGCTAGAAAGTGCGTGTGATTGCTCCGTGGCCTTTGCATGTGATGAGAGGTTCGAAAAGGCTGGGGGTGGACGTTTCAGGCCGTCAGTGAGGAGGTGGAACTTTCACTCGTGGACAAAACCCTGCCTGGAGTCCTGCGTTCCGTCTCCTATGTGAAGGGTCCCTCAGGCTTTTGTCCAGGTGCGGGAAGGGCAAGGCCACCGCGAAGCACCCACGAAGCCCTCTCTAGACGCTGTAGGGCTGGTGCTCATGCCCTCGCGCGGCGGCCGTTCCCTGTAGGGTCTACCAGTCCCATCCGGCTCCCTCCAGCTGCCCCTTCCGAAGCCCCTTGGCCTCGCTTCCTGCGGCGGCCAGGGGTGGCGCTGTTGAGCCGCCGCCTTCTCTCTCCGCAGATGCCTACGCCCGGGGCGCGGGCCCCTCCACCTCCAACGCCTGCGCGCTGTCTGCGCTCAGCACCATCATGCTCTCGCTCACGGCCAGGTCCAGCTTATGACGGACGCTGCGGCGGCGCCGGCCACGACACAGCGCCACTGAGCTGGTGGCTTTGGGAACGCCCAGTGCTCGGTGACGTCGTTGTCGAGTGCGTCTTATTACTGGGAAAACATGTTTCTTGCTTCTCTAGGAATGAATGGCGGTCGGTCTACGAGCTTCCTCGGAGCACACCTAGCTTCGCCCGCGGTTCGCGGGACACGGGCAATGCACTGAAGACATCTGTGATACGATGTTACCAAAGCGGTTTACATACGTCCTTATATGCATATTTTTATTATATAGTTAGTGTTTTATAGAATTTTTTAAAGTTAACATGAAATGTAGATATTAATTTTTTCCTCTGCTATAAAATGCAATGGGCACCAGTCACACAGTTATGGTTTGAGAACGTTTCCTTCAGAGACAGAGTGTGCAGCTCGCCTTGACGACGAAATTGCAAAGCCCTGGTCCTGCTTCACATGGAGGGGGCAGGCAGCTGGGCCCGCTCTGCGCCGGGCTGCTGGCGGGCGGGCCGAGAATGACGCTCAGGACAGCCCAGCGCTAGGCCCGGTCCTTGCACATGGGAACACCGGGTCTTCCGCTCCCATGTGGATTTTGTTGGGCGGTGCAACTCGAGACGGTTCCGGGAGCGGGTACAAGTTCAGACCGAAAGGGCTGCCCCCGAGAGCCGCCCCGTGGCACAAGGTGAGACTCGCTCTCCGTGCTGCTGAGCGAGCCTTGTCTCCACAGTAGCGCTGTCTCAGGCATCACTCCAGAGGGCCCACGCCCGCGGTGACATAGCCTGGAAGTCACTCTAGTCACCCGAGTCTTTCAGGGGCTCAAAGGTAACTCAATTCTCTTTAAATGTACCTGTTTGAACGTATATTTTAAAAGCAAAGGTGGTTCTCTGTTCACGGGTTCATGACTTCTTTCCAGGATTTCTCATGTAGAGTATGTATATCTCTCAATGACAGAGCCCTTCTTTGGAGTCCAAATCACACCTGGTGGGTGGCAGATTTCCCCTCTTTCGGCGAGTAGTTGCTGCCGAGAACTTGTCCCCAGACTCTGGACAAGGTCTTCGGCACAGCTGTGGTCACCTCCGCGGCTCTCCTGTTCTGCAGTCAGTAGCCTAGACGCTTTATAAACTTGACCTTCTAAGTCTGAAACACCACACATTGGAAAGCAACGGCATCAGCAAAGCCGCATCCTTACGTGAGTGCTGTTTGTTACGGTGGGGGGGCAGTTTGCAGCTGGCACCAGCAGACCCAAAAGGCCACGACGTCTTCCACACAAGTGTCCGCACGTGGCCACGGGACCACGCTTCTGCTTTCTCGGAGCTCAGTTTGCCTGCGACTTGTCACTTTTCCTTCTCACGACCCGAGTTAACTTTCCCACCTTCGAGCTCTGTTTGTCCTTAACTCATAATCAGGATCCCAGCTGTGCAGAAACTAGGCTGGTGACAGGAAGAACGTCGCCAGCCAGCATTTCAAACTGCAGTCCATCCTCAGTTTGACGTGGTTGCTTCTGTGTTAAAGCAACATTTAAAACCCTCCCTCCCACTCTCTCTCTCTCTCACACACACACCACAAAATGACGAAGCGGGTGGAAACAAGGACCCCGGGGCAGTCCCCACCGGTGTCAGTGATGCTCACCAGTGGTTTAGCGAGCATATGTAATCTTTTTCTAAAGGTGTTGTTAATAAATATTCTGTCGTTTGTAAAGATACGTGTCTTTTGGGAGCATTCTTCTGGCCTGCCAGCCAGGGGGCCAGTTAGCTCACCCTCGTGCTGGTGACGATGAGAGACCCTGAGACCAGAGGGGGGCTCCCACGTCTCGGGCCTGGACCCAAAGCCCAATGGCCACAAGCTGCCCCCCACCCCAGACGACCTCACAGACACCCTATCAGATCCATGACTAAAGTGTCCTGAAGATTGACCTTGACCCCTTCCCCTGGGGAGCTCAGTCCCTCGGATGTCTGACCTAAGGGCACCTGCTGTCTGAAGGTGTCCCCTCCCACCCACCCCCCCGAGTTGTGAAAAGGATAAAATGTAAGCGTGTGAGGCCCCTTTAAATTGATTAGCAAGTGAGCCCCACCCCCAGCCACGCAGAGCCCTCCCTGGCCCCCCAACACTGCTTGCTTCCCGTCCCACTTCTGTGCCTTTGGGTCCCAGGGCTGCCGCTTCCTGCAATGACCCTCCCAGGCCCCCAAATCCCGAGGGTCCTCGGCCGTGACGCCCTCCCATCTCCCCCCTGTGAACCAGCTGCTGGCCCGGTCAGTCCCACTCAGGGTGGGCAGAGTCAGGCGCCACCACGGGGAAGCTCCGATGCTGTGGCCTCAGGTTCTCACTCAACGCCTGTGTCGTGACCCCCTGTCCTGTGTGTTTGCCTTGTCCCCCCCACTAGATTGTAAGCTCCTCTGGGGCAGGGACACCGGTCTGTCTTCCATGTACTCTCTGCAGCGCCTAGCACAGTGCCTTGCAATAAATAATCATTGATGAATCGATTGAAAGGGTCTCTGAAGTAGCATTTGCCTCGGTTGCCCACGGTGCGAACCCACGGGGAAGCCTGTTGCCCCCTCTACAAAGTGGCGGGGGCGTTAGAAGGCCTGGCTCCTGACTGCAGGCCTCGGAAAGTCCTAGAGCCTGTCAGCTCCGGGATCCGACAACCCAGGCCCTGGGTCAGCGGATGAGGCTGCAGACATGCGGAAACTGCTCCGGGGGCCCCTGCAGCCACTCAGCTGCCTGTCTGTGCAGGCTGGGTTCCCACAGGCAGCCCTGGACTCCAGCCAACACAAAGGATGACGCAGGTCCGACCACCTGCTGAGCCACCTGCTGAGCCAGGCAAGAGCGAAAATACAGACCAGACCGGACCGCACTGACCGTGCAGTGCAGGGACCTGGGCATTGGGGGAGGGGCTAAAGCAGCTGTTTCCGGTCTCAGCGCCACTCTGCTCAGCACCCAAATTCCTAGAAGGGACGGCTTGGCCCATTTTGCATCACACGGCCAAGCCCCTTGGAGATGCCAAGCCCGCATTCCCAGGGCAGGGGTCAGCCAGAGGGATATTGAGAGGCTGTTTCTGAAGGTGGGAGTAGCCACTGGGGAGGTCTAGGCAACACACTTTCTAAGCCCCATCATCCAAGGGCCCTCCCCCCAAGGCCCTGGGTGCTCTCGGGTGGCCTTCACTGAGACTCGAAAGGGCCCCTTGGCTTGTTCACCCTGGTCAGGTGCCACCCCCAGCCCTGCGTGGCCCGTGCTCCTGGGGGGACTGCACAGCAGGAAAAGTGCTCTGCCAGTAACTGCGTTCTTCGTCTCAGGGTCCGAGTCCAGACAGCAACGGCACCTCCTGCGATGGGGCTCACTGCCCTGGGAGCGGACGGCGTGTGCGATGCCCTGCGTGTCCAGGCGAGCTCAGAAGTCCCCCAGCCCGTGACGAGTGAACTGCCCTGACCTTCCACCTTGAGACAGAGTGACCGAGTGGCTACTTGTCCAGGAAGCTGTGTACAGCCCTCACTGACCCCCAGGTTCCCCACCGTGCCTGCCTCGTCGCAGACCTGCTGGAAGAATGCCGAGTCACAAGACGTCCACAAACAGCACACGGCTGGCCACTGCCGCCGTGTCGTTTCACAGGTGACTGGCCCGCCAGCCGGCAAAGCTGACACACCACCCCACTGCTCTCTGTCACCGCAGACAAGCGGGAATGGGCCGTGTTCTCCTCTCCTTACAGTCCGCGGGTCGGCCAGAGGCCCACTCAGTGTTTTCCATAAAACGAAAGACACGCTTTTCCTTCTCACCAACAACTCCTGACTTGGATATTTTGACTGTGTCGGTAACCTCCAACCTCCCACCTGGAAGATGTTGATCGTTCCCAGTCAACATCTCGATTTGATCACTGACAACCTCACCTGGTCTGTCTGACCCTGGAGCATCGTCCAGGGAGGAATCTTCAGGACGAGACTTCGCAAACCACTTCTGACATGTTCGACCAGTCACAGCACCTTCTCCACACACTGCACAAATCTTTCTTTGCATTTCAGTTGGATTTTTACCTTGAAATAATAAAGCATCATATGCCAAAATGTTGCCTATTTTCTTCCCTCTTCAACAGGAAAATAGCTGCACAGAAGTTCACCGATTTTGGTAAGTTTTTTAAATGCACAGCTGATGTGATAGCTGTTGTGATACAATGTAACAAAACTGCTTCCAACAAAGTCACAGACAACCAAGTGCTGCTGGAGCCTCCGAACTAAGAAACTAAACAGCCTTTTTGGCCAACCACGTGATCTGAGGAGGTAGCCTGTTAAAATCAAGAGTTTACCACCCATCTCTGGGTGTCCCCGAGAGGACTCCCCTGCGAGTGACAGACAGCGGGGCTCCCCCAGGCAGCCGGTCTCCCCCGGGGTGGGAGCATGTAGACTCTGGCTCTGACTGCAGGGTGTGTGCTTGTTACCTGGGACAGGGTCTGCGGCGCCTACATGCACAGCTAAATCCAGTTACACTTGGATTTCACATGTAAAAAATGCTTTTACCCCTGGCTGCTGTGACTCAGTGGACTGAGTGCTGGCCTGCAAATCAAAAGCTCACAGATTCGATTCCCAGTCAGGGCACAGGCTCAGGTTGCAGGCCAGGTCCCCAGTGCGGGGCACACAAAAGACAGCCACACATTGATGCTTCTCTCCCTCTCTTTCTCCCTTCCCCTCTCTAAAAAATAAATTAAACCTTTAAAAATGCTCTTGTAGTATAACTGTGCTCCATGCATCGGGCTCATCCTGTTCTTTATGAAGATTTATTGAAGCGCAGCCACAGCAGAGACCGGATGCTCCCACCACTGAAATACTTACACCCTAACCCTTTAAGAAGCTTGCCGACCTTGAACTATGACCCCAGTACTTCTCTGTTGAGTTCTTCCCAGCAATTCCCCAACCACCATCACCAGCTTAACGCTCCTTCCCTTGCTCCCCGGGAAGGGGCGCGTCTTTGCTTCTCACGGTTAGGAGATAACGCGCAACCAGCGTTGGCGGTGAAGACTCGCGAGAACTGACTGTCGCACACGTGGGCGGGGACCTACTGAGCCCAGGGGCTGCCGGGGCCGGAGCGGAGCCTCTGCTCTCCTCCCAGTGCTGGTGAGTGGGTCCGCCACCCGCACCCTGCTCTTCCGGCCCGCGCTGGGTCTGTCCAGTCCGGTGCCCATTTAAGAAACTCACCCTCGTTTTCACCGCCCGGGCGAGGTCAACCAGCTCCTACTCGGGGGTTAGATCCACAAAGAGCCACGGGACAGTGTTCTCAGCCCCGAGTGTTTTACACTTTAAATAAGGGAGGAGGATGTCAAGTGACATAAACAACGCAGTGAGTGACGGCGCAGACTCGAAGAGAAGGGACCGGGACCGGAGCGGAGACTTGGTAGGTAAGCTGCCCCCGAGATGCAGAGGGTGAAAGGCCTCTCCCGCGGGCCATGGGCACAGAGGTGTGCGGGGCGGGGCGCGCGGGGACAGCCTGTCCTTGGGAGGCGGTCGGGGCGCTGCTGATGCGCTCGAAATGGGGCCGGTGTTTCCAAAGGGGCTTGAACCTGAAGGTGACAGACAGGTCAGGGAAGGTTCTGTTCTGGACGTGGGGTGACCGGCGCGCGTGCCTTTTACAGATGCTTCAGAAAAGGGGGTACAGGAGGCGAGGGGTTCAGCTGAGGGGCTGCTGGGAGGTCCTGGCCGAGAGACAAGGACGCGAGTGGAGCGGGCGGGGGGTAGTTGAGAGGGGTGAGAAACGAGCTGTTCAGCGTGCAGACATGGAAGGCGCCCGGCCGCTCCTATTAACATTCGTCATTTCACCCGCATCCATCCAATTCGCATCTATTACCCGAACCGGGTATGGGGAAAACAAGACTGTCTTTTAGTGCAGCGTGTTGTTCGAACAGGACGGAGCGGTTTCCGAGGCCCGTGCCCCGGAACCTGACCCGTGGGCTGGACTCGGGAACAGTCCGCCCCCCTTGGGAGCCTCCGGAGGGCGTTTTGGGTTCTGCTCTCTCCTCCGGAGACCCGGCTCCCCTCCAACCAGTTAGCGCGCCTGAGGTTTCTTGATTCCACCCACAGAGGGTCCTCTTCACCCGCTGGGCCCCCGAGGGCGGGAGGAGGTCTGAGTGCAGCCCCCACAGTTTTAAGAGCTGCGTCTGGCTGTGCGGCCGCGACCGTGCGAGGCTGTGAGTTCTGGTCTCCTCTGGCCCTTCTCTCCCGGGGCAGGTGCGTGCGCCCACACATGATCAGAACACCAAGTCTTCCAGGGCCTCGGGGCCCTCGTCCACGTAGCTGACCACCTCGCTTTCCGTTTCGCCCGAACCGGTTTTCTGCAAAACAAAACGTCTCCTCTAAGCGGCCTTTCACAGAACTGGGTTGTCCGCGCGAGATCGCTTTAAGTCTGTTTTGCTTCTAAAAACAGTAAATGTTCACTGTGGCAAATTAAGTAGAAAGAAGACAAAATATACACATAAACCCTCCCCCTGGCACAGCCCAGCTTCTCCCCAGCCCCTCATTTCTGTGTAGGAGCTTATCTGTATTTATAGTCATACGAAGTCCAGGGGGTAAACGGCTTCATAAACATGTCTTTCCGTGTAACGTCACGTAATATTTTATGTTTTATTATATGGCCTCGGCTGCAGCTTTTTTAACAGCTCTGTCGTATTCGGCCCAGTTACACTTGTATCCAGTTTGGGTGATTATAAATAGTCCTGATACGAGTCGGAAAAACTGTGGTAAAAAATAACACGGCCTGTAAGAGACCGTGTTCTTCAAACATCATCCACGTCCACCCTGGACACGGCTGTGCAGGGGCTGCACCGTGACCCGCCCACCCACGTGCCTGTTGGGAGAAACGAGCTCTGGTTCTTATCATGGAGACAAAGGATGGCTGGGGACCAGTCTCCAACAAACTGAAAGCTCAGAATAAGGGTTTTTGGGGGGTATTTTTACAATAAGCCCTTTTTTATTATCGCCAAAGGCCAACTGCTCCCTCTTTCATCCCTCCCCCCATCCCACCCCCAGTATCTGTCGCAGTTTCTAACTCGGGTCTGAACAAGGAAAGCGTTGCTGAGGACGGCCCTGGGTGTGCGGGGTGCAGTCCCAGGCCTGGGGACCAGCCACGCTCAGGGGCTTGAGTCGTGACCACAGGCAAAGGGCTTCCTTTCTACCAGCAGAACATGTCCCGGGGGTTGCCGACCCCAAGCCACCAATGGCACTCATGGGTCCCCTTGTCACCCCGGTAGCAGAGGTCCCAAGAGTGGACCAGACGGGTTTTGCGTTGGAGGTGGAGGCTGAGTGCTGCCCTTTCCCAGTTCTGCCTGTGCTCCCTCTCCCCCTCTAACTTACTCTTTTTAAAGATTTTGTTTATTTTTAGAGAGGGGAAGGGAGGGAGAAAGAGAGGGAGAAAAGCATCAGTGTGTGGTTGCCTTTCACGCACCCCCTACTGGCGACCTGGCCCACAACCCAGGCGTGTGCCCTGACTGGGAATCGAACCAGCAACCCTTTGGTGCGCAGGCCACACTAAATCCACGGAGCCCCACCAGCTGGGGTTCTCCCTTGTGTCTGCATGACTGCAACGTGAGAAGACGGTGAGGCCGGAGCAGTCTGGCGTGCTGAGCTCTGCCATTTGTCTTTGCTTGTTCTGAAACCAGCCGATCTGCCCGAGTTGTTACTTTGCACACACGGCTTGGTTTTGATGAACAACAGGCTCTAAGCCCATTTCTTCCAGCAGCCTCGGGGTGTGAAAGACAGACTTCGGGGCTCTGCCGGGGAGTCGGATGCCAGATAAGATGCTCCATGAGGCTGGGCCGCGGGCTCCAGCCAGCTTCTCAGGGCCAGGATGCTGCCTCAAGGGCACACGGCCACACAGCTCCGAGGGGCCGCAAGGGTCCCCCCTGGAGCCTGCTGTCCCTCCAGAGAAGCCACAGTCACAAGAGCACAGGCTGCTTCTCTGGTCACCAAGATGGGTCTATGGGCGGGGCATCCCTGCTCCCCTAGGTCCCAGCTTATTGCGACGGCTCATTTGGTGACTGCCTGAATGTCCCTTGGCTGTCCTTACAATGAGGCACCAGCTGGTGCCTCCAACCACGGGGCTTGTTAGAAAACTAGACTTGTTGAGAAAATCGCTAGAGCCACAACAGAGCTCTGCACACCCCAGCCGGTGCGGCAGATCTGCCGGGGCGTCTGCCTGTATGAATAAAGCTTTACTGGCGCAGAACCGGGGGCGCCGTTCGCATATTGTCTGTGGCTGCTCCCCCCCACACAAGGGGCGATGTGGAATAGTTGAGATGAACCACTTCGCCCTCAAATACTTACTGCCCATCTCTTTATAGAAGGGCTTGCGGACCCCTGGTCTAAGTAACCATTCCCTGTGAGGACAGGTTGGATAGCAACGTCACAGAACTGCCCACTGAGAGCCAGCGAGCACCGCCCAGAGAAGTTCGAGAAAACCCACATAAACAGGCCGCCCTGTTGTGTTTACGGAGTGGAAGACGGGGTGCGGTCAGGGCGTCCCTTCTCCCCGAATTAACCTGCAGTGCCACGCGGTTCTGGTCCAGGTCCCGGGAGCCTTCTCTGTAGAAGTGACCAACTGGCTCTAACTCTTACGTGGAGTGAAAACCACCGAGAGTAAGAAAAACAGCCCCCAAAAATGACACTGGGGGCGTCACACTACCTGGTCTGTGGGTTTAGAATAAAGCTAAACTGATAGAGACAGCATTGCACCGGCAGAAAGATGCGCGAATAGATCCGGGAAACCACATGGATGGTCCAGAAAGAGGCCCCCAGACACACGCCAACACCTGGCTTTGGACAGAGACCTCGGCCTGATTCCCTGGGGAGAGTGGTTTTTCCCACAAGGGATGCTGCTGGGATAGCCGTGGGTAAGTCAGCATCCGGGTGAGCCAAAGCGCTCGGACTGGCGGGAGGGGCCTGAGAATGAGCACCTCGGGAGAAACCACCGGGCTCCTCTCCGGTTCTTTGTACCGCGGAGCTGGGAGGTCTCCCACACAAAGGCCCACTGAGCACGGTGCTCAGGAGCGCAGGCTCGGACCTGAAAAGGCGAGAAAGGAGCAGGACGTCGGACCCTGTCCTCTACGCCTCTTACGCTCCGGGGATCAGGGGGTTCAGGGACTTGCCCAAGGTCGCGGACGAGATGGCTGGCAGGAAATTCACATTCAAGTGTGACCCAACATCCAAAGACCGTCCTGAACACATATAACAAAACAGTCAGCCGAAGGATGGAGACTGTCACCAGAGAGCACCCCTGGCCTTCTGGGAGGGTCCCTGCGTTATAATGTGGAAGCCACCAGCCACCCGCGGACAGACCCCCCCAGGACCCTCCCTGGGCCGACAGGACAGATGCAAAGACCCTTCAACTTTACCTCATAGTTCACGGAGGCCATGAGATCTCTGATGTCACTCTTTGGGCCTGGAACTGGTGGGAACAGCTTGGTGCATACCTGACCCCTAAAAACAGAGCAACGGGGGAGGGGGGCCTTAGGTCCTTAAGGTCACTGAAAACTGCCCTCGTTAACGCCAGGACCAAGACCTCCAAACATCTCCATTGTCATCCTGGTTGCAGACCTGGTGGGGGACACAGCAGGGCTCTGGTGACCCCCGAACCGGAAAGACAGAAGGTGGCCACTCACGCCAGCACACATTACCGAGCCTAATTTCCGCAAACACAGGACCCACGTCCCGTGTGGTGTGTGTGCGGTCAGCACCCTCCCCCCACGGTGCTGGCCCATGGAACTCTCTCCCCTCTCCTTTGAGATGCGCCCCCCGCCCACGGATGCCATCGGAATACACATCGGTAATAGGCTGTTCCGAGGTCTCCCCTGGGCATGGGCAGACCCGAACAGGCTCCGGGGCCGCCTCCGCAGTGCATTGGGCACCGAATGCCAAAGTGGCTGAGGCGTTCTTACAGGGCCATTTGTGGTCTCGGGGGAAAGGGTCACCAGGCCTGTGTGTCACGTCTAGCACGTGTCCGACCTAAGAACAACCAGCCACTGAGGGACAGCCCACGGATGGCCGGGTCGCACGGGGGCGGGACTACAGTGCTCCCAGCCCTGCTGCCTTCCTCCAGCCGAGATGTAACAGGTGCGCAGACAAAGGCAGTCACAGGCCGAGGGGACAGCCAGGCCCTACGGAACCACAGGCCATGCCTGTATGAACCTCCGCGTGAACGGAAAGCCCGCGGGCAGATTCGTGAAGGGGCGGTAAGGCTGCCACGCACCACGCTCTGTCCGGGTGTCGGGGCCCGTGAACCACAGCGAGTGTTTCTCAGCCTCCGTTAGGGCCATGCTCACCTCGGACAGGCTGTCCCGATGTGGGGCACAGATGTGCCGTGGACGCCGCCCAAGGACAAGCTCCCCACCCACTCGGCCCCGGGAAGCCCCGCGTGGAGAACACCTACGTCCTGCGGCCGAGCGAGCAGACCAGCGCGGCGCAGAGGGCTGCCGAGAGCGGGACCAGGAGCCACTCGGTCCAGGGCTTCTGCTCATCCTTTCCTGGAGAGAAAAGGCGGAAAGAAACCAGAGCTGAACCCCGCCAGGTGAGCGAAATGGGCAGGCGGAGCGGCAGCAGGACGCCACCCTCCTGGGTGGGGACCACGTGGACACCCCACGTGCTGCGTCTGAAATTCTGGGCGGGGGGAGCAGGGCGGGGGGCCCTGCCTGGTCTGGTGTGGGCACCAGCCCTGCCCCCAGCTCACGGAGACGCGGCCATCTGGGCCTCGTGGGCCCCTCCACCCCCAGCGCCTCCGCATCCCGCCTTTGCAGAAGTTCGTCATCAACAAACTCAACCTCAGACACAAGATGTTGCGACACTGGCCGGTTGCGGGTCGCGGGGAAGTCTAACTCTCGCCATAAGAGAAACAGCTTCTTTTGCCACCTGTGTTCACACGCCCTTCCTTGTCCAGGCTGCTCGTGGCTACTGGACACTTTGCAAAGTGCGTAGGTGACGCATGTTCTCTGCTCAACCTGCGCTGCAATGGTGTGGGGTGGGCGAGGCCTCTCTGCAGTGGGGTGGGGTGGGCGTGGCCTCTGCAGTGGGGTGGGTGTGGCCTCTCTGCAGTGGGGTGGGTGGGCGTGGCCTCGGTACATTGGGTGGGTGGGCGTGGCTTCTCTGCAGTGGGGTGGGGTGGGTGTGGCCTCAGGGAACAGGTAGGGAAACTGCAGCCCAAGAGGGCCTATCAGCCGAGGACACCTCACTGGGAGGCGCCCTGGAGGGCCTGCCCGGACTGCTCCCCACTGTCCCCACCCCAGGACACTCCGCAGAGGCAGGCACTCCCTTGAGCCCATCCCAAGCATTTCTTCATCACCAAACACCCTCCTGGGCATCCCCTTCCCGGCTGGACACACTCGTGGCTGTGTGTCCCCACTCCTGCACGGGGCTAGGTTTGCGGCCCCACACACTAATGATTCGGCCCGTGTTCCATAGGCTCTGGGTGGGAATGAGTCACTTTATTAAAACCCTGCGGCCTAGTGTTGGAAAAAGTTTAATTTCCACCTGCTATTTTACAAACAGCCACAGCCATGCCTACTCAGTAATGGAAAAAAGAGCCTTGGAGAGTCAAACCTTCTGATGTCCCAACCGCACAGCCCCACACAGCGGCTCAAGGGTCAACAGCCGGTTCTCTGATAGGGGTCCCATCAGACCCAGTTGTCGCTCCCACGCTCAGAGCTAACATCCAGAGCAACCCACTGGGAAGAGCCAATGCTGTCGCCTCGAACACCTGCTCATTTTCCATCCCAGGGGAACTTCCTGAACCAGGGCCCCCTCCGGCTCCAAGTCCCCACAGTGGCCAAGGCACGCCTTGCACACTCAGCCGTGGTGCGAGCCCTTAGGAAGAACACTGAGAGGCTCACGCACTCCGAGCGCAAGCCCCACAAGGGGAAACCGGGAAAGTCCCGAGTACCCCTGGGGCACGTTCGGGTGGGGCAGGAAGCAGGAGCCGCGGCGTACACATGATCAGGGTCGCACACTCACCCCACTGTGTCTCACAAGGTGGAACGCCCACAGCCAAGGTGCCAGGGTCTGATAACAGCCGAGTTTGCTCCAGCCGTGATGACAAAAGTCTCTTCAGTTAAACCACCCTCTAGCTGCTCCCTCCAGCGCTCCCTTCGATAAGTGGAGATTCTCTCTGAATTAGCAGGAGCGGAGAGGCACCCGAGGGTAATTCTCGTCCCACAGAGGCACTGGCATGTGCAGGGTGTGCATGGGTTCAAAGTCAGGGTCACTGCCCAGAGGGAGTGGGCAGGGCAGTCGTTTTTCTGGCCAGGCATCTATGGTGTGCCGGGGCTGAGGACCCCAGAGAAGAGGGCCAAGGTCAGCTCACCTTGGAGGAGACAGGCCCAGGCAGGGCCCCTGAGACCAGACGAAACCCCCCTGTGCTCCCCGCTGAGCGGAAATCACCATGGACTCCCTGCTGCGCAGTTATTCATTAACTCGGGTATCGAGGGTCCGTGAGACAAGCAAGTGCATTGAAGTCAGCACTTCCTCTTACTTTGGGGACACAGAACAGAGGGGAACGGCCCCCCACTGACCATACATGTCCTTTGGGTTGAAATGATTAGCATTTCGTTTCATCAAATGATTCTGAAAAGGTCATTAATTTGAATTCTGGAGTCTCTGGCCTCAGAGAAATTTCTTAAGAACTAGTATTTTCAGACAACCTGAACTTTACCTCTGACTCAAGGAGAGTCAGACTCGAAGGTTTGTTTTTTTTTCCTTCAGGAAATCGGTGGGCACTGCTCTGTGGTTACGCAGAGATGAACCCTAGAAAGGGGAAGTCACCAAGCCGTGCCTCGGAGCCCTTCGAACCTTCTAGCTCCTTCCCGAGCGCTTGGCTGGTCTCTGGTGACTCCGGTGCCCATCGATTTCGGCATCGAACTCAGGAAGATTCTCTCGTTTCCCAACCCCAGGAAGACGAGGGGTCATGGGTGTGCACTGGAACGGGGTCCGCAGGGAAAAGACCGAGAGGCCTGGACCCCACCCGTCCCAGACTGAGTCCCCAACCGGCTGCTGGGACCTAGGTCATGGCCCTCCCCTCCGGGCAGCAGGAAGAAAAGGAGAAAGAAGGAGCAGGCGTGAGAACCAGAGCGGGGCTGGGGCCTCGGGCCAGGTGCAGGACCCGCCCCCGACATGTGCACGGAGGCGACCGGGTGGAGGTCCCGCAGGTGGCTCCAGCCCTGCGGCTTCCGACTGGGGTGCCCGGGGCCGGGTTTCCTCGCAGGGCCATAGCCACGAATGCCAGGCCAGAGGGAGGTGGGCGGCACCGCCCGTTCACTGGCATTAATGGGGCCTCTCTTCCCTCCCAGCCTAAAGCCTCCACACCCCCAGTCTTCTGCCTCGACCTACTTGTAGGACGTCCCTACAGGCTCTAGGGTGTGTCATGTGACTCTAAGAGCACCTTGTCCTCTCCCCACACCGTGGCAGGACGGCCAGGCCAGGGCTTCCTGAGAATGGCCGTCCTGCAGTGGAAGGGGCGCCCCTGAAGGCAGCGGGCGCCCTGCTGGCTCATCTCGGGAGTGTGTCGTGGCCCGAATCTTCCTGGACAAGACGGTCACATCTGAACGTGCTCTGTGTGGCTGAGACCCTGGCCTTCAGTGCCCAGGGCAGAGCCTGGGGGAGGGGACAAGGCCTGTGACCGGGGCTGAGCCTGCTCACCAAGAAGCAGGACTCGGAGTGACTGAGCCAGACCCATGCCCTGGGCAGAAACGAGCACGGGTGGACACCCGGGACACTCTCCCTTGAGTGGGAAGTTTTGCTCCCACACTCGCTTGCTGTGCACACCGCATCGGGTCTCCCTGGGGCACAGGCTCTGGTAAACAGGAGAAGCCAAAACAGTAAACGAGCAGCAGAACGTGGAAGTTAAGAAAGTTCAGCAAAGAGAAGGACACGAAATGTGGGAAGTTAGCTCTTGAGATAAGACCTAGAAGCCGGTTGAGGAAGGGCAGGTGATGAGGAGTACTGATACCATGAAACCGCTCATTCTATTTTTAAAAAGTACATCTGCCCCCTCCCTCGCACCGGAGGACACAACTACTGCAGAACCTCAGGCCAGGCGAGGAGCACACGCGGCCGGCTGTCCGCCCTGCCCCCAACTGCCCCCAACTGCCCGGTGCAGCCCTCTGAGCTCCTGACTGCTGGGCAGCCGGCCAGCCCTGGCCCCTCCAGCCCCTTTGTCCTCATCTGTCAAATCTGGCCCGTCCCTCGCCTCACGCACTAGTCACTAAGCCTGACCGACGATGGACCTGCTCCAAGCTGCTGACCAGCTCGTGGGTCACCTGTGGGTGAAGGACATCTGCTGTCTGCGAAGAGCCTGTTGCGAACGACTGAATTTCTCCACCTCTCGGGGGCTCCACTCCCCGACCTTGAAGTAAAGGAGGTGGACTCGATAATATCTAAGAAAGAGGTGGTGGCTGAGCCCGGCGCTGGAGTGAGAGTGGAAGGGGAGGCCCCCGGGTGCCATCGACAGGACTGGGTGGGAGAGGACCGGGGCTGTGACAGGAAATGGTTGTGGCAGGGAAGTCGCCTGCCGGACTGCAAGCTGGGCGAAGTGACCGCTGCCCCTCGGGAAGGAGAGTCCCGGCCAGGGTCCCAGAGGGATTATTAGTCACTGGGGTGAAAACGCCACATCAGCTCTGGCCACAGTCACCAACGACCCAGACTGCGCAGGGGCGTAGATTCCAGCCGCGGTGGACTGATGAGGTGAGCAGTGACATCGACCGGCTCATTTTCATGAGAACGTGGGATTCGCCCCAAGTGATGGCAGCGAGGTGCCCCTGGGGCAGACCCTCCGGAGCCCTGTTCCCAACCAGCGCTTCCGTGGAGAGTGAGACGTTAAAAGCCAGCCTGACATCAACTCCGCTGTGGGTCCCCAGTTCTCTCCCCGTGCGTTTTCTGTGGGCCTGTGGCCCGAGAAAAGGCAGGAGGAACTCAAGGACAAGGGAATGGGGGCCCTGGGAGGTGAGGGGGGACCGACTAGTCGGGGCCCCTGCTCAGTCCCCTGTGGCAGTGACAGGAGAGGCGACTCCTTCCCGTGCCGGAGCTCGGCCCGGAGGCGAGCTTCTCCATCTCGCTCTGCCTTAGGTCTGACGACAAGCGCACACGTGAATCTACGCTTTTCCCCAAATAAAAAATTCAGTCACAAAAACCGGATAGAAGTAGAATCAGATAATGTGAAAAAAGAACAGGTGCAAGGTTTTGGAAAGGCTGGTGCTGGCAAGAAGCCGGAACCCTTGGGCGTCACGGGCCCCCTGTGAGCCCACCTCTGGTCCCGGAGGCGGTGAACAGGCAGCGGACGGGGCACCGGGGACGGGACTGAGTCCCGACACCCGCGTGTGAATGCACACGCTCCCGGGGTACTGCTCCCGCCAGGAATGGGCTCCTGGGCGGTGGACGCCGGACACCCGGACACTCACCCGTCCAGATGGGCTGGCTCCAGGCACTCCAGGCCCCCGGCTCTCTGCACGTGAAGCTCACGGCGGCTCTCACCACGACGCAGTACTTAGAAACGTCGCTGACTGTGGTGTTGAACGTGGTGGCCGTGGTGTTTTCTAGCTGCACAGAGAAGTCAACATCACAGTCATCTCGAGACACGTGATTTAAGCAATGCCAGCACCAGAATGAGAGGTCACACACGAGGGACGGGGCTCTGCCCGGTGACCCGTTTGCGATCAATAGGAAGCACATCAATGGGTTTGTTTCGGGCGGCTTCCGGTGGACGAGTCACCCTTCAGGGGAAGCTCTCTCGTAGCCAGAATAAACGGAACAGGCAACTGTGAGGCCGTGATGACCCGTTGAGGCCCAAACGGCGTTTGCAGATGGAAAGACAAAACTGGCCACCCGCTCAGAGCGTGATCCTGCCTCTCGTCCGTCCCTCCTCGTTCTGCACTCGCAGGCGCCAGCGGTGCCACTCGGTTTCCGTCCCGCTTCGCACTGGCAAACTACACCCCGTGGGCCCCTCGGACCCGCCAAGGAGGAACGCTTTGTGTGCCTTTAAACCGGTGAGAGCTCTCCGGAGGACGCTATTCCGTGGCACACAAACACGACGTGTACTTGGAATCCCAGGCCCCACAGAGTCTCCCCGGCCCGTGCCCATCCACGCCCGTTCACTTCTGTGCCGCCTCCAGGTGCCTCCGTCCTGGACGTGGAGCTCAGTGATGGCGGCCGAAACCAGATGGCCCGAAAAGCCTAGAACACCTGGTCCTCCACCGAGACGTTTGCCGCTCCCTGACCTGCAGCTCTGGGGGGCCGTGTGGGGAGGCAGCGGGGGGGATTGAGGTGCGCTTGGGGCAGTAGAGAGACAGTGTCGGGGCAGCTGAGTTCCAGCTCTGCGTCAACTGCCCACAGGGCAACTCCGTACCTCCCCGGGCTGCCCCGCCCCCTCCTGTAGTACAGGAGTACTGACACCGCACTCATGGTCACTGAGTTACATGGCGTGACCTGTGTCTGGCCCAAGCTTCAGAAACTACTAGATTGAATGGCAGGAACACCGCCACTATGCCACCCATTTAACGGGCAAAACAGCAATTTCGGAAGGTCGGTCTCGTCACACGGCTGTGACTGGGCTGGTGCTGAAATGAGGCTGTTCTCCCCCACGCGAACCCTTCTCCTCCATTCCCCCCACCACGTCCGCCCACCCCGCGAGCCCCCGGCCCCTCCCGCACCCTGAGTGCTCCCAGGAGTGTTTCCCCCTCCTCCACCCGCTGCCCCCCACCCCCAGCCCTGGGCACTGCAGCTCCGCAGCAGCCACCGGCCGATACCCGCAGGTCCCACGGACGCCTCCCCGCCCCCATCCGGCTCTGCCGCAGCCACTTAGACGGCGCTCTGGTTCTGCAGACGCGCCCGTTTCTGTGTGGAGTAAACCCTTCTGTCGGGCCCACTGCCGGTGACAATGGCTTTAAAAAAGAAATCTTTCTTTTTTTTTAAACAAAGTCTCAGCATCCTTCCACAGGAGTCGGTATGTAAATACTTGCTGAATCAAATGGAACTGCACGGATTCGCTTTGCCTCCTACTAGAAGGACGGGAGTCTGGGTCCAGCCTTCCCTGGGTTCTCCATCTCTGTGACTGTGGGCCAGTCCCTTGTCCTCTGTGCCTCACGGCTGGTGAAAGGGGGCGGGAACTGGGCCAGGGACTTCCCTCGAGGGTGCGGCCCATCAGCAGAGTCTGCCCGGCCCATGGGCCGGTCTGTGCTCCCTACCTGTCGCCGTCCTTCAAGTCCCTTGCCTGGAGCTTTTGTCCGCGAGTGCTCGTGAGTTCAAGTTGCAGGGACACAAGCAGCGCGTAGAATTTGCCATCCTGCTCTTTCTGAGAGCACAGCTCGGCAGTGGGGGGACGGCCACACTGTCCTGCACCCAGTTCTTGCCAAACTGAAACCCTATCCATTAAAGGCTGGCCCCAGCCCTCAGAAACCGCCAGCTGCTCGCTGTCCCTGCGAAGCGAACTCCCTCCTTGTCTCATGGGAGTGAAATGGTGTGGCGTTGTCTTTCTGCAGCCAGCTCAGTCCCCTCAGCGAGCTGGCCGCAAGGCTCCCACAAGGGACAGCGTGCGTCCGAGCTGCCTTTTTTTCAAGGCTGAACCGTGTTGGCTCTGAGGTACACACCTCGTCTGGTTTATTCGTTCATCTGGACACTGAGGTGGCTTCCTCCCCCGGCTACCGCGTGTCAAACACTGAGATGGACGTCGCTGTACAGACTTCTCTCCGAGACCCCGCTTGCAGTCGTTTGGGGTTTATTCCCAGCACGCTGGGCTGTGCCACGATTCTCTTTTTATTTCTGAGAAACTGCCATCCTGCTTCCCCCAGTGACTGAGCATTTGACACGCCGCCCCCCACCTCGGCAGGAGTGGGGTGTTTTTATCGGATCCTTTGCGTGATTTTCACTAAACGTATCTCCTTCCGAGACAAAAGGCCGTAAGCTTTGGTTCATTCCCATAAAGTCTGGGTGGAGGTAGGATATCTCCCACCTTGCTAGTTCCGAGCCGCGAGCAGAGCGGTCACTGCCGACTACTTCTGAAAGTTTCCCCAGAGAGCGCCGCCGTCCCGCGTGGGGGTGACCTGGAGAGTTACCTGCACGTAGTCCTTCCTTGCGCTGTAAATTCTCACTTCGTAGTCCCAGCAGTGGTCTGGGAAGGCGGAAATGGGCTTCTCCCAGCGGATGGACAGGCGGGTCCCTTCCATCTCCGCGGTGACGTTCCCCGGAGGGTTCACTCGGTCTAGGTTAGACAAGGAGAGCCGGGTGAGCCGGGCTAACAGACCCCACCCAGCCTCTCAGGGAGTGCCCTCCAGGTGTAGGAGACGGGTCCCCAGGCTGCAGGACTCGGCCGCCCCCCCCTAAGACTCCTGCCTCGTCCCAGGGAAGAAGAGGCCCCGTGTGCATCCACCAGGGGGTGCCGCCCCACCCGGCACTGAGCCGTAGGGCCCCTCCCCCCTCAGTGCCGGGCAAGACCACACCCACCTCTTTTAACTGCTCCAGTCGGAGGGCGAACTGATCCTGAAGAGCAGTTGCCCTGGAGCGCCCACCAGACCCGCCCCCCCAACCCCCAGCAGGGGCCCGGCCCTCTCGGGCTCCCTTTTGTTGGGGAGTCTTGTCCTGGAGAGTTCTAGGCTGCTCCTGCACAAAGACAAAGCTTTGGGCTAAATTCGTCTTTGCTCTACAACAAGATCTGAGTCCTTTCCCCCGAGGCCTCACCTGACCGTCTCGGGCTGTGTGACCTGGGTGGAAATTGATTCTAGGTGCGTGTCCTTGCCTTAGGTTGTGTGCCTAAGATCTCACAATTCCTGAGTCACAGGGACAAGCCAAGAGGGGACCCACTGGCTCCAGAACCTGCCATTCCCTAAGGAGACGGTTTTTAACCAAAAGAAGTGTTTATTTGTTTTGAGAATCGGAGGACTTGGCCTCAGTGAACTGAAAGTCATATAAAGCAAATGAACCCCTGCGGTCGCTATCAGGTTGGGTCTATTTTCACGGTCGTTCCAGTGTTTCCTGAGTCCTCTCTGCTGGTATCCCCTCTTGTCATGAAAGCGACGTGTTTAAGTCACCTAAGAAATAAGCTATTGGATAGAATCACGTTGCTCTTTAGTAAATGCTGCGATTCCTTCAACCAAGTTCTATTCCACTCACTGTAGATCTGCCGCAGCCGGCCCGTGTCCTTTAAACAATAACATTGTGTGGATTTAGTGGACACCTGTGCCAGGTGCTGTTCTGAGCACTTGGTGATGTTAACACACTTACTCTTCACAAAACCTTATAGGAAGGGTGAGTGTCTCCCATTTCTCAGGTAAGACTGGGGCCCAGGGGAAGGACAGTTTGTCTGGGGCCCGCTCGCCGGTCCCCGGGGGGCCGGGCCGAGCCCACAGCCCACACCAGTCCCCGCCCCTCCACTGAAACCGGCTGTCCGTCCCAGGGCGGCTGCGACTGGTGCGCACCAGGGGCAGGACGGACGCCTTCCACCTGAGACCTGAGCGAAGGCAGCGAATGCAAGTTTCTACCTGCAGGTCACAGGCCGAGAGACGAGTTAGACTCAGATGCCTCAGGAGGGGACAGACTCGGGGGGAGAAGGGGCGTGACATGGGGGCGGGCAGCTTGGGCACCAGAGGTCTCAGGACCAGGCCGCCTGGCCGCCTTCGGGGATCTGAGGGCCTGCCGTGTGGGCCCGGGGGGTGGAATTGCTTGGAGGTGTTACTCCTCCTCCCAGGACCCCAGTTAGAGCCGCCGAGAGACAGTGACTTCCCTCAGCAGCAGCGGCATGGTTTCCAGCTGCAGGAAGACTTTGTCCCCCAAGGGACATCTGACACCCAGTGTGTGGAGACATTTCTGTCGCCACAATTGGCGGGGGCAAGAGGTTGCTGCTGGCACCCAGTGGGTACAAGCCAGGAGCACACAGAGCCCCTGTGACCCAGTCACCCGGCCCAGGGCACTAGTGCCAAGACCGAGAGCCCAGCCCTGTGGTTGCAGCGGCAGGAAGGGAAGGAGACAGAGGGTGCGGCGTTCACAGCCCTTCCCGGCTGCACTGCGGAGACACCGGGCCCCAGCCCTGGTCTCTCTTACCAATCTCGTGCAGGGCAAACAGCCGATCATAGGGCCTGATGGCGGCGCTCGGGCTGGAGCCGTTGATGCGCACGGCCAGTGCGCCCTGCCCTTTGCCGTCAATGGAGGTCGTCGGAAACCAGCACGCCACGTTCCTCTCCAGCGCGTCCTGGCTGTATTCTCGGCACTCTTCTGTCCAAGAGCCGTACCTGCGTCGGAACACCCTTGAGTTTTTAAGGTCGGAGGAAACGGCCCCGTGGGCTCTGGGACAGCAGACACCGACCTGTAGTAGAGGAAATACTGCGTGTCCGGGGGGGCCTCCTTGCCAGCGCGCCAGCCGCAGTGGAGAGAAACCCGGTAGGGCCTGGACTCGGTGTGGCTGTTTGCCGCGGTGTTCGTGGTGCAAGTTAAATTCACAGCTGAGGTTCCGGGAGACCCTGGAAGGTCCAAAAGGAGAAGAACAAGGAACGACCGTGACATTGTCTGAACCTTGGGACTGGGGACGCCTCTTCCACCCACAAACAGTAATTGCCATCAGGAGTTTGTGGAAACCTGCTATTTGCAAAGGCCGACTCCCTGGGGGAGGGGGCGAGTTTGCGGCCCTGGAGAGCTCTCCCCTGCGCGGGGAGGGGGTGGTGGTGGTGGTGGAGTGTGGCTGTGCGGCTGTGTGGGGCGGGCTCGACTGGAACTTCAGTCCAGCCCTGCGCCCTGTGGCCTCCGTCTTCAGACCCACGTTTGCCAATAGCCGGCCAAGCCTCCTCGGTCCCACCCGCCCCGGGCCTTGGTTTTCCCGGCTCTGAAGGAGGGACTGAGCTGGGGAAGGGCCCTAAGGCCACTCGTCATCCTCGTGGTTCCCAGGCCGTAACCGACAGCCTCACGGACGAGGTGGAAGGATGCGAGTTTGGGAACGCTGTGAAATGCCTCCACCTCGTGAGACGGGACACAGCGCGTGTGGTCACGTCCTGGCTGCTACCGCGGGACGTTAAGGGACACTGGCGATTTCACAGGGACCCTTCTACACTCATTTCGCCCAGGGTTTCCCCAGATTCCTTTCAGCCTCCCCGGCACAGTGGGGTCCACGCTTTCAGAGCACATGGCAGACACCGGCCATGAGCTCGCTCTGGGGACCAGAAAGGCGCGGGGGGCTCCGCCCACGTGCCTGTAGACTCGACCGTGAGTGACAGAAGGGGGTCTTCTTGGCCGAGTGTAAGTCAGTCATAAGATCATTTTTGTCACTGGGACGCAGGGTCATTCCAGGGGGAGAAGAACAGGGCCCAGCTGGCCGTAGAGAAAGAAGTTGGAGGTGAGGAAGCCGGGCTGAGGCCAGTCCGCACTGTTATCACCGCGACACTACACACACACACCAGGGGACGCGCACGCTCACTGTCTCACAGAGAAGAGAATCTGCCCGCACTCTAACGCCCGGGGGTCCGTGCGTCATCGGGAGTCCGCCTGTGTCCCAGTGCCCCTCCACGGGATGAGTTACCGAGTGTGAGTTCAGCTGAATTCGGGCCAAAAATAGCTCGTTGTTCGGGCCTGTGCCCTGAGGAGAATTAGTGCTGTAGGAATGTGGTTCTGAAAGGGGCACCACGGCTGTGCCATGGGCGTTTATTCCCAGGAGTGGCCAGCGGCTTCATGGAAAGCCCTGACGCCTGCACCTGAGGTGGGTCTGCCTGGGACTAGGTCCTAGTGAGCGGTGTGACGATGACCCACGGGCCCGCCTGGCCAAACAGCTGCTCACACACCCCGGACTGGCGGCTGCTCCTCCTCTCTTCCTGTGTGTGTGTGTGTGTGTGTGTGTGTCCACGTGTCTCATCCGCAGCATCACTGGCTTCAGGCGTCCGAGACCCTGGCTCCCCACCGAGGACACTACAGAGAGAGGCGAATGAGCCCCTTCTCCTCACGGCAGTGAGGTTCTGTGGGGGCTGCCCGCAGAGTTCCCCGCAATGTGGGGTGAGAAGTCACAGAACTGAAAACGAAGACCGTGTCTGAAGCACGCACTGCTTGGTGCGTGACACAGTCCCTGTCACCGGTGGGCTTAGAGGGGTCACCAGTTTTTGGAAGGTAAATGAAGTCGTGTGCCCATGGAGAGCTCAGCCCACAGAGGCATTGCAAGAAGGAGCAGCACCCCTCAGGGCATGGGGTGGACAAAGTGGGGGCTTCCAGAGGGGCTGGGGCTCTGTCTGGGCTTTGGGGTGCAGGGTTATTCTGGGGAGAGGGGCCAGGACAGCGGTCTCGGCGGCTGTGGGCCCAGTGTGCAGGGTCGTGTCATGGTCACACATCAGAGCAGAGCAGAGAATCCACGCAGGTCCCTTAGGCCCCACCTACGAGGGACCTGATGGCCCTGGAGCTCTGACAGGGCAGTGGGGGGCCTGCCGGGTGTCGGGGGGCTATGGCAATGAGACATGAAGACGGGAGTCGCTAAGTGTTCCCATCCCCCATCGGTGGAGTCCGGAGTCCGGAGTCCAGCGGGGCTTTCAGGGGCCGGCTCACCTGGCGGGGCTTTCAGCTCGGCCGAGACCCAGCGGCTGGCGGGGGAGGGGCGGCGCTCCCACAGGATGGTCCGCACGCTGGCCGAGAAGCCGCGGTGGAGGACGGCCTCGTACTTGCGTACGGTGTACTTGATTTCATACTGAAAACAAAGCCCACGAGTCGTGACACATCCGAGGGAATGACCTGGAGAACTGCTTTCAACAGACACCCTTCCGGTTCTTAAACGGCACGTGAAGTGCAGTGAGCTAGGCCTGCAAAGAGATTAGACCCACGGCCAGGAGCACATGCGTAGCCCTGACCTTACTCGGGTGTATGGGTTGGATGTGTACAAGCTTTCACACGGCGGTCGCCCTTCCGTAACGGGGTTTTTAAAAACGGATGAACAAATTACCCAATTCTAGCGTGTATTCATGTTTCTTAAGAAAACGATACAGTGAAAACATCATGATCTGTTCCTCTGATACGCAAACACGTTCTTCTTAAAAGAACCAGCAGAAGTTTGCAAATGAGCCTCCTGCGCCTTCCGACCACTGGCTCCCCCTCCAGTGCCCCCCCCACCTGGCTAACTTCCTGACAGGAAGTCTCTAGAATTCCCACCGACTGAAAAACGCCGAACGCTGTGCAGCTGCTTCGCCCTTTGTTTCACTGTACGGGGCACCTGCTAGGTCCCAGGTGCTTTAACAGGACCCCGAAGGGACCAGAGCCCGAGATGGACATGTTCAGGGTCAAGGCTGCAGGCGTAGCAACCGGGATCCGGTTGTCTGCCCTCCTCCCATTTTACTCAGCCACCTGTCCTGGGGTTTTGTTTGTTTGTGTTCGTGTTTGTTTTGTTTTTCTGGCTGTTTTAGAGAAGAGAGAACCCACCTCTAATCTACTGCACCTCAGATACCCCTACACTTGCTCTTCGAAGGGACAGAACGGTCCCAGAGTTAAGGCGTCCCGGGCCGTGGAGGACGAGCAGGCTCGGCCATCTTGGCCGGTTTGTCAGTGGAACCCCCTCGGGAAGGAAATCGCGGCAGAGCTCACGGTCGCTCTGGGGAGGGACGGGCGCCCGGAGGAACTCACGTCATCGTCCTGGGGGGCGTGGATCCTCAGGTGGTACCCCAGCCGTGCGCCCCTTTGCTCCTGGTCTGGGTGCGGTTTCCAGCGTAGGAGGACTTGGGCCAAACTGGTCACTTTAATGGTGAAATTGACAGGCGGGAGAAGCAAAACTGAGCGAGAAAGAGAAAGGGGTCACACAGGGTCAGTGGTCCCGGGCGGCACCCTTCAAAGTGGTACAGTTCTTCCTGGCGCGCTCTCCTGGCTATGAGAAGGCACAAATACTGGCACAATTTTAGGGGAGTTTCTTCTAAGGCGGCTTTAAATGTTTTTATTGATTCCAGAGAGAGGGAGAAAAGGAGGGAAAGAACCATCGATGTGAGAGAGAAATATCGATCTGTTGCCTCTCACACGCCCCCCAACCGGGGACCAAGTCCGCAACCCAGGCACGTGCCCTGACCGGGAATCAAACCGGGACCTTTCGGTTTGTGGGACGACAGCCAAACACCTGAGCCACTCCGGCCAGGGCTACAGCTGTTTTTAACTCATTGTCTTTTGTTATTTTCACTTTGCCTAAGTATTTACCTATAACACCTACGGATTTTTAGTTGACATATGAGTATTTCACTGTATCTGTTTTTTTAGAACATAGTTTTCAAACTGGGGGCCGTGACCCACTGACTGGCTGGGATAATGTGTCGGTCCGTGGCCAACCGTGGTCTTTACTGACTCAGAAGAAAACTGAGCAGAAAAGACATCAAAGTGTACTGCCTTGCGCCGAATTGTTATAAGACACTTTCTACAACGGTTCTGTTTCACGAGCCTCTCCTTCCCACTCTATAAATGTACTCACAAGTGTGTGTGTGTGTGTGTGCGTGTGCTGGTTCATGATGTAAAATGCATTTCTTATCACGATTTAAAGTCACACAACTTTGTACAAGACTACTTACAGAGTCATTTCTGTACAAACAAAAGATTTTTGTTTTGTTTTGTTTTGAACTTTTCCTAAGTTAACCACTCTCTTATTTTGCCTTCAAAAGAAAAGCTTTCATTTCAATTCCAGAACCATTTTAGAAATTTTGGAAAGCGCAGATGAGAAGAAAAAAAAAGGAAAGAAAAATCCCCTATAATCGTACCACTGAGAATGGGACTAGCATGTGATATATTTCTTTACCCCTGGGCATGTGTGAACAATCCCTTTTTGCATTAAAAAAAATTAGGATAATATTGTACCACAGGCACAGTTATGAAACCTCCTTTGGTTCGGCTACTGCGTGGTCAGGATGTTCCCACTGGCCTTGAATCTTTCGCAGCCTCTGTGACCGGCCCGTCCTCGCTCGGCACACAGGGACTCCTGGGGCTCCGTCCGCCCCACACTGCGCATCACGGCCACCAGCCACCACAGGTGGCTATTTAAATCTAAGTGCAATTTTAAAAATGACACTTTCGTGGCCTCAGTGGCAGTCACCACTGGCTGTGGCCCCTGAGTGGGGCAGTGCAGGCAGGACCTACTGGCACTGCTGGTGGAAGTCCCCTCGGGTGACACGGGGTAGGCACCACGTGTGAGCTTTCTGAGTCTCTGTCCCCACACCAGACCCACAGATCGACACGTTTCTGAGCCAAACACAGTGGGAGATCGTTGTCCTTGGGTCGTGTGGCCTCCTAACCACTGGGGGCCCGTGCACCCACACTGGCAAACGATCTCCGTCTGCAGCTCCAGTCCGCGCTCTGGCAGCCCTGCTTTCTCACGACACAGCAGGCTTGTATCTGACAAGGACAACTGTTCCACCCCTTAGAGAAAAGCCACACGGAGCAGAAAACCATGCCAGCATCTTTGTCCTGTGCTCAGGTTTTTAAGAGACACTATTGCATGTGATAGATGGCACTCACAATCGTCAGGAAGCGTGTCTGCTCGAAGGGTCGCCACGGTCCCCAAAAGGACCAGCAACGCGGGCGCCATGCCATCGGTCCTGCGGAGAACAGAAGAAGACGATTCCTGGGGACATTTTTAGGAGAAACCGGCAACTTTTTCCTAAAGTAAACTGCAGTCACCTGGCCGATTAGCAGTCAGGAGCGATCTATGACGTGCTGGACACACGAATATTAAGAAACCTTGTCTCAGGCACGGAACGACATGTTAAGGCCCGTGGTCGTCCGCGCTGGTAGCTGCTCCGGTACCGGAGTGTACAGGGCGCAGCAGGAGCGGAGAGACTTCTGAATGGACCCCTCCTGGTGCTCCCGTGGCCGACGGGGCAGCCCGGGAGAGCGAACAAGCAGGAGCGGACAGCGGTCCCAGGGAGCCCAGGGCCGCCCCATGAACGGGAGCCGCGCTGGCCGAGGTTCACCACGTGGAAAATAAACACCACGGCCGTTCTTGTTAGTGAGAATTAAGAGACAGGCCCATGGAACAGGAAGCTGAAACCTGAAACAGCTTCACTGTGGGAAAGTGACGTGTGTCAGTGTGGAAGACCTGGCGACGCTTCGAGCTCTGGGGCGGCTGAGCCCCCAAGTGGGAGCAGACCCACCAGAGGGTCGGCCGACCCAGGTGTGGGCCCGCACAAAGTGCAAGCCGTCTCTACCTGCTTCAGCCCTTGGGCGATCAAGACGAACTGAGAGCAGAGACCTCGCCCCGGAAGCGTGAAAGCCTGGCCAAGTCACTTCCACGTCTGCTCTCCCATGTCAGGGAGGGGAGCAGAGGGTCTCTTGCTGGGAATTGTGCACTAGGAATCTTGAGTGTTTCCCCAGCAGAGTTGGAAAAGCAGTTTTCATAGGAACCTAACTTTAAGGATCCAGTGCATGTGTGGTTTCCGCCTGGCGTGTGGTGCCCCAGCTTCTCCAGATCTGCCCCCCAGCTTTCCCCAGCCCCCCACTGATCCTGATGGGGGGGCCGGTATCACCCAATTTGCAAGACTCGTTCGCAAAGACCAAACAGCTGGTGCAGAACAAAAGTCGGACCCCCACCTGGGACCTTCCAACAGCAAGATCTATGTTCTGCACTAATTTAAATGACCGCCATCTTCAGTTTGACATTTTCAGTGCTTTAAAGTATTTCCCCGATGAAGTTCTGGTGGAACCACAGAAGCTACACATTGGCTAACTGGATACCTTCAGGAAACACGGAACAGCACCCTTTCTTTATTACATCCTAACTTACACCTATCTCCCTGCTTAAGTCACTGGCGAAACTAGGAAATACCCCAATTAAGAAGAGAGAAGCAGCGTATCAATTACTCGATTCTGTTTTGAAATAAATTTAAGTGTTGCTAACCAAGGTTATGCCACTTTTGATCAAAAATAATCTTGTTTCTCTCTAATGATTCCATGCTATGTAGAACAGGAATTTGTACATCAACAATGACAATGACAATAAAGGTAGATATTTTCATATTTTTTAAATTTTCAAAAAGCGAGATTGTTAATGGGTTAAAGGGAAGCATTAGTATTTACTAAGCCTGAGAAGCAAAGATGAAAAACCCTTAACAAACAACAACAAGAACAGCTTCCTCTTTAAGTTAAGAAGGTGATGTTTGGAAATATCAGCATTTCCTCAAGTGATATCACATATGCTCTGTCTTTGCCCAAGTTTTCATTAACGGGGATTCTAGGTCAGGAAAAAATGCAAAATCAGTTTTCCCTGGTGGCTTTTACTGACCGGCAAATGCATACTTTGTTACCACCATGCTTGTAAAAAGGATACATTTCTGTTCATTCTTGGCAATTAAATTGTTGAAGTAAGCAGTGAGACCGTCAAATATCTCAGCAGGGAGAGAACTGAATAGTTGGCAGAACCTGCTCCTAGAATTCATCCTGTATTCTTATTTCACGGTTGCTGCAAATGGAGTGCTTTCCAAATTGTATCAATCAAACATCTTTGATGCTGAAAATAGGACTATTTTCCAAATTTTATCATTCAGATCTTTTTGATGATTAATCTGTTTTGCCATAAAACAACCTTAGATTTCCCCCCCATGTATCATCGTGATATCTTGTCTTGGAAAATCCGTTACCTTGGAAAGAAAGCTGGTTGTCCTGTAGACAATACAAGACACCCGAATAGGAGTGTAAATGCCACCGGGAGTGACACCTCAGTGGGAGAGGGATGCGCCCCACGCAGGGCCGGGGTTGCTAGGGTTCAGCGACCCGCCACCTGTGTTCTGTGGTTCTGGCCCCTCTCTGCTCTGCTCCCTGAAAACGCCTCTAGCATTTGCCCATGGCCCCTTTGGAGTCGGGTCCCAGGCTGTGCTAAAATAACCCGGACTGTCTTCGGTACACTTCCTCATAGATGTCAATGGGCCGATATTTCGTTGTGCAAGAAGAGAACTACTTGACCAGCTTAAAGTGGTATTGAAAGGACAGTGTGTTCAAGCCACTCTTCTCCTCACAGCTACCCGCTGATACCCAGCAGACACCCACTAAATTGTTAAAACGAGATTGGAACGAAGCTGAAGGGGGCAGACACAGGCCGCCTGCCGCTCTGTCTGAAACACACGCTCCGTTTCTTAGACGGCGAGCCGCCGGCTCCGGTGCCTGCTCGCATGTCACCGACTCGGTCCCCGATTCCTCGAGTGCCCTCTGAGAATCGGCTTCTGGCAGGTGTGACATGGGCTTTTTTGAAAATCGGGAGAAAATAGGAGCAGACCTCTTGCCCTACAGGTGTTTCTAGAAGGTTGGGCAAAGTCTGGACAGCTGGCAGTGAATTTCCCCGATGTTCCTGAGAATTGGTCAAATTCTACTGAAGTTCAGACTTATAAATACTGTCTCATCTTATTTGTCTTTTTGGCTCATTGTTCTCCCTGGGGAATTCGCTGTGGAACCAAAGGTGTCATCGCAGCACCGATTTTAGGGTCTTTTTGAGTCAGCTGTGGTGACAGCTACCTCCAGATTTGACCTCCAGGCACAGGATTTGAAAAGAAGCTCAGAGGATTCACGCTCTGTTAGGCTCTCAGACGTGAAGCATTCACTTGAACTTCCTCATTTTTTCCTGCGCAGTGGAATCAGCAATAAACTGCACCTCTGGGGTGCGGGGGCGGGGGACAGGAGAATGAAGAACGAGTAAAGAAGCCAAGGTAGAAAAGTGGGAAGGGACCGCGCAGTGAGCGAGGCGCACGGCGCCACCCGCTGACACCACTGCACACTCCGGAAGACAGCGGTGGTGGATGAGGACTGGATAATGAATGCAATTTCTCTTGTTTCTACGTGACTTCTGATTAGTTTTCTGAAATACCCTTACAATACTACCCCCGGGTGCAAAGCGTTGCCAGGGGCATAAACACACTTCAGCCAAGGCAGAGACGAGGCCGCCCCTGTGTGCTGGGCCGGGGGAGGGGGTTTGCTGCGTCCTCCCGGGGCTCAGATGTCATCCCGCAGCCGCGCTCCCCGCTCCGGAACGTACCTGTCTCTAGCGGTCCTCCGACGGCACGCGGGAGCACACGGTCAGCGCGGTGTCCGGCATGCCCTTGGCCGAGCCGTGGCTGCAGCCCGCCGCCCCGTGCAGCGTGAGACACGGGGCCGACCCTGAGCAGAGAGCAGGCAAATCAGCGCACGCTCCCCACCAAGACAGGCTGTGTGGGCGACACCCAGCAGGGGGTGAGCGAGATGGGAGCCTGGCAGGCTGCGAGCGGGGAACGACCGTCTGCCTGCACGCGGTGTGAGGCTTTGGGCCCTGAGACGCCCCCAACGGCCCTTCAAGTAATGAAGGCAAATGAGGTGGTTGATTCCCCAAACTGTACCATGTTTTGAAATAACAAGCTTTCATAAAGCTGCATACATTAATATGTTTCTCAATAACTATGAAAGAGGGCACATTCCATCGCATGAAATAGAACTTGTATCAGGTGATAAAATTCTCAACACGATGGTTTGTCGAACTGAACCTCAGACACGTTAATCAGAGCCTGCAAAAGCTGCCCCGTTCCAGGTGTTCATGAATTTGGGGCTCGTGAGAGATTGTGATCTCTCCCTTTCTGTCTCCTGTCTTCTTTCTCATTCCATCCACTTCTTCTATGTACACAGAAATAGGTTTACATTGCTTTGGACAAATAACTAAATCCGTAAACTGAAAAGCGAGTGAGATCTCTCAGCAAATTTTTGTGCCTTTCATATAAAACCAGACAATCCCAAGACCTCCAGGCCGCCGCTCCGCCCCCATCCCGAGAACAGAAGTCGGAGGGAGAGACTCCGGTTACATGCTATGCCATCTTCATCGTGTTGTGCTTTCTTAATTTGCAGCTTTCCTAATTAACTCTGAAACTTCCTCGCCAGGCTATTACATTGTATCCTACACCCTGCTTTCTAAACTCATGTGCTTTTTAAGAAATCTTGGCAGACAGCACACTCTCAGTTTAGCCCCCCGAAGAGTCTGGAGCGGCGGAAAAGGAGCCCCCTCTGCAAGCCCGCCCAAAGCCGCAGGTGGTATTTCCACGTGACTCACCTTGCACGGATTTGCACACTTGAGCCACTCAGCCAGTCCACAGAATGTTGTTGTCCTGTGTTGTCCACGGGCGATAATGCCCTGCTCAGAAGCCACGTCACCAGTCTGGTTGCCTTTTATGGCACTGTCACTATCAGCCCCGTCCCGACGAACACTCATGGGTTTTATTTCCCCTTTTGCTTTAAGAGCTGGCCGTGTATTCACAAGTTGTGAACTCACAAATCTCACTTTTCTCCCCCTCCCCCATGCCAGGGATTACTCGGAGGGAGCCCCGGGCCTGGTTCCAGAGTAAGGCAGGGCTCCCTGCGCCCTGCACCTGCCCGGACCCCACTTACAGAGCAGGGTGGTGGCTGCGCCTCCGAAGCAGCCACAGGGAACTGACCAGGGACCTTATCTCGGGGCAGGTTTTGACTTAGAGGCAGTTCTTCATGGTTACATCATCGTAGCTGTGATGTGGAGAACGGCCAGCGGCTTCCTTCGAGATGGGCTGGCACCTGGGCTCTGGTGACCACCCCCGAGGAGCACGAGCCAGTCTGCGTGACTGCTGGGCCCCCACCCAGCACCAGGGCTCCCCTGCCTGTCCCCGGGCCTGCGCAGGGATGCAGGGCAGCCTCCGAGGCCTGGACTTGCCCCAGATACACAGTGACAGTGGCAGCAGGGGGCTTGGGTCCCCTGCCCAGGACCTTCCCTCCTGTTCCAGAGGGAGCCCCTCTGCGGCCCTCGGTGTGTTTCAGTTTAAGTAAACCTGGCTGGCTCCTCCTGTCCTTTGCCCCATCTCTGTCTGGGGGATCTCAAGGGGATGGACTAGCAAAGGTGACTCATCGAACAACGGGGCCTGGGTGCGAGTGGACAAGGACCCGCTTGGCGGAGGAAGCCTCAGAGGCTGGGGGAAGCCGCTGCTCGTAGGAGGGGCTCCCCAGCCTCAGCCCAGGCTTGAGTGATGACACCCCTCCCCCAGTGCTGAGAAGTGGGAGGGGGCCCCGGGGGCCCTAGAGAGCAGCCGGGAGAGCGTGTTGTCATCTGGGATCTTGGGCCTGTTTGCAAGGCAGCAAACCGTAGGCACCCTGGAGGGGGCTTCCCGAAAGGCCGAGTGTGCATCAGGCGCGTGTTCCCGGCTCCCCGAGGAGACTGTTCGCAGTTGCCAAAATGAAGCCCAAGCCACCGTGCCCGGATGCCCCGAAAAGGTGAGGTTCCTTGGGGAAAGGGGACGTGAAAGGAGGAACGGAGAGAGAGGCACCACTGCCTACCAAGCAGTCGGAAAGTTGAGACGCGGCGTCAGCCACCTGGCCTCCTCTTCAAAGTCCCACAGGTCTCATTTCAGATGTCACATGTTGGCCACTGTAGACGCTCAAAAATAGTTTGTGATCATAGTGAGGGCAGCGAAGCAGGCCGGAGCTTTCCAACATTCTCTGCCTCGGCAGGTGCTTGCCAAGCGCACCTGGCCCCGGGCCCGCTGCTGTCCCTGCCGGGGGGAGGGAAGGACCTGACTTTGGTCCTCCATGCGGGTGGGCGCTGACGCGCCATCAGCAGCTCCAGCGTCAGGAGGAAGGCAGGCGCTCGCCGCCCCGCGCCCTGTTTCCCTAGAGCACAAGGAAGGCGAGGGCAGGGGCTTTGTGTGTGTGGCAGCTCTTTTCTTCTTCAGAATAAACTGCGAGTGTCCAAAGACAGTTTCGGAACAAGCTGCAAGAATACACACACACACACACACACACACACACAATGGTTTTCTATTAAGGGAAAGCCAGTGTGATTGTGTCTCTTAAGAAGTGCGGCAACCTGGATGTGGCTGAACCACGGAGACGGAAATCCGAGGGGAGAGACGTGCAGATGGTCCGCCCGGTGAGTCCTCCAGGTAAGAAGCTCACGAAGGTCTTTGCGTCTAGAAATCCACTCCGCGGAAATAGCGAGAAATGTAGAACGAAGCTGATGCGCGAGACGCAGAGAGCGTGAGTTCATTGTGTTTCTACCTGTAGTAGTAAAAGTAAAATAAACATGGTTAAGAGAAATGTATAATTTAAAGGTTTAAATATATGGATAATAAGTGTTTATCCATATATAAGTGTTTTCCAATAACTGGAAAACACTGGGTATTTTGGGAAAATGTTAAGTGAAAACAGGAGTCTCTGTATATAATTTTTCATAATCTCACTTTCCTGTCAAGTGGCCAAACCGATCAGCCTGGCCATCTCTAAGAGGTAGGTGTATTAGTTCCCTATTGCCACACAACACCCAACCACAGGCACCGGTGTGGTGAACAGTGATAAGCGTTTATTCCTTGCTCAAGTGTCTGAGTTTTGACTGAGGCTGGGGCTAAACTTGGCTGGGCTGCAGATTGCAGGCCAGGTTCAAGTTCATTCCAAACGTCTGTCATTCATTTGGAACCAGCAGCTCTGCAGGAGGTAACTGTTCCCTGGAATCCAGTTCAGCTACTTTGTGATCTTCGCTGTTGCCCAACTGTGGGGAAGCGTGGAATCTGTAACTAACTGTTACAATGTTTCAAAGGAAACAATCTGACAAGTACTAAATGGGGACTAAACAACTTATTTGGTGGGTGGGGGTGGGGTTCCTCTTAAGAAACTCAAAATTATTTCAGATGGAGCCCGAACATCACCTTCCATGGTTAGATCTCTCTCTCCCCCGCTCCCTCATTGCACTGCAGCACAGACTTGTCTGTATTTTATTTTTATGCCGCACCAAACATTGTCTGTCTCTGCCCACCACCAGGTGTGAGGGCGGATCTTCATTTTACTCAGCTGGGCTTTGTCAGAACCCCTGGGACGATGCAGTTTGAAGATGGAAGAGGCTTTGCGTGGTACTGATGGGGACTTCCACACACACCTGGGTCTGAAGGACAGCCCAGCAGGGCGACCACCCACCAGGAGGAATCCATTTTGACCCCTGTGGTCCTGACCAGGGGCTGCTGACAAGTCACAGTTTTGAAGGTGATTATTTATTCTGTCTTTACCCTTGGGCCGCTGTTCTTCTAACTAGTATTGAAGGCCCATCTTTTAAAATTAATGACCCAGTATGAAAGTTCAGAACACCTAGAATTGATCTGTCCGTGTACTTTCCTCTCTGAAATGTAAAATAAGGTTGCGTTTATGTGCGCGGTCCCCGGGCACCGAGGAGCACCGCCGCCCCGCCTGTGCTGGGAAGCACCTTGCGTGCCCTGCCCGAGACCTCCAGCTGTAGTGGGCTCCTGTTAAACTTCTGTGAGAGCAAAACGCGTGAATGGCTTTTTCTTCAAACAGGTACTTTTTGTTGTTTCACACAAAGAACACATTCTTGAAACAGGACGCGTTCTTTTAAACAAATTAGTCAGTCTCACAAAGAACAAAAACAGGGCGGGGGGGCAGGGTTCGAGGAGAGGCCTCCGCCCTGCACACACGCAGAACACCAAAATTAGGTCACACATGTTTCTCTCTGACTTGTCTGAATGTTGCCTCGACTGCCTTTCCCAAGAGGCCTGACGCTATCGCCGTAAGTTTGTCTCCTTTCGTTGAGCATCTCTCCCTTCTCTGTCCTATTTGCAAAGGCTGCTGGGAGCAGTGGTGTATCAGGGCCGTGGATGCTGCAGGTGCCGGGAGTGAGGTCCTGGCCGGGGACCGGGGACACACACCGTTTTTACCTGCAATCAAACCGCCGAAACCCCTGCTGTGAACCACCATGCAGAAAGTCCAACTCATCGGGGTGAGCGTAGCTGATGGCCCACGTGGCTGATCAGTTGTTCTGTAACTCACAGCCCTCCGTGTCCCCGTGTCTCCTCCCTCCCAGCCCCCCATCACTAACATGCAGCCTTGGGGGGGGGCAGCAGCCCCACCGTGGCCCCCGGATTCCCAGAGCCCGTGAACACGTCTCTGTGGCTGTGATGAAGTAGAGGGGCCCGCGATGGGAAGATGATCAGGGTTCTCGGAGGAGTGGGGTACGCGGGGAGGGCTTTGAGGGTGGAGGAAGGGCGTTCTAGAAGCTGGAAAAGACGAAAGGACAGACCCTCCCGGTGCCTGCAGAAGTTTGCAGCCCCGTGGACCCAGGGGAGACTTCCAACCCCGCACTGTGACGAGGCGGAAGGGGAGCCACGTGCCAGGTGTGTCCTGGTGGTTCCACGCCGTTGCCAGGCTAACAGCAGGAGACACAAAGGGACTCGTGAAACCCCCGCTGAGACGCCCTCCGTGTCTCGGCATTACCGTGAAAATGGAACCCGAATGCCGCCCCGCGGCGTGTGGGCCCTGCGGGACACTCCCTGCCCTTCTCCAGCATCTGCTGCGGGCAGTGGAGTGAGTCAGAACGTCGGGGCGTGGGTCCTGCTGCTGCGCTGACTGCCTGCGCGACCTTAGACCCTTGGGCCTCCCGGTGCCTCAGTTTCCTCACTGTGTTTGCGAGGCCCAAGGAGCTCTGCAGTGCCCGCACTGCTCCAGGCGCACGGGGCTTGGTGGGAGCTGGCCGGGTGCCAGAGTTTCCACACGCCAGGGGCACGCAGTGGACGCCAGGGGCACGCAGCGGACACCAGGCAAACACCTGCTGAAGGGACAGGGCGGGGGGTGGGACACAGAATGGCACTCCGGCCACCTCCATGGGGCACAGGCCGGCACTGCTCTCTCTGGTTTGCAGAAGTGAACGGGCTTCAGAGGAGCACCACCGAAACTCAGACGAACAGAGAGATGACAGGACATTTCGGGAGCCACATTTTGGCCACGAGATGCATGTAAACGCCAACACCAAAGGGCTTATTCACTGGGAAGAAGTGAATGCGACTTTCACTGTGACAAAAGCCGTCCCCTCCTGAGAGCATCTCCTCCGATCAGCAGTGAACGGGATCCAAACCGGCACCGGAAACCGGTCGGGCCCACGGCAGGTGCACGCGGTGAGTGTCCACGCGAGTCTCTAACCTGGATCTATCTCATCTTCTTGACTGTCCTTTTCCACAATACGTGGCCTTCTAACCTTAGAATGGTGCCCGGGCTGGGGGTTTCCACGGCAGAGCAGACTCCCGCCGGCCCTCACGCACCTCTGTTCATGGTGTTATTTACCTCTGGGCCTGGGGTCTGCTCGGAAAATACCCGGTCGGCCAAAAAGTTTGCGTAGTTTCTTTCATGCGACGGCTCTGGCTTGGTTGCCTTTAACTTCGTTGGAAACAATCTTGTTAGGTTGTGTTATGACAGCTGTCATTTCAGCGTGCATTAAAAAAAAAACTTATCAAAACTGGGGAGTTGGCAGTCATTTGTGCCCTGACTGGGAATCAAACTTGCAACCTTGGTATATCGGGATGACACTGTAACCCACTGAGCTGCCCAGCCAGGATTAAAATCTATATTTAAATTTTTTTTCACGTTCCAGTTTTTTTTCAGTAATGCATAGAAAGAAACATCTCACTCAAGTTTGTCGAGGTATGATTTACATGCAGGAAAGTGTACCCTTTTCGAGGGTGCTGTTCTGCGGGTTCGACAAACATACACACTCGTGTCATAACCACCATAACAAGGTACAGATTCCCACACATCCCCCGAGTCCCCCTGCGCCTCTCCGTGGATGTCCCTCGCTGTCTCCAGTCACTGCCAACAACTGACCGTTCGGCCTCTTCCGTTCCGCCTCTCCCGGGAGGTCGTATAAATGCAACGTTCTGTGTGCAGCCCCTCGGGTGTGGCTTCCTCGACTGGAGTGCGGACATGTGGCTGTGTGTCCTTTCCCACACGGTGCTGGGTGCTGTTCCACTGTCCGAATGCACTGCCATCCACTTGTCCACTCGCCTGCTGGAGGACATTTGTTTTATTTCCAGGTTTAGATGGTTATTAATGAAGCTATTATAACCATTCACATACTTTTTTTGTGTGTGAACGTAATTTTGTCTCTCTTGGATAAATATTGGGTTGGCAGAAACGTTTCATTTTTCCTGTAAAATAAAAGACACATTTTTCAGTTTCACCGATAGTTTTATGGATTTGGATATTTTGAGTATGTCTATCTCCCCCATGGTAGAACGTTGATTGTTCTCAATTAATCTCTCAACTTCATCGTTGTCGACTTCGACTGGTCTGTCCAACCCTGGAGCACCGTCCAGCGAGGAATCTCCAGCAGGAAACTTCGCAAACCACTTTGACATGTTCGATCAGTCACAGCACCTTCTCCACACACTGCGCAAGTGTCTTTTTTTTTTTTGCATTTCAGTTGCATTTTTTTACTTTTCCTGAAACAATAAAGCATAATATGTTGAAACTGTTGCCTATCTTCTTCCATCTTCAATATTAAAATTGCTACACAAAAATTCAACAATTTTGATGTTTTTTTAAAAATGCACGCTGACATGACAGCTGTCACAACACAGTCTGACAAAATTGCTCCGAGTGAAGTCAAAGACAGTTTGGCGCCACTAGAACCACCTTACAGGAAAACAAACAAAGAAACTTTTCGGCCAACCCAACAGTTTGTTGTCCTTGGATAAGTACCCAGAAGTGGAATTGCTGAATTGTGTGTAAGCTCTGTTTTTAAAAAAAAAGATTTTATTTATTTATTTTCAGAGAGAGGAGAAGGGAGAGGAAAAGAAAGAGAGAGAAACATCACTGTGTGGTTGCCTCTCACACGCCCCCCCCACGGGGGACCTGGCCTACAACCCAGGCACGTGCCCTACTGGGAATTGAACTGGCGAGTCTTTGGTTAACAGGCCAGTACTCCATCCACTGAGCCACACCAGCCAGGGCTATAAGCTGTATTTTAATTTTTGGAGGATTCTCCACACTCTTTCCGCAGTGGCCACAAGCCCACCCGTGGTGCACAGCCTTCCCTTCGTGCACACCCTTGGCCCCACCTCGTTTCTTACTGAAACATACTAATGAGTATGGAGTGACATGTCCCTAATGACTGATGATATCGAATATTTTTACAGAGGCTTGATTACCAACCATACAGCTGCTTTTGTGACATTTATTCCTACATTATATTCTGTATCTATATATCTCTATGTAATTTTAGTTACTAGAACTTATAACCATTTGCCGCTGCTATAAAAATATATAATTGATTTTTATCTATTAACCTTGAATCCTATGTATGACCTTGCAAAATTCACTTCTTAGTTCAAACAGTTGTTTGATTCCTGTGATTTCTATGTAGACTGTTGTCCTATAAAACAAAGACACTTTTGCTTCCTTCCTGTTACACCTATTTTTTTTCCTTGCCTCGTGTCAACGGTTACGAACGCTGCACAAGAAGCACTGAAGCTGGGCACCCTTGTCTCACCGCCAATGTTGGGGGAAGAGTCGGTACTTTACCACTGAGCCTGTTAGCCATGCATTTTTAGAGATGCTCTCTACCAAATTGAGGAATTCCTCTCATCTTAATTTTCTGAGAGTTTTTATCGTGAATGGGTGTTGAATTTTAAATGCTTCTCTTTTGCATCTATTGGGATGATCACAGAGTTTTCTTCCCTCTTTGGTCTATTAATATGGTGAATAACTGATTGGTTTTCAAACGTTAAATCCATCTTGCATTCTTAAAATGAATTCAACTTGATTAACCCGACTTGCTGGATTCAATTTGCTAATATTTTACGAAAGATACTTGTTTTTATGTTCATGTGGATATTGCTCTGTACGTTTTTGATAATACTCATTTCAGTGTTGTAATCAGTTTCATGCCGACCTCAAATGAGAGGAGACATGTTCCCTCTTCTATTCTCTGAACAAAAATTGTGCAAGATTAGTGTTATTTCTTCCTTAAGTGGTTGATAAATTTGACCACTGAAACCATCTGGGCCTGGAATTATCTTTGTGGGAAATTTGTGGAATAAAATTCAATTTCTTTAATAGTAAAGCGCTATTCAGATTTTAAAATTTCAGCTTGCTTCAGTTCTGAAGTTGAATTTTTCTAAGAATGTGTGCCTTTCGCCAACAATGTCGGATTGGTTGGTGTAAAATGGTCCATGCTACCTCCCTTTATTCTGTTAATATCTGTGCTGATACATTCTTTTAAAATGAATCCTCTGTATTTTCCTTGGTCCATCTGGTTGGTATACTGCGGGATGTATGTCATCTTTACTGGGATCAACGCTGTCTCTCTCTGTATGGCTTCTCAAAGTGGAATACTAAACACAGCTGAAGACAAGGGGCCCATCATTGAAAGCCACAGAAATACTGTGGCATGCAAATTTTTAAGGAAAATTTTAGGGAAATTAGGTAAAGTTTTATTGAAACGACTTTAAAAACACTTAAACTTTATAAGATGCAGAGCTCTTTTATTTCTTTAGATAATTGGTAGGATGTCTCGGAAGCTTCCCACTTGAGGATTTAGGGCTGCACTCACACCCCTTTGCCACTTTTTTCACTGTTCTCTGCTTCGGAAAAAAATGAGAGCTGAGTCAAAGGCAAGTTCTTCACTCTACATCTGCAAAAGCCCGCAGACCAGGAGACGGAATGGTTTCACAAACCAGGTGGGAACGTAAAATAGGCCCAGTAATTTCAAGGGATTGGAGGGCTCGACTCTCGAGAGCGAGTGCGTCTCGAAGGTCTTGCTTCAGTCTAGACGCTGTATCTTAACTTCGGATCACTTTTAAAACTGCGCCCCTCCCGTGCAGAGTCCAGTGCGACTCCGGGAGCGGGCAAGTGCAAGCTAGCATTTACCGAGCAGTGGTAAGTGCTGGAGGGGTGTGAAGAGTCGTATCTCACAGCGGACAAACGTTACGCAGAAAGTCACCCAGGCGAGCGCCTGACCACCTCCCGGACCACAAGCGCGGAGACCAGAACCGAAACGGAGCCTCTTGATGCGCGTGCGCACCTGCGAGGCTCCGAGTCGATGAGTCCTCAAGGCCCCGCCCACACCCTCTGGCACTTCCCATTGGTAGTTGGCCGGCGCGTGTAAGTGACGTCTCCAAGACTGCCGCCCGGAAGTGCGTCCTGGGCGACGGCGGCCGCAAGGCGGGTGAGCGAGAGTGGGGCGTGCGCGCTGCCGGGAGGGGGCGCTGGGAGGGGGCGCTGGGAGCGGGCCCGGGAACAGCCCGCGGGTCTTGCGCAGAGCCAGCCCTCTGGACAGACAGGCGAGGGTAGCGACGGACTCGTCCGCCCTGGGGACCGGAACCCGACAGAGCGTACCGGGCGTCCACAGACACCCTCCGCCCCGCGCGCAGCTGGGCCCCTGCGGTGGCGCGGAGCCTCTCCGTTCGCCACCTGGCGTGGTTGACGCCGCTTCGGGCACGGTCCCCGCGGATTGTCCGAGGAGAGGCGGAGCCGAGCGTTGTCCTACGGTGGGCTGGGACGGTCCCTGGTCGCCGCCCCCGACACCTGCTTTCCACCGACAGGAGCCGTTCTCCGGCAGTTCCCGCTGCAGCAGCCGCGGGAGGCCACCTGGCGAGGGAAAAGCTGCGCTGCTGGCGAGGCGCGGGCGGGGTGGGGACGGGGAACTAACTGCACGACCGGCGGTACACTCAACCTGGTTCACAAGTCCTGGGAAGCCCCCTGGGCCAGAGATGTCAGTGGGGTGAGGAGCGAGGCTGACGTGCCCTGGCTGACCCCTGGGAGAAGAACTGTTCCTGGCAGGGCGAGTCACTGAGCCGGCGGCCGCCTTCGAAGGGTCTGGTGACGGTGAGCGGACCTCTGGGAGCCCAGGCCCTGCACCGGGAGACGTAGCCCTCCGACCGGCCCCTACTCTTTCCCTACGAACACGTTCCTGGGCAATACAGAAAATCCCGTAGCGCCCCTTTCTTTCCTGCCACTTTTAAACCCAGTCTCTGTGTGCCCACGCCTGTGTCACAGATGCTGAGGTGCCTGCGCCGCTGGTGGCCGATCAGTGCCAGTACTGGACTGCGCCTGCCGGAGCGACGATACCTGTTCACCATGAAGCTGCAGTCCCTGGAGTTCCAGTCCCTGTTCACGGAAGGGCTGAAGGCCCTCACCGGTGAGACTCCGCTGCCTTCTGCTTGAGAAGCCTGGGTACCTGTGGCAGGAGATGGGTCACTCATTTCAACCACATGGGGGCATGTTGTTTAAGAAAGAGGCCTGCCCTGCTATGGGCAATCCAGAGCTATAGCCAAATTACAGGAAGAGGCAGAAAGTGACCAGTTAAAAGCGTGCCGTTCTCGGTGTGCTAAGTGCTTCCATCCAGTATTGGGCCACTACCTTAGGGAGCAGGCACGAGGTTCCCTGGGCAGGAGGGTGAGGGTGTGAAAGGCGCCAGCAGTGTTCAGACAGGAACACCTGCGAAGCTGGGCTCTGACTCACACACCGCCCGTCCCTTCCGTGGGACCAGGTGCCCTCTAGAACTTGAAGGCCAGGAGAGACCTGCGTCACCTGGCCAGGGTGTGTGCAGACCTTACTGGGAAGGTGTCAGGAAGCAGCCCCATCCACTCCCCAGCCTGTGCTCCTTCCATTGTCCTCAGGGTCGCTGCTCCTCTTGCTGGAGCAGCCACCCCGCTGCCTGTGGAAGCCAGCGGCGTTTTGGTGGCATCTTCAGCAGCATGTTAGGTATTCATGTGTGAACACGTGACTTATGCTGTGCTATGCAGCCCTGTCCTCCACCAGACCCGCCGGGGGAGCTTTGGAAGCACCCGGCGCTGGGTCCCACCCGATCTCCTGAACTGGAAGCTCTGGGGAAGGGGGGCGGCTAGAGAGTTTGAAGGAAGCTGCTCCGTTACTCCCAACGCAGAGAAGACCTGCCCCTAGAGCCGCTCTCCTGTTCTTGAGTCAGATGACTTCAGGTCGGTGTACAATGGTGCCGCTCTCACAGTTCCGGAGTGTCCTGTCCGCCCACACAGGCACATGCGGATGCCTCCTGCGCGGTATGACAGTGTTGGTACCGTGAGTTTTATGGCTTTTACGAGTCCCCATGAGCTTACTGGGCAACTCTGACCTCATAGCTGGAGAGCGGTGAGGCCGGTCCGAGGGCCTTGATGCTGGTTAACTGCGCGTTCAGCGGCCACCACCCATCCTGTGAGAGCAGGTTCGCGTGGAAAGGAAACATGTCTACTTTTTGCATTCCTAAAGTTTTTTAGATTCTGTTTAGTTGGGAGGTGGTACAGGCATTCCCAGGTCAGGGCCCCGAAGGTGCACGACCCACTGGGAGTTCTTGGCCCCACGCAGGAAGGAATTCCCACATGAGGTGGCACAGAGTTTAAAGGGGAAGAGTTTACATTAGTGAGGCAGTGAGACGGAGGACCCGCTGCTGCTTCTGCTGAGGCTCATTCATCGGCGGGGTGGCATTCAGTTGTGGGGCAGGATGTTCAGGACTTTCCAAGACCAGGGTGCAGATTTCTTGGGAGAGCTGTGGCCGTTTCCTGACCTTTTATGGGCTCTCCCGTGCCAATCGGGGTGGCTCAGGTGTGTGGATTGCCTGCTAATGAGGCTCGGGGGTGAGTTAGGTGAGGTTAGGCACCTTACTGGATGCAGCTGGTCTCCGCAGGTTCTAAGCCAGGTGTGTCCGTCCAGCCTGGCTTAGAACATTCACAAGTGTGTGAACGTGGTCCAACACAAAATTGTGAATTTACCTCAAACATTAGGAGAGTTTTTTCTGTGATGATGTGTCGCAGTGTATTTAACATGTTACCCCAGACAACTCCTTCCAGAGCGGCGCAGCGATGCCGAGATTCTGGTGGCGTGGGGGGTCTTCCTACTCCGTTTCTGTAGCCGTCCTCAGTTGCCCTTGTTCTGCCACATACCCCCGTCTCAAAGAAGGGAAATATTTTTTTTTAATTTTTTCCAATAAAGCCCCGTTTCCATTAAGCTGGGGTACCGCAGTTCAGCTCCTGTGTGAGCCAAGCTCTCGGGAAGGAATGACAGGTCCTGCCTGAGCGGGGGTGGGGGAGGACACAGGTAGTTCTGGTGTTGGCTGGTCCTGCAGCTTAAACTCCCTGAACCCCCCCCACACCGACCAGGGGCTTCCCCGTGTGGCTCAGGTGGGCTCCCGTGGAGGCCTTTGCATCCCTCCTGCAGGCTCGGCCGGAGCCCCAGGGGAGACTCCTGTAGGGACCATTGCTGGCTCTCAGGGGCTGGACAGCCACGCCCCCTGTCCTGCTTCACAGAAACACGTTGAAATGAAAGTGTCTCTCTCATCAGAATTATTTGCCAAGGAAAACCACGAGTTGCGGATAGCAGGCGGCGCCGTGCGGGACCTGCTGAGTGGGGTGAAGCCGCAGGACATCGACTTCGCCACCACCGCCACGCCCGAGCAGATGAAGGGGCTGTTCCAGGCGGCCGGTGTCCGCATGGTCAACAACAAGGGGGAGAAGCACGGGACCATCACGGCCAGGGTGAGCGGGCATCCGCAGTCGCCGCGCGGCCTCTGCAGGGCACAGCAGCTTGCACCCCTGTTTCTAGTTAAAGCAGCAGCGAGGAACAGAAGCGGCATTGCTGGCCAGCTCATCCTCGCAGGCCTGCGTGTTCCCCATGGGCTTCCTGAGACGCCTGTGTGTGCAGGTGCTCGTTTCTGTCAATTTCCCGTTGTTTTGTCAGACCGTATCTCTCCCTGGACCTTCAGCTGGGAGGGGGCGGGCTGTGACCTCTGCCACACCCACCGCAGCGGCGTCTCGGGGCGTCACCCCAGTGCTGGGTGAAGTCAGCGTTGGGGTGACCGCCTTTCTGGTGCGCCTCGCAGTGGACAGCGTTTCTTGGATCACACTTTCTGTGAGTGTGTGTCCGCAGCTCATCCGGGGCTGTCGCGGTCCCCTTGGAGAACCCCAGCAGGCGTGTCTCAGTTCCTGGGTCAGGCCCTCCCCGACAGTCCAGGCCTGCCATCGGCCTGCCACCAGCGCTCCTGGGGCCCCTGCGCGGCTCCCGGAGCACCCTCTCTGCCCACCACCTGTCAGACGTGGGGTCCCTCCCCTCACTTGGGGCTGAGCACTGACTGTTGGCCATGGAGGCGAAGTGGGGCCCCGCCTCTCCTGGCCCCGTGGTGGCTGCCCTGGCTCAGCCCAGCCAGGCTCTGCTGCCCGAGACCTGATGGCCGGCCCTCTGGGAGCTTCCCGGCCAAGTGCTGCTGCTGTGTCTGATTTCAGGACGGTGTGCCTTGCTTTGCATCCATTTCTAGTTGTCTGTCTGGGGTGCTCAGTGGCCGCGCCTCCTGACTCCGCCCCTTTTGAAACGTCTTCTCGCTGGAAATTCCGTGATGGCTGTTGGCTGTGCACCATGCACGACAGGGGTGGACCCGGTTCCACCTTCTGTCCCCTCTCTCTGACACTCTCATCCCTTTCCTTCCTGTGGGGTCACCTTAACCTGCTCACCCCGGCGTCCTGCTCCTTCCGCACGCTCCGCTCTCTTGCAAAGCGTGCGGCGTCCTGCCAGCAGTGTTGGGAAAGGCCCCCCTCACTTCCTTCCCCCAGGACACCAGTTGGAGTTCCCTGGACAGTTTTCTGGCCTGTTGCTGTCTCTCCCCGGCTTCCTGAAAGGGGCCCTTCCTGGGCTCCACTCGTGTCCGGGCTGCAGTGTCCGTGCAGCAGGTGCCCGGCGAGCTCCACTGTCGTGTGTGGGCAGTGCCCGCCCGCAGGCTGGGGGTCCGGCGTCGCTGCTGTGGGCCTCGTCATTGGGAGAGGTCCCAGAGCCCCCCAGGGGCCCGGGTTAGCACAGGTTTGCATGGTGAAGACCGCGTGGGGGACAGGCTGGGGTCGGGCATGTTGTTTATCCGTCTTGTTGTGGCCGTGGTGCTCACACCCACCACCCTCCGCAGCTGCCACTCCAAGCTGCCCCCGTTTTCAGGTGGTTCCTACCCGGGTGAGCGGACGCTCTGGGCATCTGTTTTCTGAAAGGACTGCCTTCGCGTTCCCTGCCCCGTCCGCCCGCAGAGGGAACGGTGCCCCAGGTCCCCGAGTTCTGGGACTCGGTGGTGTGGCCCCGCCAGTCTCCAGGGAAGCACGTGCAGGAGATGGACAGGAATTCTGGAGCAGACTTCCGGGCTGGCCCCTGGCTTTCAGGCCCCCGACTCCTGCTGGGCCTGGGAGGCCCTGCGCCCTTGCCCTCCTCGTGCGAGTGTGTGCTGCCTGTCGGGCGTACCGTCCCTTACACTTGTCCCTCTCTCCACCGTTGATGCTCATGTGTGCACCTGTGTGCACAGCCCTGCACGTCACGGCTCAGCATGCGCCTCCCCTCGGGGCCGCACCACTTCTCATGGCTGCAGGCAGGGCCCCCCCCCCCCCCCCCCCCCCCCGCCCCACAGTGTATGGTCGGTAAACCAAGCCCTAGGCCTTGCACGCTGACGCTGGGTCTGCGGAGCTGTGTTGCAAACAGGAGCTTGAATGGAAAGGGAAGAGTCAGACAGGCGCCATCGAAGGGCTCCTCCAACGAGGGCTGGTTTGTAGGTCAGACTCCCCCTCTTCAGCTGGGAAGGGTTTACGATTTTTAAACAAGCTGCTTGGCTCCGTCTCTGAGCACTGGGGTGCCCTCCTGTTCGAGGCCTGTGCGCACTCGCTGACTTGAACCGGGAGGTGGGAAGTCCTGTCAGGACTCGTGTGTCTTCCCTGTCCACCCAGGGACACCAAAAACTCACGTTTGAAAACATTTAATTCCAGCTTCACAGTGAGAATTTTGAGATCACCACCCTGCGGATCGACGTCGTCACGGATGGAAGACACGCTGAGGTGGAGTTCACAACCGACTGGCAGAAGGACGCCGAGCGCAGGGACCTCACCGTCAACTCCATGTTTCTGGGTGAGGCCGGCGACGAGTGGGTCCGCGCGAGCGCCGTCCTCCGGGAGGGCCGTGTGCGGGAGGTGGCCGCCCAGTGGGAACAGGCGTGTCTGGTCCAGGACTGAAGCGTCACTGTATGTACTTGACGCTTCAGGGAAGCCCTTCACATTTCAGACTTCGGGTTAGAAAAGAGGCAAAACATCCAATATCGTAACCCACACTGTGACGGTCACAGGGAAACGGTGAGGTGACGGATTCGCCTCCTGCGGTGGGGACCACCAGCTCACCACGTTATGAACAGGCAGGCTCTGACGCACCCGCTGCTCTCTGCTGTGTTTCTGGGCTCTCGGCGGAGCTCGCGGGTGGGTGGCGCCCCCGGCAGGTGGGAGGCTCAGAGATGCTGAGGGCTGCAGCTCAGGCCGAAGGAGGCCAGGCCTGTGCCCCCGGTCCGGAGCCCCTGGGGGTCCCTGTCCCTCTCCCTGAAGCGTCAGACTCCCAGGGCCTGGTTGTCCTCAGCCATCCTCCCGGAGGTCAGCTCGCAGTCTGTACGGCCTTCTGTAACCAGAACAGAAATGGACGTGCTCTCCCTCCAAGACCCTGCTTTGTGGAGATCGAGCAGCCTGGCTGGTACCGTGTTGGCTGGCGTCGGCTGACCCCCCAGAATGCGCCGAGCGCTGTCGCAGGCCCAGCCCGTGCCGGACTCTCCCTGCCACCCCTACGGAGCAGGTGCTGCGTCCCCCGTGCTGCACAGCTCAGAGCCGTGCAGCCAGCCCATGGCCCCGTCAGGATGCCCGGCCCAGGGGCCCCTCCCACCTGCTCGCTGCCCCTGCCGGCTCCGCCCGGTGCACATTCACTCACCGTGTTTGTGGAAGAAGGATGTTCAGAGCAGGACATGTGCTCACCAGTGCGATCCTCGCTGATCTCAGCCAGTTTTTGTTCAGGCTTTTCTCCAACAACTGGACGAAGCTTTCCTGGTTCTGACACTTCTGGTTAGAGTGTTTCTCTTATTTTTGCTAAATATCCTATGTTTTTCCTCCAACTTTTGATCCTTTTTGAAAAAGACCGAATACCTCCATACTCACCAGAGAGGGTTGAGTCTCTTTGTGAAGAAAAATAAGACAGAGAGGCGCCCCATCTGTCACTTTTTAATCAGATTTTTGTTTTTATTTGCCTCTGCGGATTTTTTCTTTTCTTTTCTTGCTTATTCTGGAGCCTTTCCAGTTTTCCATGCACACCAGAATGCCGCGTGGACCGAAACAGCCAGGGGACGGTGCCTGTGACCCCCCCCACCTCGTCCAGCCTGCTCGTCTCCTGCGACCACCAGTCTGCTCGTTCTGTGAGCTCGGTTTTGTGTTTCTCCTCAGCGTCCACCTCGAGTGAGGTCGCACGGTCTTGTCCTTCACTGTCCGACTGGCCGGGCTGAGCCGGTGCCTCGGGGTCACGCCCCCCACGAGCGGCAGGAGTTTGTCCTCCTCCACAGCCGAGTCGGACCCCAGTGCAGGCGGGCGCCGTGTCACTGTCCAGTTCCTATTAGCTAACGGTCACTTTTCTCTCCTCTCCCCACAAACAGGCTTTGACGGCACGTTGTATGACTACTTTAATGGTTATGAAGATTTAAAAAACAAGAAAGTGAGATTTGTGGGACATGCTAAGAAGAGGATACAAGAAGATTACCTTAGAATTTTAAGATATTTTCGGTAAGAATTTTTGACAATTAGTGATTCCATTCCTACAGTTACTACCAGACCACAGTTCTGTGGGGTGCAGTTCTCAGCAGGCCGGTGTGCGAGGCGGTGGCCCCCCAAGTGTCTGTCTGCAGGGAGGCTGCGGGGTCCCCCACCCACAGCCTCGCTTTCCCCAGTCCCAGTTTTCTGTGTTCACCCGCACCAGGAAAGTTACATGGAAAATTCCAGAAATGATTCATGGGCTTTAAATTGTGTGCCAGCTCTGCCTGGCCTGACAGCACGGCGAGCCGAGCTGCTCCGTCCCCGTGAGACAGGACTGGTGCCCTCCCCAGTGTCTCTGCTGCAGACGGCCCCGCCCCGTAGTCGCTCTGTGGGGTCTTGGTTACCTCGTTGTGCCTGACCCGTGAATCCGCCTCTGTCGGGGGGCGAGGGTGAAAGAAGCGCGGCAGGTCAGCAGTACCCGAGGTGGCGGGAACCTGCTGGGGGTTAGGTGTGTCCCCGAAGATGAGCGGGGCTGCTCTGTGAGGTATCACGTAGTAACTTCTTATTCTCATTCCCAAAACACGCCCACATTCATCCCGCTGTGTTGTGATCTTTACAGCCTTCGGCTTTAAGTCATTTTGGAGCGTCCATTGCTTTGGTGGAGCGTTCCCTGGGCCGACCGTTCTTTACACAGCTGCGTGGGCGCCCGCAGGCCCGCCCTGTGCGAGGTGCCCAAACACAGAGGGGGGAATGGGGGGCCCATGGTTGCGTCTGGGTTCGTGGGAACCCTCCTGCGTGAGCTTGGTGAGGGGAAGTGGGTTTGGATGGTGGCGTGGGTGCCGCTGCCTTAACCTCTACCTGCAACGACCTTTTCAGAAACTTTGCTAATGGCTGCTTTGTGTCTAGTAGTAGTAATTTTGGATGACTCCCAAAACACTCCCTAACATCTTATCTTTTGTCAGTAGTATTCCTCCACACTTGAGTATTTGCCAAGTCTCCTTTTAGAAATAATAGAAATAGACTGAGACTTGCCAGTTAGCCCTTTAATTCAGATGTTAATGAACTGAACACCTGCACTTGAAGGCTTTGACCCTGAGGTCCCCTGAAGCTCAGTGTCAGCGATACTGTGTCCTGTCTGAGACGCCCCGCGAGCCCCGGGGAGGCGGCCGGGCAGCACGCAGTCTCGGTGGGGCGCCTTGCAGGGTGCCCCTCCTCATGGGTCCCTGTGGCACCACCTCGGCCTGCGTTTGAGGGCCACTCCCAGCGCCGGCCTGTGACGGGAGGTGGCAGTGAGGCGGGAGGGAGGCCTAGTCCTTGCCAGCTCCCAGCAGGAGCTTGCATTTCGCCGGCTGGTGTTTTCTCACTGGGAAAGGAGAGAAGGTGGGGAATGGACTGTGTGCTCTGCAGGGTCCCTGCTGGTCCTGACCAGTTGCTGTGTGTCGTTGAGTAGGTATGCGCAGCGCCGTTAGCTTGAAAAGGCGACTTTGCTGGTGGGTGTGCCGGCACGGGCGCCGCACTGGGCGGATTTTGTTTCGTAGGTTTTACGGGAGAATTGTGGACACGCCCGATGCCCACGACCCCGAGACTCTGGAAGCAATTGCAGAAAACGCCAAAGGCCTGGCCGGGGTGTCGGGGGAGAGGATCTGGGTGGAGCTGAAGAAGATTCTCGTCGGGAGCCACGTGAACCACCTGATCCACCTCATCTACGACCTGGACGTGGCTCCCCACATCGGTGAGGCCTGGGGGCGGCCTGCCTGCTTCCCCGGGACTGGGACACGTGTGGTTTAAAACTGCACCAGGGAAGTGTGTTTAGAGTGGTGTAAGGTTTCTCAAAGGAGACATGAGACATTTTAGAGTGAACTCTGAGGCCAGGGTAGAACCGTTTGTCACAGGTGGGGACAACTCAGTGCAGGCTAGTGGCACAGAGTGGCCTCCGAGCGGCTCGGGAGCAAAGGTAGGGTCCCGAACTGAAACATGGAGCGACGATGCCAGCGAGTCTGTGCAGGGCTGGGAGCGGCGGTGGGTGAGGGGGACTGGAGCGCGTAGGGGGGGCGACAGGTGCAGGCGCCGTCTGGGGACCGTCACAGCCGGTGAGCAGGGAACAGAGGGGTGTCTGGTGCACCCCACGCTGGGAAACTCGGTACATTTCAGACGGACTCGCTGGAGGGGGCGGGCGACCACTGGTGTCCAGCAGAGAGTGGGCGGGAGCCCTCGGTTGGATTGTGGCCCCCGGTGTGACCACCTCTCCCCGCCCTGCTGCTGGCGCTGGCTCATGGACACCAACACTTCAGGACGCCCCTCAGTTTGCAGGGTGAGGGGCGGGGGGCCCTGTGGGACGGGGGAGCACCAGGTCGGGTGGATGCTGACCCCTCATGAGGGGTGTCTCTGCAGAGCAGACCCGTGGTTGGCTTAGCATCTGGGGGTTTCTCGTTAAATTCATTTCCTGTGAAAATGGTGAAACACGCCTTTGTCCCCACTACAGGCTTACCTGCCAATACAAGTTTAGAAGAATTTGACAAAGTCAGTAAAAATGTGGAAGGTTTTTCACCCAAGCCAATGACACTCTTGGCCTCGTTATTCAAAGCACAGGATGATGTTACAAAGTTGGATTTGAGGTTAAAGATTTCGAAAGAAGAGAAAAACCTTGGCTTGTTTATCGTCAAGTATAGGACAGATTTAGTTAAAGCGACAGACAGCTCAGAGCCCCTGAAGCCCTACCAAGACTTCCTCATAGACGTAAGTATGTGCCCGGCGTGGGCAGAACTAGCTCCTCCACACTAACAGCAAAGCCCGTTTTTTAACACCGAGACCCCCCTGTAGTCTGTGGGTGTCACTCACTTTAAGTGGGAGTGTCCCCTCACACATTTAGGACGTCCCTGTGGGGTAGGCCACAGCAGGCTCTCGCAGGAGCGCTGACACTCTGATGTGGCCTCAGTGCAGGGAGCCCGACGCCGCCACCCGCGTGTCCGAGCTGCTGAAGTACCAGGGCCAGCACGCCCTCCTGCGGGAGCTGCAGCGCTGGTCCGTGCCCCCGTTCCCCGTGAGCGGCCATGACCTCCGGCGGGCGGGCGTCTCCTCCGGAAAGGAGATCGGGGCGCTGCTGCAGCAGCTGCGAGACCAGTGGAAGAAGAGTGGCTACCGGATGGAGAAGGAGGAGCTGCTGAGCTTCGTAAAGAGGCCCTGAGCCCGCGGGCCGCCGGGCGACTGGGTGAGGCCCTTCCCTCTGCTCCCCTCGGTGAGGTCTGAGAGACACGCGCATAGGAGGGAAGATGGCCAAGGGCTCCTCGGGAGAAGGCAGAATTGCACGCTCGTGAGCGCGCCCCACCCCGGGCCTGCACCGGGCCGGCTGCCTCCAGCCCCGACTCTGCACTGAGCCCTCTTGGTCCGTGGACGGTTCTCACCCAGAGGTGTGGCCGGTCCGGCCTGGCTCAGCCTGTCTTGGCTTCAGGTTCTCTCGCACAGGGCTCTGCTGAGATCGGCGCGTTGAGGAAGTTTCCCGGTTGTTGGGATTGAAATAACCAGGTTATTTTACGACTGTCTACGATAAGTGTCGGTTCTTATCTGAATTGCAGAATAAACTTGAACGTAGCTCCCGGATATGCACAAAATGTCCTCTAGAACACACGGCCCGCCGTGCCCCAGGCACCGGGACGTGCGGGTCGGTGTGTGGTCGAACGCCCGGTTGGGAGGACGTGGCCTCCGTTCCGGTCTCCGTGAGCAGGCCTGTGCTTTTGCCCCTGAGGGTCCGAGCCCCCCATGTTGCCCGTGGGAAGTGGGCGGACCGCTGCGAGCACTGCATTTCCACTGCTGGGCTCCGACACCCTGTAGCTACCTCTCGGGTCTGGGCAGTGCGCTCCGCCCCAGGAGACTCAGTGCTTCCGGCAGAGCCCAGCGGAGGGGGCGGGTGAAGGCCCTCAAGGTCACCCTGGTTTCCTCCAGAGAGAGCGTCTCAAAGCCACTGGCACAGGTCAGCAGTGTACTGGACACAGAAACACAGACCCCGGCCCCGCCCCGGATGCTACTTTCCTGGGCGGGGGCTGCTGGGAGGTCTGGGAGTCGTGTGCGCTGTGGTTTAGGACGGTGCGTCACACAGGTTTGCGTGTGAGTTTTATCTGTGTTCTATTCGTGCTGTGGACTCAGATGTGTCCCACCCTCCCCGCCAGCGCCGCCTCGGGGTGCGGCTGCGCTCTTCCTCTAGAGGACATTGGGTCCCCATGCAGCAGCTAGTGCCAGGGGCAGGCACCCGGCGGTCACAGTCCTCAGGGACGGTGACAGCCGTGGCGTCCAGGGTGAGGCGGGTGCCTGCCGAAGGCCCTACAGCCTTCCCGGGGCTGCGCCCGCAGCTAGTGAGTGGCCAGCAGGCGGCTCTGCCTGTCGGGAGGCCCTGACCCCAACGTTACTGTCGCACCTGTGTTGTCTGCGCGAGCACGTGGTGTACGGCACTGCAACAGAGAACGTGGTTAACTTGGCTCTGTCCTTACATTTTGCTTTTTTTCTTCAACCGACGCTGAACAGAACAGCCTAAGACCATCGCCGTGGGACGCCCTGGGCTCCCACTGCGCCTGCACCCCAGTGGCTGGGGACGGCGCGTGCACGCCCAGCGAATGCACAACGTGCGGGGTCTCTTACCATCAGACACTGAAGAAAACGAGAACCGTAGTTTGGGGCTCAAACTGCATGTTTTAACTCTAATATTTTCGAAGTTTACAAGTCAGTATATCACAGAAATTAACAGCTGAAAGAATAAAACCCTTCGGGCTTTAACTGCTACCGCTGCCTGGCCGCTCTCGGGAAGAAGCACCCGCTCTCGGGAAGAAGCACGCGCTCGCGTGTGCCGCTGGCTGTGGACCCTGCGCCTGGGGCAGGGAGTGGACGCGCCGCCCCCGCACGCTGCCCCACTGCTCGTTCCACACTGGTGCGGGAAGCGGTGTCCTCCTGGTCACGTGCTGCCCAACGTCACAGTCCACGGGGCACGGACTCCAAGCTACTGAGTGAGTGCCCCTGAGCACCGAGTGGCCGAGACTGTGTTGTGTCCTCTTTCACGGCGGTTCAGTCTTAAGTCTTCACAACCATCGGGGAAGAGGCTGCCCCTCCCCCACGTGCCCTTTGACCCGGGTCTGCAGCAGCAGGGGCGGCTTTCGGAGCAGGCTCACAAGCACAGCACCACTTTGTCTGGGCCCATGTCGTCCTCAGTGTCGGGGATCGTGGGCAGCAGAGCAGACCGCGTCAGCCCCCAAAATTTCTGAGGTGACATGTCTTTTTTGGTGGCAGTGAATTTCCATCCAACGTGGCTCGCACAGATCTTGCACTGGGCCACCGTCCAGGCAAACCTACAAGTTCAGGGACAGAATGAGCCCAGGAAACCGTCCACGCCCCCAGCTAGCACTAGAAACCTCTGAAGACCCCCCAGAGCTGCGCTCAGAGGAGCGAATGCTCGGCTTTGATTTTCCAGCTTCCGGAGCCACTGCCGCGGAAAGGGCTTCCGTGTGCGCTGGTCCTGCTGCCCTGGCGGAGCTCAGGGCCCGGGAGGCGGGGCTCTGCGGGAAAGGCGGCCCTGCCGGGTAGGGGCCCGGCCCACCGCGCCCCAGGAGAAAGGGACGCGCTGGGGGTGTGGGGACAAGGGCATGTTTCCCGTGTGCGACAGCACCACGGTTGAAGACACTGCCCCTAAAACGAGGATGATCTGGTCAGAAGTACGAGCCACAGCGTTCCAGTTTCTAAGGAAAATAAACCAAACCGTGGCCTTGCAGCCACTTCCTACTTCCCCCAGGCACTGCCCACATTTCGCATTTACAGTAGTAAGTCAATTCCAGATTGAGTTCTTGGACTAAAAGGGGTGTCAGGACTGGATGAGCCAAACGACACGGTTCTGGTGTGGAACAGTGAGTAAAATGCTAGTTCCTGCTCGGCTCATTTTCTCTCTTAAAAAAACCAAAACAGGCCCAGCATTCAGATGGAAAGACAAACAGGGTTCCCAAGCTGATGGGGCAGAGGGGCGGGGGATGGAAGCTGGGGCCCCAGGCTGGAGCTCCTGGTGCGTGAGCTGAGGCTTCCCGCGGGGGCCCCTGTGCCTCCAAGGGCACGGTCCGCTTCGAGTTACCAAACTGGCCACATTGCTTAGGAATCTGCTTTTCTTTCCAATTAAGGCAAAGCCACCGAGAGAAAAGCCGCCCGCAGGCCATTACCCGGGAAACCAGCTGTGCTCCGTGGATGGCCGGCCGACGAGGCTCAGGTTGGAGGCCTTGTACACAGTCAGCGTCTCGTGCACGTAGCCGTGGGGGTTCACGTAGGCTGCCATCGGCCCACACAGGGACAGGCTGCGACAGAACAGCACAGGGTGTCAGGGGGAGGGGGTTAGGCCAAACCAGCTTTTACAAGCAGACTGAGGCCTAAGGTGAGGGGAGCGGTCAGTTCTGACCTCTTGGCCACTTTTATGTAACGTCCGAGCCCCAGACTGTGAGCAGGAAGCTGCAGTCAGCAGTTCTGCTCAGTCTAAATGCTCCCTGGTGCCCAGAGGCAATGGGAACACCGGTTCTCAGCCCCCCCACAGAGGTATGGTGTGGAGCCCCCAGCTCAGTGGGGTCTGGGGGGCGTGCAGCCCCCCGCACTGTGGACGGCAGTGCTGCCGTACGGACTCAGAGCTTCGAGGTGGCCGCCCAGCCCCGGGTGACCTGCCCCGGGGGACCCCCACCCCTCACCGTCCACTTGCTGAGTGTAACTGACCAGGGGGGAAATTCTGGGAGCGAGGCTGGGAGAGTGACTCCAGGTTACAGAACGCGGAGCATCTCACCTGAATATCTCATTTTTGGTGGTTATCTCTGTTTCCTGGCACTGTTTGCAGCAGAGAGACGTGCACTGAAACACACGAGAGGAAGTCGGTGGGGAAAGCCGCACGCGCACAGTGACGTAACCTGGCAGGGCGCACACACTCACAGAACTGACCACCGCTGGCCAAAGACACAGCTGCTGACCCAGCCACAACAGTGCACACGTCTGGGTGAAGCTGATTAGGCAAAGGGACCCAGGGTTGGTGAATGCCTAACAATTCCAGCTTCCGTCTACGGTCCCGAGTGACATGCTTCCATTGTCCTTTCCATCTTCTGGTTCCCTGGCAGCAGGACTGACAGGCCCTGCAGGGTCCCCACAGAGCGCGCTGGCACCACCCGGACGCACCAGACACATGTCCCAGGACCCCACTGCTCACCTTGTTCATGATGTCCAGCTCACAGCGCAGGCGCTGGACGGCGCTGCCGATCCGGAGGAGCTGGACCCTCAGCACGTCGTCGATGGGGAGACAAGCCGCGACTCTGTAGGAAAAGTCTTCAGAGACGTGGGGGCGGGGTTCAAGTTTTGAACGTGCACGGCAGACACCCTCCTCTCGAAGCCCTTCTCTAGGGCTCCCTCCCAGGGTCGCGCCTCACCCGACCCCGACGCTGTGGGAATGTGCCCACTACCGAGCGGGCGCTCTCGGGAGGTTCTGGGATGGAACCTTTCCTGTGCTGGTTCCCTAAGTGCCTCCGTCACCGTCCCGCACACAACCTGACTCGGTCAGAAGGACCTGGGACATGTGGCGTGGGGAAGGGGGGCGCATCGGAGCCTTTCCGGGTGCACGGTGCAGGCGGGCGAGGCGCAGCTGCTCTCGGGGAGCACTGGGAACCGGGCCAGTGGTCCCCACGGAGCTTGTTAGGGAAACTGTGCCGAAACCAGGGCTTTGACAGAATTGACAACTCATACGCTCAACTGAGTGTGCTTGTTTTTTTAAAACTGCTCAAAGTAAAAGAAATGTGTAGGCTTTTCAAAACTAATAAAAATACTTGTTAGAAAACACAAAATTGTTTCCATTGGTGAGACACCTTGGGCCTCAGGAAGGAACCGCCCGTTCGTACCTATCGGATTAGAAGGCAGAGACTCGTCTTTCAGATTCTCGTCCCACTCACGGAGCTGCTTCTTGATTCTGTCCATCAAAGTCTCCTTGTTCAAGAGAAAAGTAGCCATGATGATGTACACAGACTTTACGGCTCACCGACCCTTTTTCAACTCCCTTCAATGAAACTAAAAACACATGAGCAGCAGGGGAAGCCATCACTAAAATCTGAGTTCCGTTCAAACACCTGTCTTCTCACAGGGACGTGATCAAAGCCCCCGTGAGGCCTGGCAGGTGCCCTGCTCTCGGCTACCTGGCGCGGCCCCCCCACTCCCCCAGGAAGCTTCTGCCTCTGGGCCAAACTGAGGCCCCTGCCAACTGCACAGGCGCTTCCTGTTCACCGCCCGAGAGCTTCCTCTTTCAACAAGCGTGTGCAGAAGCGCCCCCACTCTGTCGGGCGGCGGCGGTGAGCTATGGTCCCTGCGGTGCCGTGCACCGGTGAGTGCGCAGAGCCCCCTGGGGTCACTTTCCCAGGACGTGAAACCCAGGGTGGCCTGACCCCCAAAGGGGAGCGAGTGATGAGCTGACTGTGCTCTGGGCCAAGGGCCACAGCCGCCAGTCCTCTCACTGTACAGGTGCTCAAGTAATTCACCCCAAACCACACAAGGGACAGAAATCAGGCTGTGGACAGTCTGTCCGGAAGTGCAGACTGCTGACCTGCTCCGGCAGCCTGTCTCCCTGGGTTCTGCGTGGGGGGTGATGCCACCCGGAGTGAGAGGTTCAGTGAAACCCCCGGTGGGTGTGCCCACTCGTGACCTAACCAGCAAGCAGGAGGCACAGTCGTTATTTTTACTCATAAAAGTACAAAGCACTGTGAAAGGATTAAGTTTCTAGTATGACTACCACTTGACCCGAAAGAGTTTCAAATGCTTGATAAATCCTAAAACATTTCCTTGTCCTGAAGTTATCAGGCATAAGGAACTGGGAAAACCAAAAACTCGGTACATTGAAGGCAAAGTCTACCTAGGAGTCTCTTCAATCCCTGCTGCTCTCCTTAAATGTAACAAATGACACTGGTTTTGAGTGTGAAACACCACTGGGCATGAAAGCCCACACTCTGCTCTAACAGCCCTCGGTGACGACCCTGCTACCCCGGAAGCAGGCAGCCGAAGGTGGGTTGGTTACTTACAGCGTCATATAAGGAATACAGCCAGCGAGGCCACGAGGTCAGATTTGCACAATGAAACTTCCTCTGAAAACAGAAAAAGTCACTTAATAAAGTGGCCTCACACAATAAAGATTTTTAACGTAGAAAGAGCTGCTTTGGAAAGTTCCTTTGGCCCAGGAAAGACTTCTAATTTCAAAAGGAAAAATGTTGTAGATGATTTCATAATAGATGTTTATCTGTTAAGTTGGACAATCATGTTTTTGTAGCCTTCGAATACATATTGCAACTGGAATCTTGATTCTCCTGAAAAACTCCGAGCACCAAACTCACACAAGCTGAAGGGGGGGGCCAGCCTCTGCCCCCCGAGCACGTCACCTGCCTTTACACTGAGAGGCCCTGTGCAGTGTCTGCGGTGGAATCCCAGACCCGTGGCCGAACTGTCCTTGTGTGAGAGCTTAGTGGCTGCCGACTGGGCCGCCACAGAGGCGGACAGCGAGGCGACCCCGGCCTGGCGTGCATGCCCACGGGGGAGGTCCTGACCGCGCCCCACTCCAACAGCGTCAGGGACCCACGGGACCCAGCGGTGTTTCCGGGCTGAGAGGGAGGACACCCGACTCTTACGAAGACGCAGGCTGTGCTTCCGTCCCTGCAGGGTCCCCACGCCAGACGGGAAGGCTCAGTACAGTGTCGGTCCCCAAAGTGCCCACTTCATGCAGCACCCACGAGACGGGGGCTCGGAAGCCTGATTTCAAGTCCAGGATGCGTGGAAGTTGACGCGGGCAGAGGAGCTGCTAAGGCCATGAACCGGCAGCGACCTGACCATGGGTCTGTCCTCAGTACCTGCAGGCCAGAGTGTCCGATCCCAGGACAGAGTATGGGAGCAGAGAGAACCACTGCCCACATGCAGACACACAGGAGCCTGTGTGGGAACGGGGCAGGGTGGGGCCAGACAAGTGAGACGGGGACAGCAGTGCACTGGGAAGCGCTGGGCTGGCCTGCCTGCAGTCCCGCCCAGCTACAGCCGAGGTAGAGACGAGAAAGTCACCCAGAGACCGAAAGGTCATGGGGTCAAGTCCAAGTCGGGTAACACACAGTCAGGCTGCACGAGGCAACCGGTGGAAGTTTGTCGCATGGCAGTTTCTGTCCCTGCTCCTCCCTCTCAAACCAATGAGCACGTCCTCAGTGAGCAGCTGAAGGAAAAGCAGAACCTCACTCTCTGTGACGGTCACAGACGAGGACTCTGTCGCACCAGGGTCCGGAGAGGAGGTGTGAGCTGAGGCCAGGCGCGCACGGTTCGGAGACGTGGCTCCCGGGTGTGCCGATCGCACCCATTTCAGGAGCCGCTACTGGTGAGCACACACTTGCTCCAGACCTGCCCCTGGGCCCTGAAACAGAGGAGCCTCCAGCTCAGCGGGGCCCCTCGGGCCCGGGAGGCCCCCCAGAGACGGCCGGGCCACCACGTGCACGCTCCCACGGCGACTCTGACCCTGAGGGGTCGGCCAGTAAGACCCTGAAGGGCTCTCCAACCAGCTTTTTACTTTTAGGACCAAAACGAACAGTAAGGACTTTTGTCACAGTTTAGGCACAGAATTAAAAATGCTGCCAACAGCCCAGAGGCAACGGGACACGCAGTGACGGCGACGGCAGCCGCCTCCCCCGCCCCACAAGAGCTCCCTGAGCTCTCAGAGGCAGACTCGGGAGGGTGGTGGCCCAAGGTCACAGACGGGATGGGAACCAGACTCCAATCACCAGCCACGCGCCACCAACCCTGAAGGCCCAGGACTGTCGGTCCTGCTTTTCTGCGTCTGCGGTGTCCCAGCGGTCCCACCGCCGGGCATGACCGACACTGGGCTGTGGCGCTTCCAAGTCACTGGGGAGATGCTGGCCTCCCGGAGTGACTCAGGGTCACACGGGTGACCTGGCACCACACGGGGCGGGGGGGGCCTCTTGTAACACAGAAGCCTTCTCCCTGCACGAATGTCCCTTCCCAGATGACACGGGGGCAGGAACAGGGCGCAAGAGCACACTGGGGCCAGCACAGGCCCGACGGGTCCTGAAGCTCCACCTACACGCCGGTTAAACCTGCCACCGCACCTCCTGCTGTGGACCTGCTCCGTGTGGCCCACGGCCAGGGACATGTGCCATGGGAGGTTGGCAATTGGGGCCGCCGCACAGACCCTCGGTGTCCCGCTTCGACCCAGCACTGCGGAGGGCCCCCGTCTCCCAGGGACGAGGCCCTGCGGCTCACAGTGTTCCCCAGAGCCGTCGGTGCCACGGGCGCGGCCTGGCCAGGCAGACTCTGCAGTGAGGGCGCGGCCCCCAAAGGACACTGTCCACAGGAAGTCGAGAGCAGGCAGGCCCTTGGAGGAACCTCTCTGTGGCCCAAGGTCAGCCATCATATCGTTTTGCTTTTAAGCCTCAAAACTAGAGCCTCAGCTTTGTATCCCAACCGAGTGTTGGAAACATGTGAAGCACATGCGTGTAGCTCTTCAAGGGGCAGTGAACTTCCCGGGACGGCATCACAGGCTAACAGCACACCAAGTGAACCACTGCTCCGGGTTGGCACGGCCACCAGAGGAGGTCACTGCACCGAGCCCTGTCCCGGCTGGCAGAGCACACAGCAGCCGCAGCTTCTGCAGGTGACCCCACAGCTCCCAGTTTTGTCCCTTCGTCCCCCAGACTCCTCCTGGTTCCCAGGAACTGGAGCGAAGTGATGGACAAACGTCACAGACACACAGCTGCAGGCCCAGGGTGAGTGCAGGGGGAAGCACCAGACGACAGAGCTGAGGTCCAGACTCTTCTAGTTCAATAAAAAAGGCGACAATAGCCCTTGCTGGTGTAGCTCAGTGGATTGAGCACAGGCCTGTGAACCAGATGACTGCGGTTCGATCCCCAGTCACGGCACACGCCTGGGTTGCAGGCCAGTTCCCAGCAGGGGATGCACAAGAGGCAACCATACATTGATATTTCTCTCCCTCTCTCCTTCGATTCCCTTCTAAAGATAAATAAAATTAAATTAAAAAGTTTCAGAAAACTAAGTTAAAAAAAAAAAGGAAGGCGACAACAGAGGTCACTGCCCCCTCTGCTGCGGTGACCACTGGACCAAGGTGGGAACCAAGGCGGAAACGGATGGTGAGGCAGTAAACGGCAGCCTCCTCCCGGACACGCCGGGGCCGAGACGTGGGGCAGCGAGACCCCCGGTCTGCAGCAGTCGGCCCCCACGGCGGTCTGCGCCGACCCCCACCCAGTCCGACCCCCGCTGCCCTGCTGGACGAGGAAGGAACGGTCAGCGTGGGGTCTGTCCGCCGCAGGGCAGCTGTCTGTCCACTTTCAGAGGATGAATCTCGCGAAGCCAACGCGTGCTAAATTCAGGGACGAGCGATCCTCTCCTTTAGGCAGCTACCGTAAAGCTACCGCTCTGTACTCGAAACCAACATGTCCCTCCAGTGCAGAGAGACAGGCCTGAGAGCTTCTTCCCAAAAGAAAGCCACTTCACCCAGAGGACACGCGTGGGAGTTAACGCCGGGCGTCCCACCGAGCACGAGGTCCCCGGCCAGCTCTGCGCAGCCCCCGGGGCTGTGCGGAGAGAGCGGAAGCCTTGCTTCCAGAAACCAGAGGGAGTCAGACTCACTCTTCCTCCTCTCAGGTCCTGGGCTTACGACTCGAGCCAAACATCTGACGTGACTCCAGTCTGAGGAGAAGACCCTGCAGGGTCGAAACCACAAGCTGTTGCCCTGGCCTGTGTGGCTCAGTGCACTGAGTACCCACCTGGGAACCAAAGGGTCAATTCAATTGCGCCAGTTTGATTCCCAGTCAGGGCACACGCCTGGGTTGCAGACCAGGTCCCCAGTAGGGGGCGCACGAGAGGCAGCCACACATTGATGTTTCTCCCTTCCCCATTCTCTAACAATAAAATAAATAAACCTTTAAATTAAAAAAAAAGAAAGAAAGAAAAGAAACTACAAACTGTTTACACACAACAGTGAGAAGACCTCACCGCCCCGTGCAGCTTACGGCTGATGGGAACACAGCGTGGTCAGGCGCCCCGGCCATGGTCGGCAGGACCGTGCAGGTGTCTCGGAACTGCACCCCCCCCGCCCCCCCCCCCGCCCCCCGGCAGCTCCTGGTGTTTCCTTCTCACAAACAGGAGAAGCAGCAGGTGGCCTCCACCCCTGGAGGCCCCAGGAGAGCAGCGCCCACCTTCTGGTACTTCTGCCACCACGTGCAGGAGCGGCGGTCCTCCCGGGAGCCGGCCGGGGCGGGGACGAGCTGGCGCCTGCGGAGGGACTCCAGCTGGACGGCGGACATGGTGGAGGGCAGCACGCACTCGGGCAGGATCCGTACCTTCGCCTGCTGGATCCTGAAACGGGACGGCCCACCCAGCCTCCTGAGTCTCTCACACGGGCTCGTTTTCAACCGCAAGGCTTTCAAAACGACCGGGTTTCGTAAGCCGAAGTTAAAACCAAATCTAACCTAAGGGACGGATCTTCGATCTCACTTCGGAATGGAAAGGAAGGTTTTCAAAGCTCAGATGAATAAATACACAGTCTACATATGAAACTAAGTTTTAAAATCAACATATAGCCAACCACTACTGCTCATCTTCGTATCTGAAAATCAGTTTCTCAGCCACCCACCTGTCCCATCACCCATTGCCCCGACTCCCTGCGGCCTGACCCCCACGCCGCTCTCTCTGTCACCCACCCTGGGGAGCAAGAAAGAGAAACTCAAGACACCGCCCACAGGTATGAGTTAAATGACATGAGGGCATTACTTGCAACCCCAAATTCTGTGTTTCCCTCCTCACTCCCAAACATTTAACTTGAACATGCAAACACTCAAAATGCACACGATCCTTTTACGTGACCCCCCAGGATGTCCTCTGGGCTTGCCCGAGGGCCCTCCGGTCAACAGGGACACAAAACACCAGGAAATCCTGGACCGGGCTGCAGCCCCTCCCCCAGCCATCACGCCAGAACCGGAGTCCCTCTGAGATGCCCGTGTGGCCCGGAGAGATGCGCTCCTCACCCGTCCGCCTGCGTCCTCAGCTCCAGCACACGGAACCGCTGCCGCCCCACGGCCTTCACCTTCACCACCTCGATCCCGAAGTCCTGCTCCTCGCGGTAGGCATAGATCTCAGCCGTGGTTCCGAACTGGGCTTCCCGCTCCTGCACGTTACTGCCCGGACGATTCCGAAAAGGAGACAGTGCTGAGCATTTCATATTTCATGTCTACATATGTGAAGCTGGTGGCTGCGACACAAGAACACAGCGACGACCCCCCCCCCCACCACAAAGCTGCTGCCCCTTACTGTCATGGGGGGGAGGGGCGGGGGCGGGATTCTGGTGGAGGAGAGGCCTCCAGGAGAACAGTGAGCGCGCTTTTAGGAAAACACCTCTAGTCGCTGAAACGCTCTACCGCGCCGGGCAACTCTCCCCGCCCTCGGGGACCACTCGTGTGCCGGGAGCCCCTCACTCCTGCTGCGCAGGCATCCGCTAGCTGTGCCTAGCTGTGCCGGGACTTCCTGCCCCCCTGCGGCCCATTCCCACCAGGGCTCCTGAGACTCGGCCGCGGTCTACCGCACAGTCTGTAAGGGACAGCGCACAGCCGACAGCCACTCTTCCGTGCCAGGCACCCTTTACGTCACAACGTGAAGGCCCTGCTCCTCTTTAAACACCGACAGGCCGTGCACGCCAGGAAGCCCGAGGGTGCGCGAAGGCAGAGTAAGTACGAAAACACCCCAGCATTCCCCGGGCCGTTCCCCACGCGCCCCACCCAGCCAGTCTCCCGGGCATGCGCAGTGACTGTCAGGGGCCCGAAGGCAGGCGGAAGAGCCCGCCCTGCGTGCACCCACCTGTAGGCGAGGACCGCGAAGGTCCGGTCCCTCTGGATCAGCGTGCGCACCATGCTGACCTCCTGCGGGCGGAAGAGCTGCAGCGGCAGGGTCTGCCCCGGGATCAGCACCAGCGCCACCTGCGGCAGCACCGGCAGCACCTGGCAGCTGTCGTCATCGTGCAGCGTCCGGCCGTGGAACTCCTCCATGTCGGCGCCCAGGTACTGCGGGTGGACATGAGCGCGGTCACCTCGGGCGGGGGGCGGTGCGCAGGCTCGGTGCTCAGAGCGCATGCGTGCACACAAACTGGAAGCGCTGGCTTCCACTCTCAGAAGGATTTCGAACACTTTGTAAGAATCTCCCACGTACACACTCAAGACCAGTTTTTAGTTTGAAATGTTGGGTTGGCCAAAAAGTTTGCATAGTCTTTTCCATAAAATGTGCATGTTTCATTTTCACAAATAACCTTATCGAGCTGGATATTTTGAGTATGTCCACTATCTCCCACCCGGTAGAACACGGATTGTTCTCAATTAATGTCTCGATTTGATCGCTGTCAAGTTCAACTCATCTACCTGCCCCTGGGGCACCGTCAGCGAGACACTCCAGGGCCCAAGTGCACAAACCCCTCGGCCACGCTCACTCAATCCCCGCACGCTCTCCACACGCTGCTCACACCCTTGAGGCCCAGCTGCGTTCAGCTGGGCGGCCTCTCTCGAAACAACAAAGTTCATGTACTGAAGATGTCGCCGGTTCTCCTCCACCTTCAATACTAAGATGGCCACACGAACACTCACCACCCCTGTGTTTTTCTGTTAAAGCACATTGACAGGACAGCCGTCACCACACGACCGAACGAAACTGTCTCAAATGCAGGGAAAGACGAGGAAGCGCTGCCGGAGCCGGCGTGAGGACACAACCGAGAACCCTGTGGCCGACCAGACAGGTGTCCTTAGGTCTGTCTGTTAGGCAGTGACGTACCGTGTGTGACGTTGGCAGACTGGTGTCAAAATTTATGATGTTGGGTTTCTTGGCCTCTCTGCCGTCCTGGTCTTCCACTTCCATTTCGACCCCATCCTCTTCCTCCTCACTCTCTGCTGTGAATGACAGTGGGAGAGCAAACCAGGTGTGTGGCCGTCAGAGCCGCGCTCCCATTTGAAGGCACGGCCCCCCCTGCAGGCCCTGAGCCCCGGAGGAGTGTGGGGCTGCAGACACCGCCGCCATCGGACCGAGGCCCCGGGGGCCTGGGTCGGCGCCGGCTCTGGCACCAGCCCCTTCCTTGGCCCGGTGTTTGCAGTCGACTGGCTCAGCGTCGCGGGAGCCCTGCGGCCTGTGTGGCCTCCCTGTCTCCCAGCAGCTCACGCCTGCTGCACTAAGGCGTCAGTGCTGGCTCATCCCGCCTTGTGTCTGGGTCTCCTCCACTTGTGCCCAACGCGCCTCTGGGCCCCAGGACCCCACCCAGGAGACCCCGCTGTGCTTCCCCTCTCCTTGGCCTCCTCGGGGCTGCGGGCTCGCACTGCCCGGCTGTGAGGGCCCTGGGCGGGCGTTCCGTCCTGTGAGTTCTCGAGGTCGGGTTGGGCCTCCATGTTCCTGGGAGGAGGACCCCAGAGGCGAAAGGCTGCCACCGGCCCTGCTGGTCCCTGCGGAGCCGACCCCGACCACCCAGCTGAGGGTGGGAAGGGTGTGCCCGAGGGGCTCCTGTGCGGAAGGCATGCGGGGACCCAGCGGACTTTGTCCTGTGTGAGCCATGGACTCCCCTCCCTGTCAGGAGTTCTGACACCCGGCTGCACCCGAGTCTCCTCCACGGCACAGGGACGGGCATGACCGAGACGATCTCTAAGGGTCTTTCAAACTCCCCTGTAAGAAGTCCCCACAGAAGACAGGAAGGAGGGGGACCTGAGGGAGGTATGGCCTGGCAGGCTGAGTTCCTGGCAGTGACATCACTTCCTGCTGTGACTGCCATTTGAAATTGAAACATCGGCCATCGTTCCCATCAGTGTGCTTTGGAACTTTATAAAGCTTGCGTGAGGCCCTGGCCAGTATCTCAGTGGGTGGGAGCGTCGTCCCCACCCGCCAAGGTTGTGGGGTCGATCCCCAGTCAGGGCACATATAAGAAGCAGCCAGCGAACGCACAAATAACAGGAACAACAAATCAGTGTTTCTCTCCCTTCCCTCTCTCCTGCTGTAAAAAAAGTCAACAAAAAAGTTTACATGAAATATAAAACATTTGCAAAGAAGTGTCTTAGAAAGTTTTCTCCACACACAGTTTAAAACTATGAAAACTAAGCTGATCTACTGTAAAACCTGATGTCACTGACAGATGCTGCTCTGTCTGGTGGGGTCTGTCCTTCCCATGCCAGCTATGGGGGACCCTACCCTACACTGCTGGTGCTCAGCTGCGGGGACTGTGCCCCTCAAGGGCTGTGGGGAATGTCTGGAAATGTCGGTGGGTGCCAGGACCAGGGCAGTCCTGCCGGTGTGGAGAGGGCGCGGCCGGGGATGCTGCTCACAGGCCCGGCGGCAGAGAGCTCCCCGCCCCCATGGCAGAGGTGCTGTGACCGAGAGACCCTGGGCTAGAATAGCCACAGAGATGTGGGAGCCTCATTTTCACCCCATATTTCATGTGTCTCTAAACACCCCAAATAATCTTTAAAGTACATAAAGGGTCACCACAGCAGAGTCATTTCCTTTCCTCTGTGCCATCGTTTGAAACTCCCTCCAGCCAGGTCCCTGACAAGAAAATACAAATGTCTTTCAACACGGTAATTGTGCTGGGCTTCCTGCTAATTCTTAGGGGCTCCCAGACACAAAGCTCTGTCAAAGTGAACCGGTCACTCCATCTCATGTTCACATGGCCCTGGCCTAGCACTGCGGGTGGGTAGGAAGCTGTCCTGAGAACACAGACGTTTCACTTGAGGGAGTTACTGAAAAACACAAGTTGCCAGTACAAATACTGAGTCAACTCTTTGTATTTACAGCCCCGACCACAGGCAGTCCCCTGGCCGGCCGGTGGGCAGCCCTGAAGGCTTCCTGGGGAGAAGGCTGAATGGCTGGCTGCTAGCTCACAGGCTGGAACCCTTCGTTTTAAAACACGTTTTAACTGTCCTGCCTGCTGGTCGCTAAAGGAGCTCCTTATGCCCAGCAGCCTTCTTCTCCCGCTCAGCTGTTCACCTGTGCTTCCCTGGCCCCCAGACGGATGCTCTGCATCTGAACTGGAGCTGGTTCCCCTGACACCTAAAGAGGGGCACTCTCGTAAACAGCGCGCACCGCACGGGTTGATGGAAGGGCAACCCAGTGCGTCTTCACCAGTAACTCCCGGGTGACTCAGAAACACACTGGTTTCGCATCTACAGCCTGTCGCCCTCTGGACTTTGAGGACAACCCCACCGACTGCCTGCGGAGAACCACCACAGTGAAGTCTGATGCGAGGGGCCGACGGCAGGACTGACACGCTCAGCTTTTTGTCGGCTCCGCTGCCGGCTTCAGAACAGCCTCCGACCCCGGTTCATTTGTGCAAAGTAGGCCACTCCTGCATGGGGTGCGTGCACGCTGCCTCCCGCTCCTCCAACCCACGCAGGTCGCGGGGCACCAGTGACCCGCCAAGCACAGCTTTCCCTAGGCAACTGCATGGACCCACAATCGTGTCTTGGAGAGAAAACCCCGAAGTCAGCGGCATGAAAAGCAAGCTGCCCAACCACCGCTCCCTCTGCTTGCAGCGGCCTCCAGACGCACCCCGCCCCTCCGAAGACCGCACAGCACCGGTCCGGGTCGCAGCCACACCCGTGGGGGCTGCACCCCGGAGACCCGCTCCAGGACCAGGCCGACCCGCGGGGCCGAGCTAACGTCTCCGAGGCGCGGAGGCGCCTGGAGGTCAGGCCGTGCACAGTAATCACTCGGTGTCTCGACGGCGAGGGGGTCAAGAGACAGAGACCACACGGACAGGCAGACACGGACAGACACAGGGCGGGGCCCTGGCTGTGCGCCCTTCGTGCCTGGGCCGACTCTGACTGAACTAAGCCGCCAGGTCGCGAGGACGGAGTGGCAGCAATGCTGGGGGCTTGGCGGGACGTGCGCGCTCGGGGCGCGCGGGCTGTCACCGCCCAGGGACCGCGTCCGGGAGGTTCTGGCCGCAGCACGGGCCCCGGCCGAGCCCCCGGCGCCCCCACGTCTCGGACCCCCACCCATCCCGCGCGCAGCCCGCGGCCTTCGGACGCGCGCCCGCCGCCCTGCCCCGCCCCGGCCGTTACCAGGTAGCAGCGGCAGGTGGTTGCCCATGTCGTGCGCAGCGTCCTGCGGGTCGCCCTCGCCCGCCATGTCTGTTTACCCGCACAGCATGCTGGGACGGGGCGGTGCCCGCCCTCCTCGCCGCCGCGCACGCGCCCTGGCGCTCCCGGGCAGCCCTAGCGGGCGGGGCGCGGCTATGCGCCACAGCGCCCCCTGGCGGCTCCCGCGGGCCCTGCCGCTGGGGGCGCGGGGCTGCAAGCAGGAGGTGCTGCGGGGACCCAGGGCTGTCCCGGCCACCCTCGACTTCCTGCCCGCTGGGCGTTCAGAGCACTCGCCTTGGGAAACAGAGGTTCAGAGTTTTGCTCCCACCTCGCTCCTGCCAGAGGCGGCCTGCAGCCGACACAGCCCGCTTACAAAGCATGAGCTCCAGTCTCTTAAGATGCCTGCCAGGAAGACTGGAAGAGTGTGTCATTATTCCCCGGCGGCAGGACTGTCACTGACTTTCCTACCAACCATCTTCAGCAGCGTCCATGCATATTCCGCAGTTAACATGTGTAAATCAGAAACAGAGAGCCGAGATGCTGGTTCCACAGAGTAGACACCGATCGCCAGTTAAAACAGCCCCCGTGGACCCGAGACCCGGGCAGCATGAGCAGCCCGAACGCGGTGGCAGTGCACGCAGTTCGGGCCTAGTAGCAGTGGGGCTGTGACCCGGCATCACCCGTGGCCTCGGTCAGGCCACCCGCCCTCCAGGGTCCCCCCCTCCCGCCCCGACTTGTTTCTCCCATCCCCGAGTGACACTCCTTGGCTTCCCTGAGGCTCACACGAAGGGGACCAGGCCTGTGGGCTGCAGACGAGGAAGGGAGGTGGGCTTCACTCAGAGCCCTGCTCGTTCTTCCCAGGGCTGGTGAATGAATCCCAAAACCAAGTCTTTCTTTGAAAACAGTAAACACAAAGCCATGGATTTTCATTCCGATGCACGACCAAGAACAATGTACTAATGAAGTTAAAAATACGGCCAAAACTTGGTTTGCATAAACTACAATTAATATCTGAGTTTGCAGAAGGCTGGAACGCTACATTCTGTGCGGGACTTGGGCAATACTGCCAGGCTGCCACTGAGCGTGCGCACTTGGGGAGCCACGCCCCCCCGGCTTTCCGGAAGGCCCTGTGCTTCCCTACAGGGTCCGGCAGCCTTTAGTCAGCCTGGGTTTGGGGTCGTTGCTCCTACTGTGGCGTGAATTAATACCGCAGAGACACTGTTTCTTTCATTCGCATTTGCTTTTGTTGCTCAGAACGCTGGCTGGGGGGTGCATTTTCGATTGTATTGTCTCTGTGCTCATTCTGGTGCTTGGCTGTCTGGGGCTCCCGTCGTCGAAGGTGGGCACAGGCAACCAGGTGCTTGGTGATCACGGACAGTGAATTGAACTGAACACACCGAGAATTTATGGCAGAAAGAGAGAGAGCAGATTTATTAAGGGGTAGACCACTCCACAGAACATGGGAGGAGCCAGCTCCCAGCAGAGATAGACCTGGGGCGGAAAGGGGAGAAGGTTTCTGTTCTTACAGGGTGGATATTCCCTGGCTGGTTTTGGTGGGCTTTTACTGTGCATGTACAAGTAGTTGTCTCACTTTAAAGCTACTGCGCATGTGGTCTCCCATGATTTTCCTTGATTGGCCACCGGGGAAGGAGGTCGCACAATGTTAATTTATTATAATACTGCTGTAATGAAGCGAGAGTCACGTTGCATCTTCTGCGTAGGTGCGGTCATGAGTCACCAGGATCCAGCACTTTTCCAGAAAGCAGGGGCAACTGTCTTAGAACAGGGTCTCTGACCTGTCTCGATGTCCTTTGTCTTAGTCCTGGGGCACCTCCGGAGTTTTCTCTCTCCTGCCTGTCTCCTGCCTCGCTGCTGCTCCAGAAAGCCGGGTGCACAGAGGGACACGGGGCTCGGCTTGGCTGTGATGAGTGAAGATCTCAAAAGTGAAAGAGCCACCAGCATGACCCAACTGATGATGGCCTCTGTGCTTTGTCACACGGCCACTTTCCTGTGGGCAGGGGGCTCTGTGCCTGACACAGGCGCTCAGACAGCCCCCACCCTACCCCAATCAGGCACACGGAGGGTGCAGGTTTAAATTCGCACCAGGCTCGACCCTGGAACAGCGGGCGTCCTGGGATCCATCAGCTGCCAGTGCTAGGCTCAGGCCTGAAAGAACGAGGGTGAAGCCCTTACTGTTCTGAACCTTTCAAGCAGCAATCTTGCTGATGGTAGAGTTTGGCTCAGTGCCTGGGGCAGTGATACAATCGATGGCTACAAAGAGCCATCACCTGCCTGCTCCCTGCAGAAAGTACATCCTGCCTCACTCGGTGTACCTCCCTTCAGCCAGAACTCCTTACTCATCTCTCTAAGGGACCGCGGCATTTGCCACATCGGCCAGAAGTGTTATTTTCCTGGCCCCATTGCCCAGCTCTGTGGAGCGTCTGAGAGCCGGCGGAGTCCTGCCTCCCTCCCCTCTGCGTGCTCGGGCGTGGGGGGAGTGGGGAGAGGGGGTGGCTAAATGGTCCTTGGATTGACCGACTCAGAAGAGCACTCAGCAGAGAAACCCAGCCTCTGTCTGTCCTGTCCTGGGTCCTGGCCTGTGCTCCTAGAGCCATTGCAGGGGGAACCCGCCACATTGAAAACCAGGCAGGCCTCCAGGCCCCAAAGCAGGGCAGACAATGGGGGGCCTTGAACATAAAGACTGCGTAGCCCCCCCTTAGCTGCATGCCATCCACCCATGGGCCCTGGAAGGGAGCCTTCAAACCCAGGGCTTCAGTCCACCCTCCCAGAGCCCCAGGGTCAGCATCAGAAAGCTGGGCAGGATGGGGGCGCGGGGAATGGGAGGAACCAAAGCTGAAGTTCCAGGACCGAGGCCGCAGGGCTCAGGAGCCAAACGGCCGGGATTCAAATCCCGTCTGTCCCCAACTTGATCGCCACAGTTGAAAATGAGGGGCTTTCAGACTCCGGGTGGGGCAGGCAGTGTGGGAGGGGCGGGAGCTGAGCGGGCAGGGCAAGGTGGGGAGGGGCTGGGGGAGGGGCTGGGGGAGGGGCTGGGTCCCTCCCTGTCCATAATGGCCCTGCTTCCTAATAGAGGCCCTCATCCTCCATCAGGATGTCCACGTCCTCACCCCGGGACCTGTGACTGTGCACCGGGTGGGAGGGTCATCGTCAGAATAGACACACCTGTGACAGAGGGCCAGAGAGGCGGGGCCAGTGAGCGCAGGGGGGGCAGGGAGGACAGGAAGCTCCCTTCGAGCCCCAGAGGGACGTGGCCCTGCCACACCTCGTAAGGGACATGGACTCCGGACTTCTGACCTCAGAACTGCAAGATAATAAATCCATGTCTTTTTAAGCCACTGGTTTGTGGCGATTTGTCACAATAGCGACAGGAAGTGAATTCAGGGCAGGCAGAACGTGCAGAGCCAGAGGTCTTGACCCAGAGAGGAGACTCCAGGTCGGCTGGTCTGGGCCTGGGGAGCCTGTTCAAGTGCAGATCCCTGGGCCCCGCTTGTAACTTCCCAATCCAACTGCTCACTCAGTGACCCCCACGGCCTCCCTTGTGCTGCTGTGACCCGAGAGTGACAGTCAATTACAGCCTGTGCAGGCAGATAAATGACAGTGACCAGTGTGACAGAACTGAGCCTCTGTGGGGGAAGGTCAGGCCAGGTCTGATCGTGGGGTTTAGTCACCCCTTGTGACACCTTTCATGAAGGGTGACCGTGTTCCAGGGCTGTATCAGCTGGGGAACAGGACAGGCTCGCGCTTCCCAGATCCCACGGAGGCGTGAGGGGAACAGACCAGACGTGGGCAAGCACGCACGGGGGCGCCTGGCGTCGGGGGCTGCTGCAGAGCAAAGGCTGGGGGGCTGACCTCCCCCAGGAACTGACCGGGAAGCCTCAGGAAGAGTCGTCTCTGGGAAGGGGGTGTGTGGGGGGAGGGGCGCGTGCCGCAGGAACAGAGTGTGAGAGAGCCCGAGGCAGGCTGGAGGTCGGGGTGAAGGCCGGACCTGCTGAGAGGCGGCCACGGAAAGCAGGCCGGTCAACTTGCTGGGGACTGTGCCTTCCCCAAAGCAATGAGTTTGCATTTGGCAACTAGCCTTGGGCTGCAGGCGGAGGAGCGGTCTCGGAGCCAAGGGGCGGATAGGAGATGAGACACCCGTTAGGGGCAGTGGCAGTGGCCAGGGTGCCTGAGGTCCCGAGGTGCCCACTGAGTCCCAGCTCCCACTTCCGATTCCACAAGCCGGCCTCACGGGCTGGGCTTTTACAGGAAGTCAGGCCCTCAGCTCGCCCCGCACTTCAGCCGGAGATAAATGCTTGCAGGCATTCTCGAAGTTTCCGAGACCCTCAGGCAGGCTGGCGTGTCCAGGCGGCATCTGCCGGAGGGGCAGGAAAGGGAGGTGACTCTGCCCCGAGGCAGTGCCGCGGCATCTGGACGATCCCTCGCCGGTGGGGTAGACTGGGGCTTTCCTTCTGGCCCGGCTTCGAGAGCAGCTTGGGCCCCGTTCAGACCCTAAGGAGGAAAGGGCTGCGACTCCCACAAAGGGAGTCGTGGCCTGTGAGAGCGAAGGGCCGCCATGGGGGCCACACCAGTAACTGCGGTTCCACCCCCTGCATCGATGGATCCACGGAATCTGTGGGGCTTGTTTGTGTGTTTTACCACCGCACCGTGCATTCCTGAAACACCAGGTAAAAAAAGACGGAGGCTGCCTAGCAGGTCCCGGAGGGTGTGTCTGACGCCACCTGCCACATGCCCGTGGGCTGCCGTGACCGGGAACTGTGGGTTCCCGTAAAGGTCCCCTGCAGTCTGCAGACCTGCCCTCGGTGCCCGTCCCACTCACCAGGACCCCGTAGGGCGTTCCTGCATGCCCCTCTGCACTTCTGAATTGGAGCGTGAGGGTCCAGATGAATCCGGTCGCTCTGACCGCTCCCTGCTCTGCCTGGCGTGTTCGGGCTGTGCGACCTGGGGCAGGTTGCTTTATCTTCTCTCCCTTCAAGGGGAATCGGGAAGCTGTTGCCCTTAAAGGGTGTCATGGGCCGGCTGTGTGACAGGGGGCGGGGGGGTGGTGCTTAG